TACTTTGCGACAATCATTGTCCGTTCCCCGTTTTACTGGCGGGTTAGTGCGGGAGAATACATAACGGAATTCGAGCAACAAGCGAATTCACCAACTACGACCCATTCGCCTTATGAATATCCGAGAATAATCGGCTGTCGTTGGTTACTCACTCCTCACGTCTTACAGTTTTACAGATTTTGTGTTTGCGATGTGTTTTATTCCGGCGTCTCGTTCAGCCATCATCATTCACTCAGCAGATCTTGTTTATCACCACGTGTCGCACTCGAGTTCTTCGAGATCTTGTATCGGTTTCGGACTGATCTCGAGTATCGTTGTGAATCGTTGCTTTGTTGAAAATAATAATACGTCGAATGCACCCCTCGGACCCCTTGGTCGCTTTGCAATTTTCGCCAGCTCGTCTCCCGGCTGCTCGAAGTGTTCGCCGCCACTGCATGCGCCGCTCTCGTTTCGCTCTCGTATGGGCGTCGCGCCGCGCTGCATTCCTAACAAAGTAGTCATCACGCATTCCTGGGACGCAATCGTGAACTTCCACCCTCGTTAGCAAAAGATGGATTCGTGCGCGCTAGGGCTAAAGAGGACACGTTATTAGAATTCATTCCGCGGCTGTCATTCGCGAGCCGCCGGCGGCCCTAAAGCTTGGATTCCTCCGCGAGAGACGCGCGAAAAGCCGACAGCGACGGCGATGTTGTTTCGACGACGACTGCGGCGTTTTTCTCATCTTGACGATCACGAGTCGCGCGAATCCGCAGGCTCGGTCTTCTTCTCTCTGGAGGGACTCGGAAGAGTCAATTTCCCGCGAGTTTCACTTCATATTCGTCCTTGAAAGCGAGGAATAACGTTGACCGTTCGAATCTTCCCGAGGAATTGACAGGTTAATCGACAGGTTAATTGGCAGGTTGATTCGAGACGCGTACACATCTGTTGCGTCGGCTGTCCGTACGATCGACTATATACAACTATAAATACAACTATATTTTGTCCGTAATTTAACGAGACACTGTAGCATCGCCGTATAATCGCCCGAGCAAAGAATTGTTAGGGCCATTCTCATAAAGCATGAGGCCCTGATAAGGTTGAAAGCAGAATGCCGTCAAAAGGGATGCTTCATTATTACCACATCAGATCTCCAGATGGATCTTTTAGGGATGCCTTAGATTTTACGAAATAACGCTTTAACATGGAGAACTGGAGCTTAGAAGGATCTTTTAACCACCATGCTTTAGATATATAAGATCAAGTTTTGTTATAGAAAATTAATAAGATCCGAAACGTGTGATAAAATTGTCACAGTTTAGTATTGTTTTAGTAGGTACGCTCTGTCTGGTTCTCTTAAAGATTTTTTAATTATACCGCAATTAAAAACAAATTTTATTATTTTTATTAGTTGCCATATTCATTAGTCTCTTCCAAGGATTTTTCTAGTGTTGTCTTCGTTTTGAAGCAAACTTTAATAAAAACAGTAGCAGGATTTCTATATGTAAAGAATACTATATTTTATTGTATGTAAGTATGCTATATTTCTAAAATAAAAGATTCTTGTTATATACTAACAAGGTTGTATAAAGAAGTAAATAAATTACAGTCTAAATCTCTTGGAATGAAAGGAACGAATATTTTTGTTCAAGTAATAATAAAAATATTTCCTGACACCCTATTAATATTGCCTTGTACGGCCCTGTTAATATTTCCTTATAAGACCCTTTGCCTTATGAGGACATTATAATTATATTATTGCCTTATAAGGACCCGTAAACCATTTGTTTAAACATCTTTCAGGGCCCTCGTCTTTCCATCCCTACTACGGCCAGATTAATGTTAGAGAAAAATAATCAGGCTTTTACCGGACCCCCTTTAATTTTTCTACTGGGTGGCGATTGTCGCAGCATTTAATGCGCTAATGATAATCGAGATGTCCGTGTCACGAGGAAGGTAACTCGACGCACCATCGCGACTACGTGCACGAGACGAAGTTGGCGAGGCGTCGGTGTTATGACGCGCAGGGGCACCCTCTCGGTGCGTGACCAAAGGGTGTTTAGGTGGCCCGCGCGGCCACCTAAAGACAACCCCCGTCACCCCAGCGGAATATAATGCTCGAACCGTATCGGCATAATTACACGGATGGCTTCGATGTCACATCCCGGACAATATGCCGACGAAGGGGGGAACCGCGGATCGGGCTCTTTCTGCACATGCACCTGCAAGGAGCCATATTTCATCCGACTTTTGTGCTCTTACGCGCCGTGAAATGTTAAGGGTCATCGAGCATCCCTAATTTCCCATTGTCCTTCGAGACAAGGCCATTATGGATCGATGGATCGCTCGCTGAACCCGCGATCGCGATCGCGAGCCGTCGTGAAGAACGGTGCGATTTCAACCCCTTCGCTGCGACCATTTCCTTATTCCATACGAATCACCGACGGATGTGGAAAAGTAAGTCGGGAGCGACGTGGAACACGACGGGAATCTTCGCGAACTCTCTCTGTACACTAGGAAAAAAAGTTTAGTATCTCTAACAAAACTGTTTAGTTGAGGCATTTTTTAATAGCAACCAAATATCTTGTTTTATATAACAAAATATTTTTATATAACATAACAAAATATTTTATATAACATAAGTTTTATATAACAAAATAGTTATCTCAACTAAATATATTTCTCTGCTTTGTTCTCTGGACCAAATGTTTGGTCCAGAGAATGTGTGATTTTGTTCTTAGACCTCATATATAAAAATTAAGCATTTTAGTTGTTTTATCCATAAAGATTACATAATAACGAAATATTATTTTACATAAACTTAAATAATGCCCAATAAATACAATTTCGTCTTTCTGTGCACTAAAATTAAAATTTTATATATTAAGAAAAAATTATAGTATTTTTAACAAAATTCATATAGTTAAAGCTTCTTAGTTGCTACATCAAAAATATTACGTTATACGAACAAATCGTAATCAAACAAGATATTTGTTTACAGGAACTAAACAGTTTTGTTGGGCCCATATTTTAACCAAATTATTTTGTTGTTACAACAACATTTTGGTTCCCGCAACAATACATTTTTCCTAGTGTAGATCTCAACTGTAGATCTTGCGAAACTGGAAAACGATCATCATCATCATCATCATCACGCGATCGGATTAGTTCTCGTCAATCGTGACGTTCGATGTTAATGATGAAAGAAGCGGGGCGAGCTGTGCGGCGAACTTAGCCACGGAGAGAAGCCTCGTGGTAATTTTCTTTTTTAATAAACGATAAATAGAATTTTAATTCAGACAACAACACCCCGTGACTCTCTTCCGTCGCCGCCGGGATCCGCTCGGGAGCCTCGACGACGTCGGGGATCTATCGATCGCGTGCAACGTATGGTCGCTGTCGCGTACGATTAAGCGACAGCCTGAATACTAACCGGGCATCTCTCGAGGCGGGGGGTGGCGATACCCCCCTCGGACTGCTGCACGTGTTTCCCTCGAATACTTTGCATCACCATTACCGCCAACTTGATGCCCCTTTGTATCGTCGCATCGGAGGGGCATGCCGTAGTTTCGTTCCCAACTAGGCGTATCATTGGGGGGATTCGTACCGCGCGCAGCGCAGGAGCAGAGACAAAGAGACCTATATAGGCTTTTATTTGGCAAACATCGCCGATAGACAGCCGGTACAAAGGACGGCATTGTCGCATATTTACGCGGACTGACAAACGGCCAAATACTCGGTCAGTGCGCGCCGACTTTCGACGAAAAAATATGTCCCGGGGGCGGGCTCGCTCGCTGGGAAGTGGCACTGGTTATTAGCCGAACCGGCTGAAGATAAAAGTGACGCGCGTAGGAGGCAACGGAAAGAGAGAAAGAGAGAGAGAGAGAGAGAGAGAGAGGGGGACGAGACAATTGCGGGGTGTACTGGCTTCGACGTTGCTCCGATTAACGATTGAGAGTGTCTCGTCGAGCCGAACGGTCGAAAGCGACGGCTCGATGTCTCCTCCGCTCCATTAGAGACCACAATTAATTCCCCAACATTTTTAATCAAAGGACAAGTCTGTTTGCTCTCTCAAAGTCTCATATTAGCGTCAGGAGGATTTTTTCTTTTTCGAAGGCAGCTGAAAATCAACTGTTGAAAAGGTAAGAACGAAATTACACATTAATCGAGCGATTTTTTCGATAAAAGATTAAGAATCCCTTAAATGGAGCACTGGATCGTTAATGAATCGTTAACATTAACATCCTCGCATAACACTTCTCTCAATGAATCATCTAGCCTTATACTCTAATTAACCGTTGCGGAATTAATGCGCTTGCTGCTCGTTGCACTTTCATCGCGACTACTTGCTTTGTCTCCCTCCTCTCTCTTTCTCTTATAACGTGGTGGATATTACCAAGTTATCGAGAAGACGACTATCAGTCTTATCGCTGGAAATTCGTCGCGTCCAGTAACACTCGGTCCGCAATTTACGACACATTCCGTAGGAAATTTTGCGAATTTGGCACAGAACGGCAGGTCCGTTCAAGCAGGTGAAGCTCGTTCCACGCGATTGTTCGTCGAAGAAAAAGGAGAGAGAAAACAGCGAAGAAGAGCGGAAGAAGAAGAAGAAGAAGAAGAAGAAGAAGAAGAAGAAGAAGAAGAAGAAGAAGAAGAAGAAGATTCCGCCGGCACCCGAGATCGATGTCCGTCGAGTTTACGGAGATACGTCACTGAATCTGGCAATGGTCGCCAGATATTGATCCCACCGAGCGCGTCGCCGTCGGTTGAGCACCCTCGCTGCCGTTTCACCCCTCTATCTTACCCCGTGCAGAGGCGGCTCCCGGTGGCACCAATCGCGCGCTCGGCCAGAGGGTTGCGAGCGGCTCCCACCGGGGGTTGAACCCGCCCTCTTCAGCCTCGCGTCGATGCCTCGTCTATCTCCTCGGCAAGCGGAGACGAGACACAAGAGGGTAGGGAAGCTGCTGCGCCCGCGGGGGATGGGGACGGCGGTCGGCCGGGGGGGGGAGGGGGATGATTTTCGCTGTCGGTGACGGTGGGTTTCGTCAAAAAAGCGACGGACCTCGTACCGGTGACACGTAGCGGACTGTCACGCTCACGGACGTGCCGAGTGCCGATACCGAGCCGGACGAGCCGTCCGAGTGAATGAGGAAAGGGTGCTGCGGACGGATCATCGGGAACGACGGGTGTCGTCGTGGCCGTCGCCTTTGCCGTCGTCATCGTCCTCGCGTTCAGGATGCGGTGCGGCCGTGACGTCTCGTGCCGCGCGGTCGTCGTCGAAATCCGTCGCTTCACGTCCGCACATGACGGCCACGGCTGCTCGTCATGAGACTCGGATGACGTACGGCGCGGTCCGTATCGAAGAACCGGTGAGGGCTAAAGATTACGCGCGAAGCACTTCGTTTGTTCGGACGCTCTTGAGCTCGAGGCGAATCGAGATCACCCGCGAGCTTATTTGTTCGATCGAAGTGACGAGTATATCACATGAGATTAATCACGGGATTAATTAGCTCGAGGGTGTGAGTGACTTGGCACGACTTGGTAACTTTTTGCTCTGGGTTGATTCGCCGTGAATTGCCGTCATTTAGCACGTAACGGAACGACGAAAGGGAAAACGAAGGGCAGTCAGGGCCGTCTTGGGAAGTGCGCGAGTTCAGTGGGGAATTATTAAATTAGCTGAAGCCGAAGAGAATGGACACCGGATACGGAGGACACGGCTGCACGAGAGAGACTGGTGAGAGACTAGGGCCGGGGTGGAAGAGGAACGCGAGTGTAACGTGCGGGCAAGCTCGTTGTTGAAGAACTCGAGGACCGTTTCGTCTGGAAACAGCAGGAAACAGCAGGAGATTTGTCTTTGTCGAGATAAATCGAGGCTCTTGCCACGTGAGAAGAGGAGAGTATCTCCCTCGAGAAAATCTGGCTTTATCGTTGATCGTTTGAACGAGCCGAGGTATTCTCAGGAAATATTCGCGTGTGTGGTACACGGGTGTTTAGTGTCGCTCGACGAAGAGGAGGACTTTCGACGAAAGCTTCGAGCGAATTCCTTCTTCTTCTTCTTCTTCTTCGTCTTCTTCTTCTTCGTTTTCGTGGCTCGAAGACTTCTCGCGCTCGACGTTTCAACGAGAAGACACCATGTTGGAGTTTTACCCCCCGGCGCCTGGTTCTTTCAATCAAGGTTCTTTCAAAAGTGAACCTGGCCAGCCTCTGCCGGCGGTTCCACCTATTCCCTTCCGGCTTACAGCAGATAACAATAATGCAGGTGAGGAAGAGTATTCTAAGAGTATTCTTCTTCAATGAACTTTGCTAAACGAATTAACAGCGGTAGTTTCTTAAGAAACGTAGCGAAAATGTGGCGAGTGTATCGATCTGAGAGGCTCGACGATATCGCAAAAGAGGAGAACTCCCTAAACAATATCGCGATTATCGTGCGCGTATGCGGCCGCTGAAGGAAGGGTCGGTATCAGCACGTGATTTATTTTATGGCTTATCGATATGAGAAACGATATTGTGCGACGAATGTACAAGTAATATTTCATGGTCAATGAGTCGATCGGGATCGCGATCGGGGTGAATTTCTCTCGCGCGGTAGTGGATGGTCTCGATAAAAGCCACAAGTTCGAGGTTGCGACGAAATTACGATTGCGATTACAATGCCGGGTAGCCGAAATCACAAGCGTTATTCCGCGACTTGAAAGTAGAGAAAAGGAACGATGAATTAAATAGAAATACCGTGCTTGAAAACACACGGATCCACTCGCGTTTGCTTCGCTAATAAAATCCGAGATTTTACGCCGAGAGAAAAAGTGTCTGAAATAATTAAGAAATATTTATCCAGTGGACATTGACAAACATATTGACTCAAATTAAAATCCTTTTTATTGAAGTAGTATAAACATTCGTTTTCGTAAAAGGCCTTTAAGAAGATATATATTTTCTCCTCGAAAACAAATTTTCCCTTCGTACAAATATGTATATTATTACAACGTAATATTAACGTTATTAACGTCCATTAGCGCGATTTGGGAATTGTTTATTCTTGAAATATATTTCCCCTCTCCAACATCCTCGGCTTCACGCGGAACGCCTCGCGGGAACGACGCGTGTTCCTTTCGTAATCGTGGAAGTAAGCCGGTGAACGTCGATTCGTGTTTACAGAGCCGTCCGTTTCCGTGAAGACGGAGTCCGGTCTCCTGGAGACGATCTGCGCCGGCTGCGGCCGCACCATTGCCGACAAGTACGTGATGAGAGTGGCCGAGAGGAATTACCACGAGGAGTGCCTCTCCTGCACGGCCTGCGGCGCGATGCTGTCGCACTCTTGCTTCATACGCGACCTTAAGCTCTACTGCCGCTCCGACTACGAGAAAATTTTCGGGGTGAAGTGCGCGCGTTGCATGGAGAAGATCAGCTGCTCGGACCTGGTGATGCGGGTGGCCAGTTTGGTCTTCCATGTGGAGTGCTTCATGTGTTGCATGTGCGGCCAGCCGTTGCCGAGGGGCGCCCACTTCATCCTCAGACAGGGCCAGCCGATCTGCAGAAGGGACTTCGAGCACGAGTTGTATCTAAATAGTCCGCAAGGTGAGTGTATCTTTGTATGTGTGTGTGTGTGTGTGTGTATGTGTGTGTGAGTGGGCGGGTGGATGGTCGGTGACTGTGGGGGTTGACGCGACCGCTCATTCGGTCCGTTTGTTAAGTTTCGCCAAGTCCAGTCTGGACTTCGCTTCATCGCGAGACAGGTATCCGATTGATCGTCGTTCGTTTTGGATTGGATACGGATAATAAAATTGGAAATTAGTCGCTGCAGAAATTCGATGAAAGACGAGGGATGAGAATTTCATAAAATACAAGTTACACGATTAGCTCAAGGGGATGATGACTCAAGGGGGTGAAGTGGCTAGAAAAAGGAATTATTTCGTGAAAGTCATGCCGGTAGAGAAAAACTTTGGTGGGGATTATTTTGATAGCCAGAGCGCTAACGAAGCGGTGATTAACGCGGTTGCTAACGTATTAGCGCATTTCTCGCGCGTGAATTTAATTCAATGCGCGAGGAGAGCCCTGCCTCACGGCAATTGAATGACGATAGAGACGTGCGTACGCGCGCGACGATAATGCAAAACCGTTACACCTTTCTCCTCGCACAGCAACCTCCGGAGAAGTTCAGCATGAGCGAAAGTGTGTGCATACGTATTGTCTTGCATGAAGTGATTTTATACACGGTGTACCTGCCTCTACGTTAACTACAATTTCCGTGTTTCTATTCATCTCCACCCCCGCACAACACACATATTTCGCACGAGGATCAGGCGAGACCCTGCGAGAGAGACAGAGAGAAAGAGAGAGAGAGAGAGAGAGAGAGAGAGAGAGAGAGAGAGAGAGAGAGAGAGAGAGAGAGAGAGACTCTCTCGGTCGAGCAAACGTTTCGATACAACGTCGCAATTAGCTCACTCGAACGAAGAGTATCGCATTTGTTTCCGCGACGACCTACAAACTGCTCAGTTACATCCTTTCATATCGTCCCGCGTCGCTTCTCGCTCTAGCGCGAAAAAAATTCCGCCGCGTTTTGCCGAGGATCGGCGAGCGACGGGCGCGAGAGAATTTTTTCACGAGGCACGCTCGGATCGTCGCGCCGCGATCGATCGCTTCGAGAAATGCATCAAATGACAATGAAAAAGAAATAACCAAAAAAAAGAAAAAAAAAAGAATGACGCCGTTGAGAAACGCATTGTACATACCTTGTTGCATTGTTCGCAGGTTGTACTACAATCTAAAGACATCCAAAGTAAAAATCTGCAGGAATTTCGAAACAGGGCCGTTCCTTTTCAAGGTAATTACATTTCAATCAAGCGTAAGCCGATCGAGAGAGAAAGAGAGAGAGAGAGAGAGAGAGAGAGAGACTGCGTTTCGCGCGATGTTTCCTCGCGGCCTCGGTGATCGAAAGAATACCATTGCGCTTGCGATGCCGGTCTTCTCGCGAAGTCCATTCTCGCGAAGTACGTTCTCGAGAAAAGCGGAGTTTTTTTTTTCAAGGCGTCATTTGCTCCCCGATCTTCGGCGTAAATTGCATATAAAAAATTTACCACGTCCTCTTTATCGAAATGTGCCGCGCGTCGTCGCGATGACGATATCAAACGATGAGAGAGAGAGAGAGAGAGAGAGAGAGCAGTTTGTGTGTGTCACCCATCCTTTTTTCCTCCATATATTTACCGTTACGCAAACAAGAGAAGAAAAGGAAAAAAGAACATTCGAAAACCTCCGCACACAATGAAACGCACACCGGAAAGCACTTTCGGGAAATCCCGGTGGAATTTTTTTAATAAATGCAGACATTTCCGCAATGCGGAAAACTTTCTCTCTCCCCCTCCCTTTTTTCTCTCTGTTTCTCTGTAGAAAAAATAATTCTTTTTTTTCTTTACATTGCGCATTTACACGCACGTAATCGCGAGGGCGGCTCTTGCGCGCGTTTTCCTTTTTTTTCTTTCGATCTTGCTTGTCTGCTACTTCTGTTAACGCTTTAATACAGACAGACGATCATGACGACGACGACGACGATCGCGCCAGACGATTCGATCGACAATTCCGGGGGTCGTTCCGCATCCCCGGGGTGCGTAACTATTTTTTAACAATAGAATTCTCGGAATTGTCGAAATATTCTGGGCCGGAAAATGGAATTCGCGCGTATGGTCGGTACGTTTGTTCGCGGCCGACATGTTGCCGCGCCGCGGTACGTATGTTGCACGGTAGGCGTGGTCTGGTGCTTTGTTGGATCGCTGTCTGATCGAAGCCGCCCGTATCTACTGCTCGACTTCGACCTCTGCCACTTGCGTCTGACCGATCAATCCGTCATATGACGGTGTGTACATAATTCGGGAACGGGAGCACTCCGGAGCGGCGATAACCTCGCTCATTCCCGCCTCATTATTCTCGTTATTTTCCGTCATGTCGTCGAATGCCTCCGCGCGTAAATAATTTAATTATATCACTAATTAAATAATTTAATTAAGTCCCCGATAAGAACAATCGTGACGTATGACAAATGACACGCCGCACGTTATAACAAATAGTAGAGCGCGCAGCGAGTCGCATCATTTTTTTATGATTTACTCGGTCAATCGTTATTGAGGTACACGCTGATATTCAAAATTAAAAAGTTGCGAGTAGTACAGAAATAACAAGAAATAAAGAGAGAGAGAGAGAGAGAGAGAGAGAGAGAGAGAGAGAGAGAGAGAGAGAGAGAGAGAGAGAGAGAGAGAGAGAGAGGAGAAGAAAGATTGATTTTGTTTGTGTAAGGGATACATAAATATTAATAATAAATACACATATATGTACAAACTTTGTTATGTTGTCAGATGACGACTTATTGGACGAGAATCGACCACGGGACGGTCGTCGGGGTCCAAAGCGGCCGCGGACGATTCTCACGTCGGCACAGCGACGTCAGTTCAAGGCGTCGTTCGAGGTATCGCCGAAGCCCTGTAGGAAAGTGCGAGAGGCTCTCGCCAAGGACACCGGTCTCAGCGTACGCGTGGTCCAGGTGTGGTTCCAGAATCAGAGGGCGAAGATGAAGAAGCTCCAGAGGAAAGCCAAAACCGAGCCTGGATCCGACAAGGAGCCAAAGGAGGAGCGGAGGACGGAGAGTCCGCACAGTGATCACAGTAAGCGCCTCCCTTCCGCGTTGTCATGTCCCATAATTATCCCTGCATTATCATCATGATTCACTCTCGATCTTCGCCTAAACCTGACCGTTTCTGATACTCATCCCGATCCCGGTCCCGATCCTGATCCTGAAAATACGAGAGGAGTTTCCACGCGTTATTGCCGGTTTCACTCGACTCTCAGAACTCGGAGCGATGCCTTCTCTCTCGTCTCGTTGATCCCGCGTTATCGTACGCGCGAAATTCGCGTTGTAGAATTATCTCGTAGTCTCGCGCGCACGGAAAAGAGAGAGGAAGGAGAGGGAGAGGGAGACAGAGAGAGAGAGAGAGAGAGAGAGAGAGTCGAAAACCGCGCGCGCTCGCGAAGACTGGTTAATGGGGCTTTTGCTAAACGAATGAGTTCAATGTCAATTGTCTAATCTCGTTCGCAGGTCATTACTTGAACGCCCTGAACATGCGCGATGGGGAATCTTCTAGCTTCCCCTCAGCCACCCAACCGCTCAACCCCAATAACCCGTACTCGCCCGACGGTAAGTCCTTTACTTCACCGTAGAAACTCATCAACCGGCGTCAACCGTTGGGACGAATACGCGCGCGATCGACATTCTCTCAAGGACATTCGTTTCCTTCGACGAGTCGACGAGTCCTCGACGAGCTGTATGAATCTTTGTGAAAATTCAACGAGAAATTTAATTGACCTCTTCATTTGTCCGAATCACTTAGCGCGCGCGAGCGATTAACGGGGGGTGAGGGCGGCCCGGAGGGGATAAAATATCGCGAGAAGATAAAATTTTTTACAGAATGTTTCATATTGAATATTAAAGTGTCGTGACTGGCTATGCGCACGCAACAGCCCCGCGTGTGAATCTCGCGGGTATTTTCATAAAAAGTTTTTCGACGGACGAAATCTCTTTAGTTCGGCCACGTTTTTTCATATCAAAGACTGGAGCTTTGACATACACTGTTCTTTTATTTTTTTTTTTTTTTTTTCCGGGACATCCTGCATATGTCACGTCCACGCACGCAAATATTTTTTTAGCCCTTCACAGGGCGCACAGGGCGGTGGTATTTTCCGCGAGTATCTCGGGCTTTGGAATTTTTTGGTATTCTCCCCCCCGGCTACAATACTTCGCCGTTTGAATATTAGGCGCAAAAAGGTTCACGCTGCATTTCTTTCTCGGCGGATCAAGCGGAACGTTATATTTTTCAGTCTTCTCTCTGCCTGTAAACCTTTAAAGTGCTCACAGACGAGTACCGTGAGCTAACAGAAATATGATATACCTTAAATATATGTATTTTTTTTCTTTCTGCTTAAACGAATGTGATGAGAAATACGTTTAATCCTGATAATCGAAAATCTAGCCCAATATTTTTTCTTGTTTTGTTGTCGCGAGCCGCATGCGACTGCGAAGAAGAATCACGCGTTTCCTCTCAGCCATCACCATCTCCGTCTCATCCTTTGCAGACGCGTATCCTGGTCACTCGGGAGAGAGCTTCTGCAGCAGCGACTTGTCCCTCGATGGCACGGAGGCCGGCTTCGACATCGGTGAGAACGACGGCGGCGGCGCGGACGGAAGTCATCAAGGTGCCTCGCACTCCCACCACGGCTCGTCGTCGCATGACACCCCGTCACTGTCGCAGAGCCTGCACGCCGCCATACACAATCCCATCGACAAACTGTTCATGATGCAGAGTAGTTACTTCAGTGGTGATCACGCGTAATCCAAGTTTCCGCTCCCTTTTTCTCTCTGCCGCACGACACTGCTCTTGTTTCAGCCCTTTTCTCTTCCTCCTCCTTCTCTTCCTTCTCCTTCTCCTTTCTCTTCTCTACTTCCTTTTTCTTCTTGCCCTTCCGCTCCTCGTTGTTGCACTTTTCCACCGCGCTCCCTTTTCACTTGTCCCGCTCGACCTCCGTGAAGCTTTCACTTATCCCTTTAGGATCCGGTCAGCCTGTTGTCTCGTGTACTCCGCGAACGAGTCAGGATCGAGTCACATTTCTAGTTCTTCCCGCGCCGAGAATGATGATCATGATCCTCGGTGGCCGAGTGTTGTTATCTCTTTTGCTCGATCCGCAACTCTTTGTACCGGGATGAGGAAGAAATGGAAACGACGCGACGCGACGCGACGATTAATCGAAGCGAATAATCGTGATAGATATCATTTTTTGAATATAATGGCATCTCTCTATATATATATATACGATATATATATGTATTATATTATATTATATTATATTATATTATATTATATTATATTATATTATACTGTATTATTTACTGTCAATTGTGAGCGAAATTGTTTGGGACTTTGATTTGACGAGCTAACTGAGTAAATCTATTCGACATTAGTTATTACATGTAACAATTGATATGTAGTGGCAAATAGGACTAATAATAACTATGTCAATAAAAAGAAAAAAACAATGTATGCTAACGAGGATATTACGCTGATACTACTCTGTGAGCGCAAAAGAGAAATTTGTTTGCGCGATTACGTTATAATTTGTCAGAAGTAGATTCATTTATTTGATTGATCGCTCGTTGATATATTTTCGCTATTCACACCGATTAATTTGTCGAATCAACTGATCTTTTTCTCCAGGTTTGCGATGATTCGCAAAGATGTATTAAGCGCGCGTGAAGAAAGATAGATATACGTTCCGTATATTATCGCGAGGATATACTTATGAAGATACACACGTTCAACATACCACGCAGCAATTATGATTAAATAGTGTATCCTTCTGTTTTCACCTATAAAACCATATATTTAAACATTGAGGTGAAATTATTTTCCTTCATCAACAACATAACAAAACGGCTGTAAGTTTCAGTCCTCTTCAATTTTTCGATTTTGATCGCTAACATTTTTTAATTTTGTCAAGTTCTGTGTAAATGAAAAATTACAGACAAATGAAGTATATTTTATTTAAACGAATAAATTTCTCTCTCTCTCATTTATATTCCAGCAGAAGGTAAAGGTAGTTTTGCGTTGAATAATTTAATATTGGAGCAAAAATAGCATTTTATATTGGGCCATAATAGACGAATGAAGCGATATATAATATTCGCTAAGTAATTAATAAAAAGTTGAAAGTTCTTTTCTTTAGATGTATTTATCATATTTTTGATGGAAAACAACTTTTAATAGAACTTTTAATAGAAACTTTAATAGAAACAACTTTTAATAGAAAACACCAATCGAAAGACGGGATTGAAAATTGAACAGTCACCATTTCTCATTTAATTTGATATAGTTTGGCTACAAGCAATAACAACATTATTAATATAACATGCTTAAAACGCAAAGATTTCAAGCTTTAAAACGATTACAGAACCACTTCGCTATTGTTATTTTTATGGAAGTTACAACCTGTTGGACTTTGTCTATGTTTCTTCAATATGAAAAAAGTGTGACCAATAAGCTTCGAGCTATTTGAAGGACTAGAAGAAGCGGCTGATTCAATTGTTATGTCGTGCTATCAACTCGTTTAGTTAGTTTATTGAAAAAATAAAAGATTGTATAAAAAAGTATACTATACCGTGCTGAGGTACAAAGCCTATTTGGCACTTCTCGATGCTCGATATGGTGGCGGCTCGTAGCGGAGACTTTGGAACTAAAAGTCAGGAGGTGCCATCTTATCGAATGCAATTTTGAAAGTTCACAAAAAAACGTTTGGTTTAGTTCTGGCTGAATTTTACAGAGGCCGATAAATGGTGGTTCGAGTCTCGATGAAAAATCAGTTGTTAGCCGAGGCTCATACCATAACTTACTAATCTTCTTAAAATTTAGTCGAGACTCAAACCACTTGACGAGTTCGCTCAAATAAGGGGTATCAGAGATATCGACCCGTTATTTTGGCAGACCAATAAGGGGTCTGCGGTGTTCATTTAACCTGTTACAAGCTAATCAGTTTTTAAGTTTTTACTTTTGTCTTCCTGCTTTCCAAGCGATTCCTTTCCAACATGGCTGTTAGGCTCCTATGGTTTTAAAAAGAACGGTTCAACGATTGTTTGTGAATTTTTAACTATTACGAAGCCAGATCTATGGTAAGTGTTGTTTATAATGATTTGTTTTATACGAGTGTCACGAGAAGCTTAAAATTCAGCCGATTATTCTCGATAGTTTAAAGATATGGCTGACAGGAATTATCTCTTCTTTACGCTCGATTACTTTTGGACGTTGATAATCTTTTTTCAACATCGTCTATCTGGGTTTTTAATATCGTCTACCTATTGTGTATATTTGGCAAGGAACCACTCTGTGCTTGGTTTATGTATAAAATGGTATATTTAAATGTTTGATGTATGTTACATTTGTTCCTCTTCCGTGAGATCGTCACTAAACTACGCAAATTTGCATCGCGAGACTATTAGCGCAACGGTCGTTACTTGTTTCTACTTGTCTTACTTATAATGATAGGCTTCTCTCGATGATTTTAAAATGTTCTATGTGTTTCTTCTTTTGCATTACAATATCGGTACTTTGATAACAAACGGAGCGAGGCAACGTGTTTGGTGTCGCGATAATGGCACAATGTTTTCGCCGCGTGCGTAAAGTTTAACAATCAACTAGTGTTGTTATGTGTTTAACATATATATTTTCGCTAAAAAACATCATTATAATTTTCCGCCAAGTGCCTTCAGTAACAAGATTCAATATATATGTATATATACATACATACATACATACATACATACATACATACATATATATATATATATATATATATATGTACACGTATTTCCGCTTTAAGACTAATTTAAAATTCTCCTAAATAGGAATAATTAGACACTATTAATCGTCAACGGTATAACGTATTAGGAATAATTAATAGTCAACAATGATGTCACGTGTGTCTCGTGGTTTGCCTTTACATCGTGATATTGCTGTTATTTTAGCCTAGAAAATGCTCCTACGGTTACGACGATGGCGATATCTCTCGTTCTCACACACACAGTGTCTAAGGAGACGTTAAATTATATTGCATATTCGATCGGACTTTAGATGCGAGCAGAGAGAACAATATAAAATTATATGAACGCGTAAGAGTAGAATGTCCGCTATAATATGAGCGTTACGTCGAGTGGAGATAAATCGCCAGGACGTGTGTACGATGTTTGTCGGAAAAATAAAAACAAAAGAGAATAATAAATCAATCCTGTGTAGAGTAATCACGCGGTACGCGTGATGTCGAGATAAACAACAATAATGGAAAGGAAGCGTCACGAGAAATCGAGCGGATTTTTCGACAATTTTTTTTCAACGGGGACTTCGTGATTTAAGTTGCATTCTAAGTACAACTTTCGGTAATTTGGATTCTCCCCCTGATAATGCACGTCTTCGATTTTTTTTCTCTTAAGGTAGATATACCGCCACACCCGTTAACTTATAAATTGACACACGATCGGTCGCGATCGGATGGTAATCGCGCGTGTAAAAAATCCGCTTACGCACGCCTTCTTCTTACCTCTTATCGCCTATAAGGTGTATTTTTATTTACCCTGCAGCATGCATCTTTAAAGAGCGCGAGTATTGCAGTCTCGAGACGGTAGAAAATGGAACGCATGTATCGACGCATTTTACAATAGTGACTTACTGTTTTACGTATATTACTTTCACTGTCGACGTTTCTTCTCCCACGGGGCGTTTTCTTCTCGCGCCGATGACGCAAGTCGCATCGTCGGTGTTTCGTTTAAGGGGGAGGAATTTTCCTGGCCCTTGAACGAGTTAAGTCTGAGCTTACAGCGATATATACTTTCTGATAGTTCAACGCTTGGAGATTCTCGCGTATTCGAGAGGCTCAGAAGTAGTCGGATAAAAACTTTACAAATCTATCGAACGAAGCTCGAAAACGGACGAGCGGTAGAGAAACATTTCTCAGATAGAGATTCACGATTTTTCCCGTAATACGAGATTAATATTACGAGACGTAGCTCAGGATGCCGCGACAATCATCGCGACACAACTTCCAATTTTTCCGTGTTGATATGTTGAATCACAGTCACTTCGCCGACATACACATGCGTTCGAGAATCGCGTCCTCGACATTATAATTTGCGTATTAATTCTGTGTGTTGTCCAAAAAGAAGTCCGAACGCCGTATTGGACAATGCACCGATCATCGCGACATCCATCCTATGAGGAAAACAAAAACAAGAAATTGCATACCGGTCGTATTCGTGTTTCCTAAGTACTCGTATCACCGAGACAAGAAGCTTATAAGCGAGAACGCGCCTTCGATAAATCGTCTATGGAAACCTAACTCCGTGTGAATGTCTACTCGATACTCGTATACTAGTCGTGTAAAGCCCGCTTTAGACGTCACATTTTCAATATGCATAGCTCTTCACGCTCGAAAATTCGATTCAAACGTGAGGGGGGGGGAGGGGAACCATGCTTGCATGTTTCTACACACACACATATACATGCGCGCGCAAGCGCGTACACATGAACACATCACACATGCATACATACATACATACATACACACAGCCCATTACCGGCGTCACAGTTGAATGCGTAGGAAAAATGCGCTACCCTAAAGCGGGTGATAAAAAATCGTCAACAACGAGCCGCGGCGACGACGTCCTGACGTACGTCGGCGTGCAGTCACTTCTGCAACGCGTCCCGTGTCCAGTTGAAGGACGAATCTCCGGAGAATTGCTAGAAGAGAAATTTTCCCACATACTGGACGCGGGACATATAATGAAACTCCTTCGGGAAAACGTGTCGCAGCCCTTAAAGGGGAAATTATCGAATGCGGAAGACCGTTTTCAAGGCTATTTTTACGGATTTTTTTTAACAGAAACGATAAGATCAATGGACTTGAAATTTTCACAATTTTTGAACATTCATTAATGTTCAAAGTATAAAATAAATTTGTTATCTATATGGAAAGTACACATAAAACTTTAAACGCGCTTATCTGGAAACACCATTTTCTTAAACTGTCGACACGATTACGCAAAAATTATTACTAGAACCGAATAACTTGAAATTTTTTACACAATATATAGCAAACGTGTAGTTTTTGCCCCTACCTCGAACACAGTTATATTTTATTTTGTACATTTTTTTAAATATGACTACAAGTTGAAAAAAGTTTCATTTTCGATACTTTTTTTTTTTATATGGTCATTATTTTTCCAAATTTGGCTTCATTGCCTTCATTTTGGTGCGGGCTATACGTATAATGGGCAACCGTACATTTAAGAAATCTTTCTCAGTTTTTGGTTTCAGAGTAGTGAGAGGCCCGGAATTATGTCGATAGCAAACATAGAGCTCGCAAACGGATTGACTGCATTTCTATCTATAATTACAGATTGGTTCAATTCTTGTGATTCAATAAAATTTATTTTCTACTTTGAACATTAATGAATACACTGTGAAAATTTCAAGTCCATTGATCTGATTGTTTCTGATTTTAGAAAAATTCGTAAAGATAGCCTTGAAGACGGACTTCTGCATGTAATTGCCCGCTTAATCGGCCGACTGCACATTCGTACGCGCAGGCGCCGGCGAACGCTTCGAAAGAGAGCTTTTCATCACAGATCATCGCATCTCCGATCCCGGAGGCTGTCGCATGTCTCGCGAGATTTCGAGCGTGCTGTTCGGCCGACTGGCGCGCTAAAAAGTCTACTGACCGCTACCCGGTGAAAGTATCTAAGTAAACTGCTGGCGGTGACGAGAACTTCGGAGAGCGTTCCGCAGCCCGGACAATGTCGCGCTCCGGGCTGGCCGCCGGCTTTTCCTCGTCAGCAAGCCGCAAAAGCCTGGCTCGCGCTTTCGCGCGCGTGTACGGCTCTCTATTAACAACTAATATCCTCCGGATTGATTCCGCGCGCTGTTGTTTCCTCTTCCTTTCTCTTTTCCTGTGGGGGAGGGGCTGGGGGTTTTCTCTCTCGTCGCAGGCTCTCGACGCGCGGGTTCACTTGAAGGAGTTCACTATGTCCACGATACTGACGTAGGTCCCCACCACGAGGCCTATCAGCCCGAACACGATGAGTAGGATGTTCTTGATCATCATGAATTTGAGGGGACCGAAATCATTGTCCGGCCAAAGCACGCATATCTCGATTATCGCCGGGAAAGCGATGCCGAGGGCGGATAGGCAGAGCGCGCCGAACAGGGAGATAAATAGGCCGAGCCGCGGTATGGTGATCGCCAATACGACTGCAACGACAAGGAAAAGCTCCATTAGTTGGTGCGTCCATTTTATCATTCGGACGATTCGTTCCTTTTCCACGATCGGTTCTACGACCTTCGTCGCGTCGCGACGAGCTGCAGGAGAACTCGCAGCAGACGTTTCAATTGATTTAATTAATTTACGAGACGACGCTTCTCGCTCGATATCGCAGATATTTAGCGATAACTTTACTCGATATGCCCGAAGCTTCAAATGGTTCGACTTCGGATTCTCGAACGCTATTTGAAGCTTCCAGGGATTAGCACCGAAGAATACAGCCAGATCTTGTGCAATTAAGAGCGAGATTACGGAGCAATTGCGGAGCAGGCCGTTTCCAAGGCTATTTTTATGAATTTTTTTAACGGAAAGATTTAACGGTAGGATCAATAGACTTGAAATTTTTACAGTGTTATTCATTAATGTTCAAAATATATGAAATAAATTTGTTACCATCTGTATGAAAAGTAAAAATACATAACAAACTTTAAACGCAGTTATATTTTATTTTATCCATTTTTTTAAACACAGTTATATTTTATTTTATTCACTTTTTTAAACATGATTACAAGTTGAAAAAAGTTTCATTTCCGATACTTTTTTTTGTACGGTCATTATTTTTCTAAACTTGGCTTCACTGCCTTCATTTTAGTACAGGCTATAATGGCAACCGTATATTTTGAAAATCTTTCTCAGTTTTTGGTTTCAAGATAGTGAGAGACCCAGAATTATGTCGACAGCAAATATAGAGCAAATATAGAGCTCGCAAACGGACGATTGAGCTTTTATCTACAATTACAAATTGGATAGCTTCTTGTGATATTCAATAAAATTTATTTTATACTTTGAACATTAATGAACACACTGTGAAAATTTCAAGTCCATTGATCTTACCGTTTCTGCTGAGAAAAAGAAAAATTCGTAAAAATAGCCTTGAAAACGGCCTTCCGCAACGGTAATTCCCCCTTAATACCTCTTCAAAGGAGCTCCGAAGCTCCAAATACAATTTATTGCCCCAGCACTCACATGTAGCCAAAGTAACGACGGTCCTACACACGTACTCCCAGAAAAGCTTGCCACTTCGCACCCGATGATCCAAGTAGGTGTTCCACAGAATCTCGACCGGCACGTAGGCCTGCAGGGCGTACGTTATGAATATCGCGATAGCGAACATTATCTTGATGCTCTGGGCCATACTGTGTAATAAGAAGCAAGAAATGAACGTATAAAGTATGGGCGTACATCGAGAGCGAGTGAATAGCGAGTCGGATCCATCGGTCGTCGTCACTTATAAATATATAAAATACACGACTCGTCGCGGATACGGCTAATTTCGGCGGAAGCCGAAATCCGAGGCGGAATCGAATGTCTCGCGAGCGGTGATTGTGCGAAAGCAATTTGCAAACAGTAACCCGCACTCGACGGCCTCTCCGGCCGGCTCGTCTTGCCAACGTAATTGGACTGCGATTACTTCGCTCCACTTACATTTCCTCCTCCGGCAGATTGAAAGTGACGCTTCCTGCGGCCGCGGATCCGTACTTAAGGTAGCCGAAAAATCCCATCGCTATGTAGAGGATGACGATCACGATCATCCCGATGTTCAGCACGCCGCAGTAGCCGCCGAAGTACTGCGGCGTCTTCATATTGTTCTCCAGTGCGATAATCTGCGCAACAGTCACAGTCGTCTCTCGTAAATAACGTCGCAGAGAAACAATAACGAGAGATAACAATCGATGGAACAAATCGCTTGTTTGTTCGTTTACTTTCGAAGGTAGATTGCCGAAAGAGAGAAACACCGCTACGACAGTCCAATATACGTAAATCCTATTTTTCTGTTCTGATCGAAAAATTTCTATTGTCGGAATTAAAGCTACCGGACTAATTAAAATTATTCGAAATTGCCCCCTGCTCGAGAAGTGAAAGTTATCAGGAAGAAAGCGAGATCGATCGAAAGATTCAAAGTTCTGAGGAAGTTACTACTTTCTTCTTTCTGGATTAATTAGGAGGAACGAAGGGATCTGACAAAGATTGCGAGCTTCAAAGGTGCCGATGATGTGCAACGAATACATTTACTGGGGCCTTTGCATATTATCCCATATGTCGATTTTCATCGTATATATATATATATATATATATATATATATATATATATATATATATACGTGTGCATATATATAGGAAAAATAAAACGGAAGATCTCTTGCTCCTGCCCCCTCTCCCCTCTCTCTATTTCTACCCGGCGAAGACCGAAGGTGCCTAGAAGAAAAATAAATCTAAGTCCAGACTTACCACGCCGACGGCTTCTAACGCAAATAACGTCGTTCCAAAATAGAGGGAAAAATTTCGCAATGTACCGAACATCTCCCTCTCGCTGATCGGCGGTAGATCGTCAAACATGTACACTAGTGTCATGGCGAGGCCGACGAACGTGATAAGGTTCGCCAGCGTGGAAAACGGCGCCAGTAACTTGAGATTTCGAATGTAGTTTATCAAAATCAGCGGAAGCAACAAAATGAGCATGTGGGTCGTAATCGCCAAAGGTTCCCAGTACTGGTCTGTCACCTGCGTTCATTAATAAAATCATCATGAATCCGCCGTGTTCCCCGAATTCGGCGCCCGCCGAGACGCGATTTTTCTGTTCAAACGCCGCGTGCCTGTGTGTATGTACGAGAGTGTGTACGAGTTTGTCTTAAAAATTAATCTTCATCACGGCAAAGCGCATTCGATCTTACTCTTTCTCTCTCTCTCTCTCTCTCTCTCTCTCTCTCTCTCTCTCTTTCGCTCTTTCTCTCTCGCGACAGCGTGCGACTACGAAATGCTCGAGGTTGCTTTAGATTTCCTTTATAAATCTTTCTATGGCAATGGTGATTGGTGATTTACCTGTTTTATATTTGTTGCTACAAATACGATATAAACGCAGCAAATTCCCAATTGATAGATTATCATAAACCCGTCTACGAGTCCTCTGGAAACAACAGCATTTTTAAGATCGTGCTTACGATGACTTACGTAGGACGGACTCGTGCATGTCTCCGTAATGCAAAATTGGGAGAGGTTACTATGGCACTACGAGATGGACGGAAAGTATCGCCGAGAGCTTGTTCGTTTTACACGTGAATGTTATTCTAAGGGAACCTCCTCTACGTTAGAAATGTCTCTTTCTCTCTCTCTCTCCGTTTTTTTTGTCGTGTCGCAATCGGTATCTTCTGCATGGCAGGATCGCGTTCATGATTCAAGTATTTTCAGCAAGTATTTTACGTGTCTCTGATACATCCAACATATTTAAAGCCCAGAAAAGCTTGTATCGAGTGGCAGTGCCACGTTGATAGCATTCCGACAGCAATGACAGATCGTAGAGAATGAAGAAACGACAGAAGGTACTTACGGTGCGTAGGGCGCAAACCAGCTCACGCATCGAGGACCTAGCTCGAGCGCGAATTTCATGCTGTGCGGATAACTCAGTATAGGAACCCTCAATCGCTTGCACAGTTTGTACTGCGCCTTGACGAGTACGTGCAAGCAGTAGGTGCACAGCGCGCCTATGATAATCGTGGCTATCACGCCGACCAGGAGGCCGCTATTGCAAAATGCATTCGGCATTGCTAATATCCCCGTGCCCAAGCTACCCTTCAGCAAGTGAATCAGAGTCTCGGCGTTCCTGCAAGGTGGACGACGTTTCGCTTGACTGAGGATTCAATTTAGATGACATTCGGATCTAGCTTGCGACAGTGAATTAAATATATAAATGTAACTGCGTTACATTTACATGCGAGAGGAGTCTAAAGTCGATTGAAAAATTTCAAAAAGGTCTACGGAGTCGCGACAATACGACAGCGACGATCTTCGCTCAAGACTCAATCTGCGAAGAACTCATTCGCGCGCTCGCTCTCGCTGAGCTAACTTCTTACTTCTGTGCATACTGTGCGTACTCACGAAGTGGGATTCGGCCGGTTGCGGTGCTTGTGAGGGTCATAGTCTTCCCCGTTCGCGGTCGGGGATAATACGACTTCCGTATTATTTACCGCGCTCGTAACGATCTCACTGTTCTCCCTGCAAATCATATGCAAATTGTTCATCAAATAATACCCGTGCGGTAGAGGAGTAATTGGAAAAATTGACATTCTTTTTAAATTGATATATTCGCTACAGGAATAATTTCCGGTGACAATGTAATTAAAATCGAGTAGTCGGCAAGATAATCTATGCAATCAAAGCGTACTTGTAAGGACTCTGAGAAGCGATCAGCTGCATATTAATGCTCTCCTCCTTCGAGTTCTCCATGATCGCGCGGGTTCCCCTTGCCTCTCTCACGTGTCACTGCAAACAGTTTCGCACATTCTACATCTCGTACAATCGATCAGCTGTTGGTTCGCGCTTACAAAAAGTTCAGGTATATTATGAAATAAATGAAGGGACAAACGAGAAACATCGCGACTGTTGCGGAAAAGACTGGAGGCACTGACTGAAGAGAAGCGTATCAGACCAGCCGCAGAAGATTGACGATTGCGGGTTGAAGATCAACGGCAGATTGAGAGTCGATCCTTAATACCCAGTCTGATAGGCACTCGACAATCAGAGCGCTTATCGATCAAAGACATCGCGATTCAGTGCCGCGTGCGTTTATTGCCAGCGCGGATTAAGAGACGCGCGAGTCACGCAAAGACGCGCGAGAATCGACCCACATCGACGAGAGAGACTGCCCGGTACATTAAACCTTTAATCAATTGGCGGATGTGGAGCAATGCAATAAAGCAAAAATGTCAATTCACCGTCGCGAATCTGCGGTGCGCGGTACGCACCGCCTCTCTCTCTCTCTCTCTCTCTCGCCGCCGCGGCTTTGGCGCATTCCTTACGAACTGATTGCTCTTAATTATTGCATTGAGGTCAAATGCAGCTTGGGGTTAATTTTTACTGAAGGTTGCGGTATCCTCGCGGCACCGCACCCGCCGCGCCGCATTTTACCGCCTTTAACTGTTTTGCGTTGTTACGAGCGCGCACGCACGGCCGATTGATCTGAAATTCGCGCGCGCGCGCGGGGACAAAGTCTATTCTTGTGCGAATGCAAATCCGCTCTCGGCAACGCTCAGCTCGCGGAGACGCGTCCCGCGTCGTACTTTTCCGATATTCAAGGGGCCGGGCGGAAAGTAGAGCAGAGAACGACACCTCGGAGCGATTTCCGGCCGGATCGCTCGCGCGTTAATCGCATCGCGTTGTTCGCGGCGTTAAGTGTCGCTAAGTGTCGCGCCCGGCGTGCACTCGCCGGGAGTTTCCGCGTTCGCGAATAACCCGCGATGACATAATGAAACGCGAAATCTCGGCTACATAAGCTGAGTCTAATTTTACACCGAGAGAATTCTCCGCGCTTCTCTAAGGTCACGGTCGCGATGGAAATATCCGCGCGATGGGAAAGACGGCTCATTATCCAATTAGCGCTCCGAACCCGCGCTCTCGCGTTTCGGAATATTCTCCGAATGCGCATTCCTCGATGTCGCGTGATGTCGCGTGCCGGTCAGCTCACGAGAGACACCCACCTGTTACGATTTCAATCTTCAAGCTGTCGGCGGCTCTCTCGGGGGCATAGGTCGTGTGTGATTCCCTCCGTTTGCGGCGCTTCACGTCTGCAATGAAAGCATTTCGGGCAATATTAGACGACGTCAAAGACGAGGATCAACCTCGCCAGGGATTAAGTCCCTAGAATATCGCAATAGCGATTTAAAGACACACACACACACACACGCACATATACTTGCGCGCACACGAGTTTCTCGCTAAAATACCGTAAAATACAGCAATTAGCCGAGCGATCGCCGAGATCTCATGTTGTGAAGGGCGGAACGGCAGAAGTGGACAAAAGCGAGACCGTCGGTCGTTACGTTATAGCGTTAAGCTATTATAATTCGCGCGCGTTGATCACAGCGCGTGGGTTAGGGTTTGACTATAATAATCGATCTGCTAATTCTTACTTCCTCGGCGCGTAACGGGGGGAAGTCCGCGTCAGCCTCGTGCTTGAAACAATATATGGGACTGGAATACCCGCGTACGCGGGTCCCACTAATTTTAGGTCGCGTCGTGTCCACCCCCCTTTGCCAACGGGGACCGACCTGACAGGTGTCACGCTATTTCAGAGGTAGCGACAGACACAAACGCCGAAATAAACGAGGCGTCCACGACGCCATGAGTGAGGAAGAGAAGACCGCGTTTACGCTTTATTCATAACGCCTTGTTATTAGCGTCGCTCCTCGCCTCTCTTCGCCTCTCTTCGCCGTGGGCGAACGTTCGACGCTCGTGCAAAAGATTTTTTAGTAGCGCATATAAATGGAATCGTTCGTCGCTAATCATACATGACGGATCGATCGAGTCGAAAATAAGTCGCAAATTTCAAGGGCGATTTTATGAGCGCGTCGCGTGACGGACAGCGTACGGTAAATTGGCAGACGCGATACGTTCCGCGCAAGCATAATGCAACGTTGCATTTCTTCGCTATAAATAAAATCTCTGATAAAGCAAAGCGGATACGCGCCGCGATTTTCGCGTCCCTCGCGAGGAGGAGGAGATCCGGATCGAGAAAAGCGTCGAGACGGTTTTGCGAATATCACGCGAGGCGATTTCGCGCGATTTCGAACGTCACCGCGCTCGAGGTACGATACGTATACGAACGATGAGACGACCCGGGAGCTATGAATCGCCCCGGGAGCTCGCAGTCAGTACTCTTCCATTCGTTTAATCGTTCAATTTGTCGAATTCTGCCTCCAGCCGATTAACGCAAATATCCTCCGAGATCCGTTGTATTATTCGCCGGACTAACAATAGAACTGATGGCAAGATTGCGGATCTGTTCTTCATTCAAGTTGTACGAGATACGATTGAAAAGAGAGGGAATACGATTTCTCAATGTTTCATTTATTTAAATTGGAGATAATACCGCGCGTGTATCGGTGACTAATAACAAATCGTAGTGATGTAATAAATTGAGAGAAGCTACAAATTGCGGTCGACATGCCGATATCACCGTCAGCTTCTTTCTCCAATCTTAATACGCGAATATTTTAAGGCGAAACGCGAACGATCTGTCTATTGGGAGCAGAAACGCACAGAGCGAATGACGCACGGAAACGACGACGGACGCTAAACGATGACGGAGTCTTTTTGCACAACTAGAAAATCTGTCACTGCCATTTACGGACTTAACCGGCCGCTAATCTAACGCGATATCAATTGAATCGGATAAACGGTTCAACTATTACGTAACGAGGCCCCTCCATCGATCTTAATAGCGGTCACTTCGTCGCTCATAACGGAAAGCGAAAGGTTCATTTCATTAGAGCTTCGAGCTTTGCAAATTCGCTCGAAGACGTACGGCGCGCTTCAGAGATATACGGCTCACGGCTGTTCTCAGCGTTTGTTGGCAATTGAATTTAAACAAGAGACCGTCGGATGACTCGCGGACGACGCGTTCGTGCTCTTTTTCTGCAGAAACGACGCACCGCGTCGGTTATTATAAGAATAAAAAATGCAATATTCACTCGCGTAGGAATCGATTCTCATCGAACGAGTGGGATTGTCAATATAAGTCAACACGAGGAAGATAGAATCATGATAGAAAGAGAGAAAAGAGAGAGGCACCGGACTATCGACGAGGATTGACCAACGGGGCGGCTTAGTGTTATTTGGCTGATGACACGCGTTAAATAACCGAGGGGGTTACTAATGTTGCAACAATAGCCGCGACCGTTGACTACATTGTCAATGGCGATAATGGATGCCATTGATGCGATACTCGCGTGACAGAACCGCGAGGCTTTCTGCCTCGCTGAGCTTGAAAGACCGCTCGTAGACTCGTAGACCTCCCGGCCGCCCTGATATTCCCACCGACTGAAATTCCTCGTCTCGAGGAGTTGACGAACCGTGCGACGAACATGTACACACAGACGTGCGCACGTTTGTGAAGTTAATTCGTTGGGAGATCGAGGAACGAAGTCTGTGCGAAGTTTATCCGGTTCCGAGGAGACGATGAGGAGGGATACTTCCTGCCGCGCGAGCGGAAGCACTCGGAAAAGCTCGGTGAATTCGACTTACCGGATAAAAGCGCATCCGCGAGAGTGCAACGATCACGAGGACGACTTCCGCAACCCCCGGACGTAACCCGATCCTGCGGACGACGGCGCGACTATCCAGTTGGCGTTAATGCGTCGGCGACCGAGGATGTCTAGCGACTACTGCCCAGCACCACTTCAATTTCTACTGTGGTGTACGCATTCAGCATAGCTCGTCACGTGATGTAGCCAGTTAAAACGGCTTCTCCTCGTAAATGCACGCCAGCGGAGAGAGAGAGAGATTTAGGCAGCGCTCGGAGAGCCCGCACTCGACGTCCGAGCGCCTCCGCTTGGATGTCGTAGTGCGGATATCCGCGTGCGAGGATTCACGTAGACGGGAAGATGGAAGAGCGAACGAAGGACCAAGATGTCGACCGATCGATCGCGAGTCGCGAGGATTCGCGGGCTGCCCTTTCGGGAGAATTTTATCGGCGTCCAACGACGCCTCCGGATTAACGGAAAATCCTTATAAATATGGCGTGTCCTTTGGCGATAATTAATTCAGAATAACACAAAACATGACAAAAAAGAGGAATCGCAGTACACGCATAGTAGGTATGTCGGAAAAAAACACATACTTAACATATCGTCCGAAAGTGCGTACGAGTTGTTGACGTCCTATCGGTAAATCACGAAGGATCGAAGATCATCCTTACGAAGGATCCCCGCCATGTGCGTGCACGACGGAGCCCGTCACGTGTGCGTACTTCGCGCACGAGGCGCGAAGATTCATGCGACCCGCGCACGTGGCGCGCCAAAGTCCAATAATAGAGCGACCGCGAGAGAGACGGGGACTTCCGCGCGCTCTACTGAGAGGAAGCGCTTTCCTCCGGAATATCATTCTGTTTATCGAGATAAGAGCGGTATTTTGAAACGGCCTCAGTTAACCCCCTCGCACAAATCGCAAAAAAAAAAAAGAGACTCGCGCGAGTGTCCGCGCTCATTTCCACGACCGACGTCGGCGCTCGTCATCTCGTCTCGCGCTCTTCGCGAGACTTCGCGTTACGTAAGTGCGCCAACGGACAACCGCACAGCCACTGTCCTGCCAAGATATATTTGCGGTCAACGCAGCGAAATGTCACGACAAACTTTTCGTGTATGTCGAAAGTAGCGGAAGAATCGCGGGCGCGGCTCGTAAAATTAGAACGCGGTCGTACGTCACCGATTGACAGCGCCGACAGTTCGGGTAAAAGAAGTCACGCTGAAGAGATGATCGCAGCGCGGCGACATCATATCTTCACGGTTACGTTCATCCCCGCGAATGTTATGTTTAGTCGCGAAATATATTTGACGAATCCGTACGAGTACGTCTTATCACGCCAATGTTAACTTAATGGGCTGAATGCTCTGAATAACCGACAGTGATCGATCCGCTTTCCTATTTCGGTGGAATGTTTGTCCCGGCGAGCTCGCTTCCCTTCGAAAAGTTTACCTACGACGGAACTTATCGAACTTTCGAGCCTTTGATCTTTTCGCTCCCGCCGTGACAAGTTCCAAATTGTCGTCGGTGTCTTTTGGTACTTCGGGAAACGAAAGCTCGTCGCAGGTCGCAGCGGAGATACTTTTAACTTTTAGCGGAGATTGAAAATCAAGAGTAAATTTATTCGAAATTTATCGCTCTCTCGATATGTCGAATTTGATAGACTCGCGATTGAATTCTACTCGGAGTCGAAAACACGATCGGCAGGTTCGGTCTCGAGGAAATACTTCAAGGGAAGGGAACGGCATTACGTAATACTGGCGTATCGCCGCCGATGCACTTTCCCCTTACGTACCTCATCGAAGCGATCTTGATTGTAGAGGAACACATGCGTGATACGCACGTAACATTGCTTCAATGTAACATAAAATATTCCACTCTGTTCTTCGTCACCGTGGGAAAAGGCGAGCGCACCAGCGAGAGGTACTTATCAAAGCGCTTCCGCGCATCTCTCCAGCATTCTGTCAGACGAAGACGAGCCGTACTCTCGTCGACCCGTTCACTCGACGGCGAGAGTAATCGCGGCTGACCGATCATTACGTAAACATAATCCCAAGCACGAAAAGTTCGAGGCGATGCGTAATACCTGGAGCGGAAGTACGAGAGGCCGACCTAAGGATGATCTCTGATCTAGACACGTATTAGGCACGCACAGACGTGTTAACGCACCAGCAGCAGCACCTGTATACGCAACTTACGTTCGAGCTCATCCGTCTATCACAGCTCGCATGAGGGAGGAGGCACTTCATCACAGGGTTATAGACTATCCACCGGGCTGCGAGCGAGCTTTGGCAGGCGCAATGCGAAACAGGGTACTCGCACAGGGTGGGTGTGTGCAGTCCTCGCGGAAGGGCTGCGCGTTCGGCCGCGTCGGCTGACAGCCACCGTGCCTTCCGCGGGAATTAAGGACGGATTCCCTCCGGGTCACGCCGGATAGGGTAACTACCTCTCGCGCGATCCATACGATAATGATCCTCAGCGACGTCTGGCGGAGGGTGAGGGCGAGCGAATGCCTCACCGTCGTGTCAGGCTTGCGCTGTGAACGAGGATGGCGGTGGAGGAAGAAGTGAAGTAGGTTCACGATAATCGACCGACTCGAGGGTGAGCGAGAGAGAGAGAGAGAGAGAGAGAGAGAGAGAGAGAGAGAGAGAGAGAAGGAGTGTACGAGAGAGCGACGTGAGAATTCGCGGAAGTTTGAAGTATCATGAGGCAGAGCTCTCCCTCGCGATCAGGTGTCTTTCTTTATTATTTAATTGGTTGATCTCGGGAAATCTAGAGCGAGCGCGCTGTCGACGTAAGCTCCGTCCTTCTCTCCAACGAGGTTCCATCCTCGTTAATAATTGAAGAAACTTTCCTAGACTTTGATATAGCGTGCGCTACATTTCGCGGAGAACGATCGCGTTACCTTTGAACGCGAACAAACAATCGCAGAGGTGAATGTTCCGCTTGTAAAATGGAAGAAGGGTTGCACGATCATCCTTGATTATCCTTGATGATTTCGTCTATTTCAAAACTCACCTCGTAAATGTTTTTCCGTCTGTGAAACGGAACACATTCTACGTTTCAGATATATGAAGATCCACCGATCCGTCGATAATTTACAATCAATATTGATAGTCCGGGAATTTTTAATAAAAACGAGGACAACACGAGCGCGATGGCATTGATGGATGCGCGCGTTTTCGGATAACCGCGCGTCGGCGTCGCGGAAACACATCGATTCGTTCGAACGCGTGCGTCCCTAAAAATACAGATTGTATTTACACATGAAATATTATTCTCTGCTGTCGATAAAAAGCGCAATCCGAAATGTAAATTCGAAAGAGAAACGATCGCTGTGTGTAACGACGTAACACGCGAAGTTTGATCGATGACGCGTCTCGAGGACCTCGCGGAGATCACAACGGAGGAAGAGAACACGGAGGGGGAACGGGATGTGCGGGCACAGTATGAAAATAAAATTACTTTTATTTCTGTACAACGAAGCCTTTTTTACATACCGGTTGCACGTGACGCGCCAAACACGCGCGTCTCGGGTCCCGTCGCGTCATAACAGTCCACCTCCACGCAGTCTTGTGTATGAACGCGCGTAAAACCGCAAAAGTGCACTTAGGAACTTCATCTTTCTCCCTCGGCGAATTGCGACCGAAATGCGTGCACGAATGTGTATTCGAAGGTCTCTCTCTCTGTGTGTGTGTGTGTGTGTGTGTGTGTGTGTGTATTGTGCGCGCACGCGCGCGCGTGTGTGTGTATGCGATACATCGGCGTGCCGTACAACGAAGTTAACATTATTTCGGTCGCACGGCTAAAGCCTCTAAATGCGCGTTCTATTTTAAGGTACCATTTACTCTTAGCGAGTGATGAACTTCAAACTACGTATCACATTATCATCGTTCGTCTCGCGCTCGGAGAACGACTTCTTCCCACCGCCGCCTTACTACACTTCGTTCTCTTGCGACTGCAATATTATTGCATGGTCCCTCGCGCGATTGCGAATCGCCGTCACTACGAGAACTTCTTCACAATGTCGCGGAGACTCGTGTAGGTGCCCACGATCAGGCCCAACGCTCCGATCAGCACTAGACATATGTTCTTCGCTAGCATGATCTTCTTCTCTCGAGGTCCCACGATCTTCCAAAAGGCGCATATCTGTATGATCGCCGGGAATGCAAGGCCCAAACCCGACAGGCAGAATGCGCCGAACAGCGAGATGAAGAGATCCAGCTCTGGTATCGTGACCGCCAGCACGACTGAAACAGATCGCAAAAGAGATGATATTTTGAATTATACCGCGGATGTGTAATAACATAATTAATCGCGATCGAAGAGACGTCGATTTAATCATTTAGAGGAGTATAATGCAAAATATGTAATAACGATTTTCTCGCGAGGTTAATTCCAAATTTTGAAATTTAAAAATTTAAATTTTGAGAAGTCGTTTAAAATTTTTTAATTTTAATTTAAATTTAAAAATTTTAAACGACTCGCACTTTGGGTCCAAGTGTGTTATTTTAGTTGAAGCTCTCTCTCTCTTTATACGTTTCTCGCAGATTTGAATCGCGTTCTCTAACGCGTTGAATAGAAAAAATAAAACGAAAATGTCAAACGTGTAAGAAACATGTAAGAAGAGCTTCAAGGGAATCACTTCGTCGACAAGCTCGAGTCGAGCTTCGCACTCACAGGTGAGCAGAATCACGATGGTTCTGACTACGTATTCCCAGAGTAGCTTGAAGCGATACTTGTCGATCACCGGGCTGATATATTCGTTCCACGCGATGTCGATGGCGACGTAACACTGAATGGGATGAGTGAAGAAGATGGCAATGGCCAGGAGAATCTGCACCGCCTTGCCCAGCTTCTCCTGGGTGGGCAAGCTGAGCGTGATGCTGCCCTTGATTAAGCTGCCGTAGCGCACGTATCCGAAGAATCCCATGCCGGCGTACAGCACTATTATGATAATCATGGCAATGTTGAGGACGCCGAAGGGCCTCATGAACGATTTCGGTGTCTTCATCTCGTTCTCCAACGGCATGATCTGCAAACGAACAACGAATAGTCTTAGAATTGCGATCGCGGGATGCTTCGACCCTCGCTGTTAACCACCCTGATTGGTTGGTTCAACAAAAGGAATAATTAAGCATTGAAAGCGTTCGAAGAAGGATCGGTGTATCCTGTTGAAAATTACGAAATTAAAATCTCGAGATGAACGCAAGAAATGAAAGTTCTTCCAGCGAGCGTCATTCAATGTATTGGGTGAGTCCAAAAGTTCGTGCGGAGTTTTAATAGATGGAGTTATAAGCGTCGTAAAGTGTTGTCATTAATACTTCCATCTACATATTATATAACGTTGGAGAGGTGACGTCTTCAGCTGTTATTAAAAAAAAAATCATTTGTTTTCATACAAACTGCTTCGAGAAATATCACTTTAAAAATGAGTATCGATAAGGTGCATTTACGGCATGTTATGCTTTACGAGTTTCGGAAGGGAATAAACGTTGCCGCAGCCGTAAAAAACATTCAGGATGTTTATCAGGATGAAGCACCAGCTAAACGAACTGTGGAAAAATGGTTTGCTAAATTTCGGCGCGGAGAATTTAACCTTGAAGACGAGCCACGCTCTGGTCGACCTTCTGACATTGATGACGATGTTTTGCGTACTTTAGTGCTCAATAATCCGCGAATTTCAACAGAAGAAGTTGCTACAGCACTAAACGTTGACCGATCAACCGCTTTTCGGCGTTTAAAAAAGATGGGATTCGATTTGAAGCTCGATATATGGGGGTGCCCCATTTGCTGACCGAGAAGAACAAAATCAAGCGAATTTCTGCAGCCGTTTCTTTACTCGGGCGGCTCAATAGCGAGTCGTTTTTGGATCGACTAGTGACGGGCGATGAGAAATGGGTCCTCTACAACAATGTTCAGCGCAAACGGACATGGAAACAATCAGGTGAGCATGGTGACGCAATGCCAAAGGCCAGTTTGCACCCGATGAAGGTGATGCTCTCTGTTTGGTGGGATTGCAAGGGCATAATCTATTTCGAGCTTCTCCCCGCTGGCGAAACGATTGATTCGGACAAGTACTGTCGCCAATTAACCAATCTGAATCGAGAAATAAAAGAGAAACGTCCGATTTTGTCAAATCGCAAGGGAGTCATCTTTCATCACGACAACGCCAGACCACACGTTTCGAAAAAGACGCTGCGCAAACTGAAGAGCCTGAAATGGGATGTCTTAACGCATCCACCGTATTCTCCTGATATCGCACCATCTGACTATCACTTGTTCCGGTCATTGCAAAATTATTTAAATGGAAAAAACTTTGACTCTTTGGAGGCCTTAAAAAACGGCGTCTCTTCGTTCTTCGAATCTAAACCGCGCAGTTTTTATGATCGAGGCATCCGTATGCTGCCAGAACGTTGGGAAAAGATTATAGAAAACGATGGAGAATATATCATTGATTGAATAAAGATTTTTGTTTGCCTAATCACTGTGTGACTTTTACTCACAAACTCCGCACGAACTTTTGCACTCACCCAATAATACAAATTCGCTTCTGCCACTCTTCATCATTACACCTGCAGATTTTATGTGCTCTTATGTTTCAGAAGATTACTCACCACGCCGATGGACTCGAGGGCGAAGAGGACAGTGCCGAAGAAGAGCGGGAAATTCTCGATCGCCCCGACCGACGCGCGGCCCTCGAACGTCAAGGGTTCCCGGAAGATGTAGTAAAGTATGATGGCAAATCCGGTAAACATGAGGATGTTCGCGAGCGTCGAGAACGGCGCCAGGAATTTCAGATTCCTGATGTAATTAACGAGGATTAAGGGTAACAAGATAATCGCCATGTACACCTTCAGGTCCAGGTCGATCCACGTTTTCAGCGCCTGAAAGACGTAAGAAAGCAAGGATACTCTTTCGTAATTCTTCCCAGTGATCGCGGGTGGAAGAAGTTACGACTTGCCGTGACGCTCTTGCTGCGTGTTCGATTTTTCTCTCGCATAAAAATCCCGAGGATATTCGCCGCATGACACAACTTATTAACGCGTTGAATGCCGAACTTATTATCGCGTTGCTCACTGGCGACCATTTCATTAAACTGCACGTAAAGTATAATTAGTAGCGTTCAAAAGGTTGACTACACGGCCGATAAAGTGCCGATGAAAGAATACGAGAGGTGATAATGTGACTCGAATTGCAATTATTTATCGTATCTTTGGCAATTTCAATCATTCGCGCAATATAAATGGAAATAACATGTCGTGTCGCGATCGACGTATCAACAGCTCGGCTACTTTTTCGATGACGATGATTAATTCTACCGTCTCGCGGCGGCGTAGACAATGTTCTGTTATGAGGTAAGTGCGAACAGGTAAAACAGGTTGTAAAATCAAGGCGAACTCGCAAGACTCGGAAGCAGAAATGGCTATATACAATAAATGAGATTCCAAGCGTAATCTGCACTTTGCATACGCGCTGATGTGTGCCGACGATGTATGTGTGTCTGTATAATACGCGCACTGATAGAAAAATATACTTGAATTAACTATAATCTCACTATATTTTATAGTTCATTTTGGCGTCAACCATATTTTTATAGTTCGTGGAACCTGCAAAATATAGTAGAATAAACACAAATATATAGTCAATGATTGTCTTAAATAATTGTTAGTTACTTTTACCACATATATGATAATTTCTCTTTCACAAATATAGTGAGATTTAATATTCATATAGTTACATCTATCATCATTTAGCAAATATTCTGGTACTGACTATAAAATACTGACTATACCAGGTCTGTAAATATGAAACCGGAATTTGCCCATAGATGGCCCTAGCTGTCAATGTAGTTACCGTCAAACCGCGTCATTGGCGCCATTTCCATTTGTTGACATCTGACAAAGATTTTCAACTCACAACAATACAAGTTTCATACAACAGTATAGTTTGTAATAGCGTTGAACATGTCGAATTTTGTGCCTGGAAGTTACGATTTGCGGACAGCATTGATTTTCTGTTACCATTTGAAGAAAACTGCTGCAGAATCGCATCGAATGCTTGTCGAAGCTTACGGTGAGCATGCTCTTGATAAATCACAGTGCTTTGAGTGGTTTAAAAAATTCAAACGTGGCGATTTTGACGTGAGAAACGAAGAACGTGGAAGGCCACCGAAAAAGTTTGAAGACAGCGAATTGCAAGCATTGTTGGATGAGAATGACGCTCAAACGCAACAACAACTCGCGGATCAATTAAATGTGACATGAGAAGCCGTCTCCATATGTTTGAAAGCCATGGGAAAGATCCAGAAGATGGGAAAATGGGTTCCACATGAACTGAATGAAAGACAGCAGGAAAACCGAAAAACCACTTGCGAAATGCTGCTCGCCAGGTACAAAAGAAAGTCATTTCTCCATTGAATTGTGACTGGCGATGAAAAGTGGATATATTTTGAGAATTCTAAGCGCAAAAGATCATCCAGGTAACTCCAGGCGAACCATCGACATCGACTGCAAGGCCAAATCGCTATGGACGGAAGACAATCTGTGTTTGGTGGGATCAGAAGGGTGTGATCTATTATGAGCTGCTAAAACCTGGCGAAACCGTTCATATTGAACGCTACCGACAACAAATGATCGATTTGAATCAAGCTTTGCGTGAAAGACAACCAGAATATCAAAAAAGGCAACACAAAGTGATTTTGCTTCATGATAATGCACCATCACACACAGCAAAACTGGTCAAGGAAACGATTGAGGCGTTTAGTTGGGAAATACTTTCTCATGCGGCTTACTCACCAGACTTGGCTCCGTCCGATTACTACTTATTTGCATCGATGGGACACACACTTGCTGAGCAACGCTTCACTTCTTACGGAAATGTATGAAAATGGCTCGATGACTGGTTTGTCTCAAAAGAGCAACAGTTTTTTTGGCGTGGCATCCACAAATTGTCAGACAGGTGGGAAAAATGTATAACTAGCGATGGGCAATACTTGGAATAAAATATTTTTTATCATTTTCATACAATAAACGTGTATTTTCTATACAAAAGTTCTGGTTTCATATTTACATACCTGGTATAAAAGAGTTACTTTTACCTACCATTTTATATTTGCGTACAATAATTTTAGTTTAACTTTTTTAATTTAATTTAGTTTAACTTACTATAATTCTTAGTAAAAATATTATATGATCGGTTATACTATGCCTATATCGTAATTATTACCGATATTATGGTAATACTTACTATAAATATGATATTTCGGATTATAATTTAGTTACTAAATCATTATAGTTCCAAATATCGTATACTTTTCTCTCAGTGCGCCGCATCATGCAGTCTGTTTACTTTTTACGACGCGTACACTAACGACAACGTCACAGCGTCTTTGCGAGCATGCAACGCCTATCGTTCGCAGGATTGTCATTGGTTGGGAGCGCGCGCGGTAATTGTTGACAGTGCACTATCTATTACCATCTCGAAGCAATAACGGGAATAAGACGAGAGATATTCGATACACGCACGCAGTGACGTTGCACGTGGACTGCGAACGTATTTGTTCGAAACGACGTCGTGTTACCTGCTGCGCCCTGAATTAAAAAGCGCGGAATATCCTGAACGCGCGCACGTCCGGTGCGACCGAATATCTCTATAATCGCGACTTTAATGCGACGCAGGGCGATAAGCGATTCACGCGATATCAACCGATCTTTCGTGCCTCGGCACAGCTTTTCGTATTTTCCTTCTCATCGGCTGCTGGGTGAAATTATCTGCGGTAGAAAACAACGAACAACTTTTCGCGAAACGTTGCATTCGCGATTTTTCTTGCCAGCTGTAACTGAGACATTTGCATTGAAAACTGATTAAAAGTTCTTCTCTTTATCTCTGAATCCGTTTGCATCTTGTTTCGGAACAGTCGAACCGAAACAGTCACGGCGAACGTAATACGCAATTTACGACCTGTTAAACAGTACGGCGCGCGTGTCTTGCTTGCAAAAAGAAATCGGAAGGTTTTAGACGAAATCGCCGAAATACTCTAATGAGTCCTTGAATGGATAACGAAGACACTCGGATCCGTTAATACGTCTAATCACATTGACGGCCGCGTGCGGAGAAGGAAGCATAATCGGCACTTTTATGTCTCTCGTGTCACGCCGCGCAAATATTTCGCTCGAGCAATTAAATCGCGACCGTGCTATTCTCGAGGCGTACATATGTACCGCATAGACATAAGAATATAGGGACAGAGCATAAGCCCGTAAGATAGGCGAGGGGAGTTGTGCTGAAATGCGGGGGGCGACTGTGCCTAAGTTTCATTGGCTACAATAGTGCGCATATTCAGAGCGTGTGATGCAACGACTTGGCTGTCATTGACAAATAGTAAATGTAACAAAATGATAAGAACTATTTACACTGACAGTATTTTGCAGAGGTTATGCATGTGTCTTTTTTTTCATAATTTCACTCACACACAACTTCATACACATCTATGTATGTATCAAATACTTACACACGGCACAACCACCAATTAGATTTAGGCACAGTTTACCTCGTCGCACCGTCCCGCAATGGTTATCCCCCCGCAACTCTATGCTCTGTCCCTATATTCCTATGTCTATGACATACTATCCTTCTTTTCTTTTTCCTTGTGCGGTCTCGGTCATCATCTTCTCTCTCTCTCTCTCTCTCTCTCTCTCTCTCTCTCTCTCTCTCCTTTGTATTATTTTTTACTTCCTTGCGCTTGAGGGGACCAGAACGCTCAATAAATAACGCTTTCTCTCTCTCTCTCTCTCTCTCTCTCTCTCTCTCTCTCTCTCTCTCTCTCCTTTGTATTATTTTTTACTTCCTTGCGCTTGAGGGGACCAGAGCGCTCAATAAATAACGCTTTCTCTCTCTCTCTCTCTCTCTCTCTCTCTCTCTCTCTCTCTCTCTCTCCCTCTCTCTCTCTCTCTCTCTCTCTCCCTCTCTCTCTCTCTCTCCCCTCTCTCTCTCTCTCTCTCTTTCCTTCTTTTATTCTTTCATACGCGTGTCCTCGAGACACGCGTATGAACGAGAACTTTACGTCGTCGTTATGTACCTCCGTATACAACACGCACTATCATGTAGCACGCATCTGAAAACATAACGACGCACGGTTGACATTATTTCCGCTCATCTTCGCATTTACTCGAAATTATGTCGAAAACTGAATTGTGCGCAAGATTGACAAAAAAAGTGAATCTGGTCGAGCAAGAAGTCGCATTGAGACATTAACCAAGAGTTGTTGGTTGCCCAAAGCCCATAGTTGTTTCGTCGAATTAATTTTGAAGCTAGCTTGACTTTCAGTGATATTAATACCATCGTATAAATATACAAACTCATTTGTAAAAGAGATGTGAGAGTCGGTAAATAGTACAAAGATGTATCGAGGTGAGAGAATCTCTCCGTTGAGACGGAAATGACTTCTTCGTCAGGAAAATATGAGAAGAAAGCGTCAATCTTCGAATCTTCAGATAAACGTAAACATGAGTGAGAAAGTTTCATAATACGTGCGTCGTTGCATATCTCAGACTCTGTCGATCGGTGCATGCCGACAGAAAACTGTTCTTTTCGAACGTGAAAGAAAGAAATAGAAAACTCATTCTTTATATTAAAAAAAAAAAAAAAAAAAAATTGAGCAAGTATACGAAATTTTCTAAACGGAAATAAGTATCGTTGCACGCTGTTCTCGATGTAAAATTAACTTTTTTATTCGTCACAAATTCGATGCTTTTTCCAAAATCATAGATTTTCCGTTATCGTGCACGTGCTAGCACCTGAGCTAGGGACCGAAGTCCATGCTAAAAATAAACTAATAACGTGTTAAAATATATATTAATACATTCCATCTTCGTTATTTAAACATCGGTCTTACAAACTGAGCACGAGTCTTTGGATATTAGAGCATCACGCGAGTCTAGAAAAGTTAATATCGCGAGTAATATCAAGCGCTCGCGTCGTCGTCGCGATGATTTACCTCGAATCGTACGCGCAGTCGCCGCGCGTTAAGAAACATTTTTATCTTGATTTCCATTTGACGCATTTGCGTTTGAAACGCTATATGCACATTTTTGTGAATTCTCAGCGCGTATTATCGCGCAACTAATCTAAATTTCTAATTTCGCGAGCGCGCTCGAGGGCCGCGGCGAGCCGCGCGATTTCGCAAATATTCAGTCGATTCGGCATCGTCAGCCGTTGCATTTGATTAACAACCGTTACGTAACACGTGTAACTCTACCCTCGTATCTTCAAAGCACCGTCATTACTATGCTTCGATTTCAAGGGCAAGCGGAAATGGGCACGTTACTGTCGTTTAACATGTCTCGTTTATCGTCGGCTGATCTAGCCTTCATCTTACGTAAAGCGGTGCAGAACGACGCGCGATCAATTAAATGAACTCTTGAGATAGTTAATGTATGCTCAGATCTCGTCAGAGCGAATTTTGCATTTTTCGTACGAGGAAGATCGGCCTCGAGAACGAGTTCACGAGAAACTGCTGTTTTTAGACCGCTCGAAGTGGATGAAGCAACGAATTAATTATCGTGAGCTGTGAAGTTCGTGCAAAAAATTGGTGGTTTTTCCATTAAATCTTCGTAGGAGGAAGGATGCTAAGAAGGAAAATCAGAAGTCCTCGTTAGAGGCGCCTGAAGAAAATACCGAGAATCGATGTCGTGCATTTTATTCCTGAAAATTGTTGATCCTTCGGAATTAAATAACTTCATTTTGCATCTTGTTTTGCACCAATCTAATGTATTAATTGTTTCTAATTAATTGTTACGATTAAAAGATCTATGTATTATATTCGCGGACGACCGTTTCCGAAGGAAGACCGTTAATATCGACGTATATGTTCATGGTGCGAAAAGTAGAAAGCGTCAGGATAACTCTAGCGTGACTCAAATCCGATCCACCTTGAAGCCGCCCATTTCGGGAATCATTGTCCTTAATTCTCTCTGTTTGCCGCGATCATCGCAACGATGCTGCGCGATTCATCTGGTGTTATATTTTCGTTTAACCCATCATTGAGAAAATGTGAGACGTACGGATTAACTGATTGATGCAAATCGTTATTTATCACGCTAACGAATAGTGCACGTGCTGCTTATCGAAGGTGATACCATAAGTAACGTGACGATTCGACAAAGATTCGACGATTGTTGCCTGTAGCGTCTAAACATGATTACGGTGATAATCGCGACTATGAAAAACACGCTGAAGACGCAGAAAATAACTCGTCAAGCTCTTCCGCGGCAGGTCAAGGCGACAGAATTATTTGCACCGTGCGTGTGAGAAAATCCACGTGAGAAAACGGCAATTTCAACGTCGTAAGACGCGCCATCGAGATCTCGGAATCTCGTTCAAGATTGCTTATTACAGCGAATCAACCGGCGGGATTGTTACGTAACGCGCGTTAACCATATCAATGCTAGAGCACAATAACCCACAGCGGAGACTTCCGGGATGGGAATAATCCGTCAGACGCATTTACGGTAGCGGCGATTACGCGCGATCATGCGATTCACAACGCGGCTCTATAAAAGCCAGAGATTTACCGACTCTTCTTCCTCTCCTCCTCCTCCTCCTTCCTCTTCTTCCTCTTAGCAAATCTTTCGAGTAATCGCGAGATTACACTGCTGAGATACAGCGACACCGACGTCCTTCTGCTCGCGAAGCCTCGTTCGCGCGCGAATGACAAATTGCGTGTGAAGTTATCGTTATCGCAAATCTACTAGCGTAACATCGGACAATTATCGAATAACAAAAGCTTCGACACATCCGACGGCCGTTTACGTAATCATTACGTTCACCATGAGCGATACGAAAAGAAGGAACGCGCGCGCAAAGTTATGTAAACCGTTTATCTGGACATCTTCCTCCTCTCCTCCTCGCGTCGCTCTTCCTTTCAAACTTTCCACCTTTGCGGAGGAAAGAGAGAAAGATTCGTCGCGCGCTCTCCCGCAGGCGGAGATCTCCGTCTCCCCCTGAGCGTGCATCGGGCATGCTCGAGGAAATGTCGCGCGTTATCGCGATATTTATCCGATTCTCCTCACAAAGTGGTTAATGCAATGAACTTTACGCGCGGCAACATACGCGCGGCTCCGTTCACTCCGCCACTCCGACCCTGAGAAGCCAAGGCGCTTGTTCGAACGAACCAACGAACGAACGAACGAGCAACAGGCGATCAGGTTTATGTGCAACGCACCGACGTTACATCTACGTTCACACGCACACACACACACACACACACCCGGTATGCTTGTCGTAATAACATATGGCGTAACGATAGTTAACTATCTATTACATTGCGTATACTACGCAATCCCAACCTTCCCAACGGTGCGGTTAACACAAGACTTGGCGCCGTTCTCTCGCAACATTGTGCGCTACACCCGCTGCCGTGTCGTATTTTGCGTATTTCGCGCGCATTTGTCACGCGAGAATTTCAGTGCCGTCGTAGTGAGAGCATATCTTTTTTGCACGATACACATGTTCCAATTCCAGCGAGGTACGTTCATTCGATTCGGCCCGCCTCGTTGGCCGTTCGTCGGGATCGTTTTTCGCGTCATTTCGCGCGACTTGTTCAAATAAAAGCCCCGAATCCTTGCGTATCGAATCGCACGCGTTTCTTTCGCGGGGGGTTACCGAAACTCCGATTGTGCAAGTAAACGTTTTTACGTCGCGTTACGTCGTATCGGCGATTTCCCAGGCGAACGCTCGAATTAGTCTCGCGATATTCGATCGAGGAAAAAATACATACGGAACGGAAAGTTCCGTTCGTCTTATTCGTCAACCAGATAATCACCATTGTCGTCTACGATTTTTCGCTTTACTATCTCGACGACACTCGCACGGCGATCTGCATTGCGGAAGGTGATCCGTTGACGAAGCGTTGAGGATCGAATTGAATTGACGATATTCGATAAAATGACACGAGAACTTTGTCTTTCGACTTTCACTCGGAAAAGCGCCGGAACGGCGCGGGTCCTTGTTGAACAATACCCAAGTCGGCGTTCGTCCGACTTCGCAGGCAGCTCTTGCTCCGCTCGCTTGCTCCGCACTCTTGATAAGAGCCCGATCACTTGCGCGCGAATTTCGCGTGCGACCGCGGCGTGACAGTGGAAATTCCATAACAATAAATCAATCGGAGACGCCGAAAAAGATATGGGACAAATGAGTCTAACAAACACACTCCATCGCGAATTCACATCTAATTTCCGTAATCCGCGGCGCGACGCGTCTCTTATCGCCTGATATCACCGAATTGCCGAGTCACACGCGCGCGGCTGCGAATAAAAAAGACAACGAAGCGGGAAGCAGAGGATTGTTACTTCGTCACAGTAGACAGATTCGCGCGCGAACGAGAGCGCTGATCGCATTGACGAAAATGTCGATGACCGGCCGGCCACCGTCCGTGTCGGCCATAATCACCTTGACTGGACCTGTGCGCGCATTAATTACACGGCGACTGTCCGCTCGCGTATTTCCCTGACCTAGATTGTTCCCTTTTGCTACCTACGCGCGTATACTCTAATGCGGGTGTACCACCTCGGCGACGTGGTGTGTGTGAACCGAACGGATATGCGCGCCTTTAGAGAAACCCTCCAAGCGGCGCATTTCGCAGTCGAGAACGCGGCAAAGATCGAGATAAAGGTCCGTTGACGCTCGAGTATGACGTATACCGTCGATATTCGAGCTGAAAGTAATAGGTGTACGATTACTCACCAGGTGCAGATTGCTGGCGATGAATACCACGTAGACGCAGCAAGTGCCCATCTGATATATCATCAGGAAGGCGTTTATTATGTGGCTGCAGAAAAGAGGAAAAGAAAGATCAGCCGTCATTGAGAGCTCCACACGGAAAAAAGAAGATCGGCCAAATCGTTGACACGATGAAACTAAACGCGCGTTCTAATTACACGCAGCAGAATATTCTCGATTCTTACGACCGAATTCCGCTCTCGTAAGAGATCCCGTTCCCTTCGACCGAACCGTTCATTGTCACGTTAACTCGACCAACTTCTTTCTCCCCCGCGCGATCAAGCGAGACGTTTGAACAAATCAATGAAAGCCGACTTGATCATCGCGAATCATTTATTTATCGCCTCGACCGATCAGAAAAGATCGACGACGATTTCGCAAGAATTCTCTTTTCGCACGGACGAGCGAGCGAGCGAATCGCCGAATCGCTGTTATTATTGTTGCGGATAATTCCTCCGTGAATACGCGTCCTCGTTGCGTATCAGTGAAAGTATCGCGCCGAGCCACGACACGCTGTGCCTTGCAATTAACGCTCATAATCGCGAGCGACATACTCACATGGAGGCTCTGGAGAACGGCCTGAGCCACATCGGTCCTTCCTCCAGCGCGGCTTCCGCGGTCGCTGGATACGACATGGACGGCACCCGCCGCCTCTTGCACAGCTCGTATTCCGACTGGACGAGGATTCGCATGCAGTATGTGCAGAATAGTCCTATGACGAACGTGGCGATCAAGCCTATGACGTAGCCCGCGTTGAAGAAGGCCCTCGGCATCGCGAGGATCCCCGTGCCCAGGCTGCCCTTCAGCAGGTGCAGCATCGTCTCCGCGTCGCTTCAATCATTTTTACTCGTTCGATGCAAAGCTCGTTTAATTGTTGTCATTTATACGCGATAACTGTGCTTTCTAATTTGGTCTGATTTGATCTGACGTGATTTGATAATTCGGACGATTCGATAAATATCCAATTGTCATGTGGGAGGAAAATTCGCTGGATTGTCACCCGCAACATGACTCGTCGAATCGTACGACCGGAGATTGGACGTAGGAAATTACGCTAATTAAGACGTTTAGCGCGAAACGTGCGCTGCATGATCAAGCGTCGCATCGTTTCGTATGCAAAGAAAGCGCCGCGCGTTACGTCGCGCTCCTGGCCGTCTGGAATCGCGTATTAAGTCTTTTGCTTCGATCAATTGCTCGGATCGGATTCCTCCTCGATCAATCAGAGCTGAGTGATTGCGATCTGGCTGGATTAAACGAAAACGAGATAACGCACTCGCGCGTCCTAAATCGCGATCGCGTTCCACCGATTTAGCGACGCACTTTCTGAGTCACATGTCAAAGGAATTATCATTATCATATGAATACGTTATCGGGGGCGATAAAGAAATGAGTAGCGCACTAACGCGTCGTTATCACCGCGATCGCGAATCGGTCACTCTCTTCCAGTGATGTGAGGAAATTATAACGACAAAGGACGTCTCGAGTGCTCTTATTATTTTATCGAGCTTTGATCTCTTCGTTGAAGTAATTATATATCTTTATCTTTAGATTAAAACAGCATATTTTACATCCGACAAGTAATTCAAGCCGATAGTGATAATATATTTCTTTAATTTTATCTACTCTCATAATTTATCACACGTGTGTGACGTTAGCGAGGGAAAGAGAGAATTGACATTGATATATTATTAACATGTTAGAAATACTATGTTTTACAAAGGTTTTAGTTATTAAGGGTCACTCAAATAACGAGCGCGAATTATATCTATCCAAGAGGCACGCGGCGAATTTCCCGTCATGATCGACGTGTGTTGTCGTTCGCGATTATATACGAATCGCAAATATCGCAAATCGATAGGATACTCACGTGGTCGGATGCTCCACTACTCTGTAATTATACGGATCGTAATCGGCGTTCTGCTCGTGCGTATTTTTCTTCTTTTCCTCCATTTCCAGGATGTAGGGACTCTTCGAATCGTGACTGAAAATACAACATGATCGTTATCTATGCAAATGATATCGTTTTCTATGCATATCAAACGTATTGTTAAAGGAATTATTAAGAACGTCTACTAATTACTAGGTCATTAGTGACGAAGCAAGTCTGATGAACGATATTTTAAATTTAAATTGCAACTCTCACACGTAACTTTGCACACGTAACTTTGCCATATGTGAAAAGTAGGTAATGTTTAACACAGAGTTTGAGTGCATGAAAAATTTCGTGCCATTTCTTAAATTCACGAAATAATTCGTGTCGAATTACTTACTCATTTTGGTATTCTTTGGACGAAGCTTTTTTCGGGTCTTGGAGAGCATCCTGCGAGAATATAACAAAAAGTTTAATAAAGAAATAAAGAATACACAATATAAGGCATTCCGATGCTGCCATTTCTTATAAAATTTCTTAAAAAATAAAGAAGCTTATTGGTGTTCAAAGTGTAGAGACAAACGCCGGCTGAAATTGAAATATACAAACATATAAATCGACGAAACTTCGCCAACATTTAAATTATTTTACCAAATGAGTTCTTTTTATTTTGAAAATTTCTCCTTGAAAATTAAGTCACAATAAAAAATGCATATTTGTGAGATAATGACGAGTCCACTTCGTCCGCATATTATGAAAATACACGATAGATAAAATTCGTACGTCACGGAAATGTCTTGGCGCGTATCTCGAACCGGTTCGTCCAATGGTTTTCGAAATATCTTTTTCGATGTATCTTCATGTACCTTTACTGTCGAATGTCGATATCCGCATATCGCGATATCAATATCGCGCGTAACATTGCTGTAGCGTCGTTTGTATCGTTGATCATTGGTTAATCATCGGTGTTCCGATTTTATTATCTGATACGTAACGACGCTATATGCTTCATAAGTACTAGTTTATAGGTGATATATTCACGGCGACGATAGGCGATCGGTTCGAGTTCACGCGCTCACACAAAGAGAAGGATAAGAAGGAAGGTCGCGCTCGTGTGAGCTTTTCGCTAAATCGTTACGATTGCCTTTGGCCTACGCGATATGTATTGTCGACATGACTCACGAGTAACACTTCAAACAAGGCGAACTCGTTAAAACTCGAATTCTCACACGGGACTCACGGACTCTCTCGGAGCACGAAATTTTGAGCGACGTTCTCCCCGAGAATGATCAATAGAGATCGCGAGCGCGCGTCTTCTTGTCGATCGCTTGCTCGCTCGTTCGTTCGCGAACAAATACGCTTACATTTTTGCGTTACCCTGTTGTAATATTCCGCCGGCTGCAGCTGCCGCGCGCGATACTACAGCGATTATAGATGTCAATTTAATGGGGAGGTTTTGTCCGGCTCTTTCTGTCGGTACAATTGGATCGACGCGGCCGATCGTTTCTAATATTAATCGCACCGTTCTTACTCTGCGTTTATCGGTGCGAACATTTTTGCATCGCATAAACGAAATGAATTTTGCAACGAGATCAAAATGAGGAAAGAGTCCAACGATGAGTGAAGCACGAGGAAACATGTTAATACGTATATGCATATGCGACCGTTTTAAAACGATTAAGATAATCGAGCGATAGATTGTGAAATCTCCTGCTGGAATCTTTCTGTTTCTACAGCAACTCGATCACTCAACTGCGATCGAGCTGTTTCCATGTGGAAAATTTTTCCCCTACGGTGGATTTCGATCTCGCTTGCTCATTACACAGCATTTAACAGGTGCGATGGCGAGCGATGTTTACAGAGATCACGATCTAGAGTTACGTTTGCTCAGGATCACGATAAGGAATGTCGGACTTTTGAGAATTCACTCGGACAATTGTTCGCTCGCGTGTGTGCTGAAGACTTGGAAGTGCGGAGTCGCGAAGATGCGGGAATTGCCGGCGTCTCTACGTAATTCGGCCGCTCGACTCGCCTTCTTTATACATGCAGTTAAGCCGTATAACGCGGCGAATATGGGAAAATTTTCGTGCCGTGCAAACGCATAAATTGCATAATGGCGCGGATACGACCATTTAATCCGTCCTTCAAAGCAGAATACTACGCCCACAAAAATAATGAGATGCGTCGTTAACGTACACGTGCGTAACATTTACACGCGCGACACGTGCGTGTGGCGGAAGATTCCCCCGCCGGTGGATTCTCTCTCATCTCTATCATGACGTTGATTAATCAAACAGAAATATAGAAATATCTAATATAAACATATATCGTGTGTGTGTGTGTGTATACATATGTATGTTGATACACGTAGGTGTGTGCGTGTGACGAACAGGCGCGGACGCCGGTCGGAGAATTTTCCACTATACTTGAATCAACACGCCGCGACATTGTCTTCGATAACGCGCCGCTTTTTATCTCACGCGGGGACCTCTCTCTTTAATTCGTCGCGGAATTACCCGCGTAATCGGGCGCATTTGTGTTTATCTCGCTCGTGCGATATTTACACATTCCATATGTTGATACACGGATCAATTCGCCCTCTTTCCTCCTTTCCCAGGCAAATATTTCCCCGCAAATCGCGGAATCACGGCGTAATCCGACGTAATACGTTTGCGCTAGCCTCGTAATACCTTTGCGTAATACCTTTGCGTTGCAAAACAAACAATGTTCACGTTTCACACGTTGCTCAACAATGCACTCGATCGCGCGATAGAAAGCGAACGATTATCGCTCGTGCGATATTTACGCTAATTAATGACTACCGAATAAGACGTTAAGCTCGCGCGATAAACCGCGCGCGCGTATCATTGACGCGCCGGAGTCGCCGGTCGCTTCACGTGCGACGGATTAAAACGTGCGTGTTACGCGCGCCAATCAGCCGCGGCGATCAATCATTTCAATAGGATTATAAACATTACGCGCAACCATTCATTTAGCGTGCGCGCGACTGTCTTTCTCGCGTACGCGTTCGCGCAGCTGTCTCATCATCCGCGTGTCCCGCGCGGCCGATTATTAATGGATTATCGTTTAGGTTCAGTAGGACAAATTGCGCAAGCAATAACTTCGTGTTCGCGACGAAGTCGCGCGTGACGCGCGTCGCGAACACATCGCGCGAATACACGCGAACTCACAGGTGAGTTCTCGCAGGCGTGTCTCTCTAAAATGTTTTCTCGTATTTTCCTTCGTCAGACTCGTTTATTTGCTAATAACGTAAAAAGTTCCGTACCCCTCGCATACTCGTCGGACGTCTTATGTAATTTCGGAACACGAGACACGAAGCACACATTTTCGGAAAGATAACGCGCGCTCGTACGTGTCGTTTGTAGTGACGGCGAGATCACTTTGGAATCTCGGCGATAAGCGGATTCGATTACGATATGATCGCTCCACTGAAGAATCCGAGCTTGTCGAGCGTTTCTCTCTTTTTCTGAGGAAATTCCCATTTCCCATCGCAAAAACAGATAATCGCCGGCAGAAGTAGCTGATTATTATTGAGTCGTTACGATCGGCTGCGAAATATTGTTGCGTGATAAATATGTTCGTTCGGTCGTTTTCGAGGCCGGGCCATATCTCGATGCGTATTCAGTACTTACTCAAAACACATTTCTTTATATTGGTTCGACGATTATCGAGCCCGATGTTTGCTAGATAACTGTTTCGTTAGGTCCGTTAAATCACGACGAAAAACGAGCGGCACTACAGACGGAAATATACATGGAGAATGACGAACTCGGTAGGTTTCCGAGGTGATATTAATGACAGGAACAACATGGAATGTTACAGCTTCCGAAAGAATTCCGAATGATAAGTGCACACTCCGCCGATCGCTATACGAACGATTATTCATGAAGTAGCGAATGAAACATTGCAAAATCTTCGAGTAACGCGACCGTGCGTAAAAACGCACATTTCTACAAGCGCTAAATTATAATCTGATTTTATCAAAGTGCTAAAGGCCGGCGAATCCGACGGATCGCTCCTCGTTGAGTGCGATTGTCACGTAACAAGCATCGTTAATTAATGACGCTCGCTATTAAAGGCGATCGCGAGATCGCTGTACATCGAATTCCGATGCGAGAGATTGCAGGTGTCGCGATAACGCGGAGCGCATTCGAAGCGGATTCTTCTGGCAGGATTTATTCGCCCAACGCGTAAACAACGCGCGCTTTTCTATTCAGCTCGTGATCCCACAAGCGAGGGAAAGAATCGCTTCGGTTGATACCACAGGACACGTGAAATTATCGATTCGTTGAAGAGCAGACCTTATTATCGTTCGAACAGCCGCTAATGATAATAACGCTACGCGCAATATTTAACAAGATCCCTCCTCAATATTGTAACGTACTCGGCGGCCACTTGAGAAAGAATGAAAAAGAAGAAGGAAGGTCGTACGCGCTGGAGTGTTTTTTTTAATCTCATCTAATATCTGCTTCTTGGAAGCCATCAGAATTCGCGGTTCGCTCGAACTTATCAAGTTCTCGACTCGCAATCTCGGATCGTGCGAACGAGGGTACAAAGGTATTCCCCGGGCACCTGTTTTCCCACTTTCTCACATCGGCTATCTCAGTTATCACGGAAGTACACACATCGGGCGTGTCTCACCTCCTTTCTTCTCCTATTTTCGCGCTTATTCGCCGGGGGTAATTGTCGAAATCCACAGGACGTTCCCGCGAACGTCTTTCTTGCCGTCTTGTCGTTTATCTTGCCGGATCGCGGATTATTTACGCGCCAATACACGCGGACACGTCTCGCGCCCCAGGATTCCCCGAGGATATCGACTTTATGTGAGACCGAAACTTAACATAAATTATGCACAATAGCGCATAATTGCACGCTTTGCCGCTGGGACATGTCATGAAAATTACCCAAGTCATCGGACCTTGAAACGTTGAAAATTGCCACGGTATTGTCACGTGCCCGTGAAAGACACGTGTCGATCGCGGCCGAACGGAAGGTCCCGAGGAATTAGAAATTCAGGACACGCGCGATGCATATGTATTTTCTGTGGATACGTGTGTCACACTGGAGAAACAATGAGGGGCAGACCCGTCCACGACATAGTTACACAACCGTGTCGACCACAGGTATCAAATTGTGTAAAAAGGAGGAAAAAGAAATAATAGGGAGAAAAACAGATAAGGTATCGAAGAAACTTCTCAGAAAAATCTTGCAATGTATTTTAACCGACGATTCCGTCTCTATCTCTATCTGTTTCTCCCTTTCGTGATATCTCTCTCTTTCTCTCTCTCTCTCTCTCTCTCTCTCTCTCTCTCTCTCTCTCTCTCGCTCTCTCTCTCGCTCTCTCTCATCCATTCTTCACGTGACGAATCGTTCTTGACATTATGCACCGTAGCGAGATCGCTTTTCCGCGAGCATAATGAGCCGTACGCGCCGCACGCGTCGCTAGAAAGTAGAGGAGGCGAAGGCGCATTATGCAAACACACCTTCTCCACCGCCGCGCCATTCGTTACCGTGCGTTACGACCGATCTTGAATTTCTACGATGCGTAAGTAATCGCGTGATTACCAGGCCGGTTGATTACGCGAGAGCTGTTGCATATTGATCGCACCGATAAAACCGGTAACGCCGAGCGGGATTTCGCGCGCCGACGCGACGGAATGTCACCGTGATTAAATCGTGTCAGAAGGAATTATCCTTGTACCCTGCCCGCAGTGATCCCTCTCTTTCTCTCCACTTTCTATTCTCTCTCTCTCTCCCTCTCTCACCCCCCTCTCTCTCTCTCTCTCTCTCTCTCTCTCTCTCTCTCTGCTCGCAACACGCGGCATTTTTTCTCTTTTTCTCTCTCACCTCGTGCTTCTAAAATTCTGATATTTCGAAAATCCTCACGAATGAGTCTTCCGCTTCGAAGAAGGAGCTTGCTCATGAATTCATGCATGAATTATTGTTTGCGAGCATCGAACACCTTGTCAACGTAAGGAAAAGATAATACGCGCGAGCGTGAAATTGTTATCGGATGAGTGCAACTTCCACAACTGGTATGCCGCGCCGATAAGGGTCGCAATTCAAGCTGAGTAATCATTGAGGTAAAGTAAAGGCTGTTGGCGAGGGTTGAGGGGGGGGAGGTTTATTTAATCAATTCGCCGGTGTATTGTTAATCGGCGATGCGGCGACCAGCTGATTAAAATGTACGGTGATATTTGACACAAGGAAGAAAGGAGTTAATGAGAAGAAAGAAAGGAACTCGGTGACGACGAGGAGGAGGAGGAGGAGGAGGAGGAGGAGGCGCGAGATAAGGAGAGATGAACGAGCACTTAAAGTTAAAGTAGAATTTATAGGGGTGTAGAGAGAATAGAAATCGGTTGTTTCCGAACTTTCGACCGAAGACGGACAATTGAAGAGATAAACGAAAAATATCTCTACATTGACACGCGATATTCATCGGAGATACGCCAGATGCAGAGCCTGTGTCCTTCTTAGAAGAGAGCTCGATAAAAATTATGACGTAATGCCGATTGTAGATCAGTCCGATATGTGTCAGCGTCACGTCACTGATACCGCTGATGTTGTAACGTTACATTTTACGTCAAGCGATCGAAATATAACGATATATTTATTTGCTCCATTTTCTTCACTTCAGATTCCCATCGGGCGCGACGACAATTCAATCGGCGTGAAAACAACAGGCAAGTCCATCCTTGATTTGACAGCCACAGCGCCAGCCAGAAGTCAGCCGGTGGCCTCATAGATCTGCACAGCGGGAGAGAATTTTTGCAAGACGCCTACAGAAAAGACGATTCGGACACTTTCGAACGGCTTGCCTAAAGGACAGGTATTGTACCTGGTCGCCTTCGACCAGACGGCGACGAAGAGGAGAAAAAGCAAGAGTGCAAAAAAGACGGGCCACGCGCCAGGAAAAAGTCGCGGGAGAAGGACATTTCGCAAAAGCGAGCGCTAGAGACGCCGGCTGTAGGCCAGTTCGGTCCGTTCGCTGCTGTTTCATTGCTGTTTCCTCATTGTGCAACACTCTCAATCGCCAATTATCGTCGAAGGTACGAGCGAAGAGGCAGAGAAAGAAACGGAAACGGAGGAGAGAGACAAAACGGAACGCACATAGTCGGCGATATAACGAGGACAGCAGCGAGGACTATACGGAACAAACGATCGTCCTTCAACGTGCGTGGGAGCAGTTTCGGCTTGCAATTGGCGCAAACTTTCCGCTCTCATGATCGGCTCATGATCAGATCGCCGTGCAACCGGCGCCAAGACATCGAAAATACCACTCAGCGCGCAATAGTCTCACTCGCAGTTTATTATTATCCCGCTCCGTAATCGGTTCGTCGTTATAAAAAAAGATAGTGACAGCTCGTTCTGCGGACGAGCGAATTTCGCAGCGATGCCGGCGACGACGGCGACGGGGGCAACTATATTTCACAGTTGCCATGTCACGTAAATTATGGTTGGTTATTTTTATGTCGAAGTGTAATTTCGCTTCGTTTCCGTACACCTTATCTGTCACAGCCGTGCGTTCGACGCGTTCTCGAGATATCTCAAATGTTTAAATGTTCAGATCTTTTGTTGTTCTTGGGTTTTAGCTGCTCCATCGCGCGAGCACTGAGAGAAAAGTATACGATATTTGGAACTATAATGATATAGTAACTAAATTATAGTCCGAAATATCAGATTTATAAGTATTACCATAATATCGGTAATAATTACGATATAGACATAGTATAACCAAGCATATAATATTTTTATTAAGAATTATAGTAAGTTAAACTAAAATTATTGTATGGATACAAATATAAAATGGTAGGTAAAATAACTCTTTTATATAGTCAATATTACCAGAATATTTGCTAAATGATGACAGATGTAACTATATGAATATTAAATCTCACTATATTTGTGAATGAGAAATTACCATATATGTGGTAAAAGTAATTAAACAATTATTTAAGACAATCATTGACTATATATTTGTATTTATTCTACTATATTTTGCAGGTTCCACGAACTATAAAAATATGGTTGACGCCAAAATGAACTATAAAATATAGTGAGATTATAATTAATTCAACTATATTTTTTTATCAGTGAGCGAAGGCAAAAATTCTACGCGCTGCACTTTTGGAATACTCACTTCTTGCGAAATATCTTGCGAACGTCATTGTGTGCGTTATCTTACGTACAATTATGCATGCTTAGATAAAGCTAGATATAACGGGGCACACAGTCTCAGGGAAGTATACACTTGCTCATAAAACGGTTTTGAACACATGTAGTAGTCGAGTAAAGTATATGTCAAACTGTCATCGTAATTGAGAGCTGGTGCAGTAATCAATTACGGTAGGAGTCGAAGCGACAGTGTCTGAGACAGTGTCCAATGTCACAGCTACAACGGAAAATTCAGAAAAAATGTAAATATTTTAATTCATTCTTAATTAATTAATTCATTCTTATTTCTTAGAGAAGATTGTAATGAAAGGCTGTACTCATCGCGTGTTACTTCGATTCCAGTCATAACCGATTATGCTACGCAAGTAGTGATTTTCAGTCGTGCACTGATAAAAAAATATAGTTGAATTAACTATAATCTCACTATATTTTATAGTTCATTTTGGCGTCAACCATATTTTTTTTATAGTTCGTGGAACCTGCAAAATATAGTAGAATAAACACAAATATATAGTCAATGATTGTCTTAAATAATTCTTAGTTACTTTTACCACATATATGATAATTTCTCATTCACAAATATAGTGAGATTTAATATTCATATAGTTACATCTGTCATCATTTAGCAAATATTCTGGTAATATTGACTATATAAAAGAGTTACTTTACCTACCATTTTATATTTGTACATACAATATTATACAATAATTTTAGTTTAACTTGCTATAATTCTTAGTAAAAATATTATATGCTTGGTTATACCATACCTACATCGTAATTATTACCGATATTATGGTAATACTTACTATAAATCTGATATTTCGGACTATAATTTAGTTACTATATCATTATAGTTCCAAATATCGTATACTTTTCTCTCAGTGTGACAATTTGTCTTATAACCAAGTGTATCGCGTGTTGCTATTGGTATCACCAACTTCGTAAAATGGAAACACGAACGTCATTTTCCTGCAAAAGCGACGAAACGCGTAAATTACATTCGAGAAAAACGGCTCATCTTATGTAAGTCTGCTCCTTTTTATATACACGCTCACACCACAGGTGCGCATCACCATCAGCAGAAACATTGCCGTTTCCGATCGATACAGAAGTTCCGTAAAGATAAAAACTAATCAACGTCACTTTCGTCGCGGATATTTCTCGGCAAACGCGTTTTCTACGCGAGAAAATTCGCAAGTTTACGGTGATCTTGGAATATTTGACATCTCATCTGATATACTTTTCATCACCAAATAAAATAAGAATATTTTCTTTTAAATCTTTTTGAGATAGGTCAAAACTCATCAGCTAAGTAAACGTAGCTTTCTTTTTCAAAATTCGTGATTCCGGCGGTTATAGAGTCTCTTCTGCCATCGTTTCGTTCCTCGTGCTAATTTGTCGATTGAAAAGAAAAACACGATATATTTTTGCACTCTTAAATCTGATAAGTACATTAAAATCACATATCTTTTTCCAAGTACTAAATACTCCAGTATCACTTTGCTTTCACAAAATAAGGCGATTATTTCACGAATCACTGAGGTGTCAGAAAAGAAAGAGGAAAAGAAAAAAAGAGAGAGAGAGAGACAGAGAGATTGAGGATATTTTCTGAGCGAACTGCAGGAGCCGTCTGCCGCGCCTAATTACTTACGTCAATTAATGACTCAAATTGTTCCTCCTCTCCCTCTCTGCTCTTCGTTCCCTCTCTCTCTCTCTCTCTCTCTCTCTCTCTCTCTCTCTCTCTCTCTCTCTCTTCATTTGTTTACCAAAACTGTCAAGTTCCTCACGCGTGCGCCGAGAATCTTTAACGAAAAGCGACGTCGATACGCACACACACATACACATTTTCGTTCACTCACCGTGCTCGATGTAAATCCCAGATTGTCGTGCGACATCCTGGAGGAATCACTGGGTACTACCGAGTTTCAGGTCGCCGATGAGTCCTCGCATATGATAGCGCGGCAGGAAGTGAAGGTGTCGAGCGAAACGAGAGGTGGAGGAAGAGAGTACACGTGAAGAGCAAAGAAAAGGTTGGACAAGTAAGGTCAGGCGGAAGAAGAAATTGCGGAGGTGAGGACGAGCGAAGAGAGACAGTATGTGAGAGAGAGAGAGAGAGAGAGAGAGAGAGAGAGAGAGAGAGAGAGAGAGAGAGAGAGAAGGGAGAAAGGGAACAGTGAAGAGAAGAATGAAGAGGAGGAATAAAGAAGAAAAGTAACGGAGAAAAAGGAAAACAGAAAGTCGAGCAACGGTGCGAGACTAATCTCTGAAGGTGTGTTTCATTGCCGTGTCGTGGCAGGTACGGCCGCTGCAAGTCGACTGGTCTCAGTCTTAGCGCGAAGTATTATTTATATAGCATCAACGGCATGCGACTCGCGGTTCTCGGTACCGTTTCGTACGCGTATCGTTTCGGCCGAGTACCGCACCGGGGGGGAACACCGACTTCGCGGCCGGCCGATTGACGCCGATGGTACCCTTAGTTGTCCGGCGTGTTTTGTACAACGAGGTACAACCACCCCAGGTGAGCCGATCGGCATTTCTGGGTCTCTCTTTTTGCGACGCGACACACGCGTCACGGAAAAAAATGTGTACGAGCGAGCGAGAATCCAGGTCGTGGGAGTCGCTACGACCTAGTCGCGCTATAAGCGACTGACTCCTCACTCATGTAGATTCCTGTGGCACAGGAGTCGGGGATGAGCAAGGGTGAGTCCTTATACGGACGTTTAACGTTTACGACGCACTCGCTCGCTCGTGAGTGAGACGAAATCGAGCGTCTTAGAAGGAGAGACTTCCCTCGGCGTTTGCACGGTAAATTTAGCCGCGTTGCATTATAGCGACTTAGTTCTTTTCCTCATATTCCGTCGCGCACGGGGAGGAGAGAGGAGGGATCTATTAATAATACGACGCGCGAAATTAATTGAATAAGGCGCGACGTTGCCCGCCGTGTGTTAATCGAGTCGAGAGTCGTATCTGCAATCTCCGTATCTGAAAAATATAACGAATGCTGGTCGCTTTCAGCTCGAACACGCGAAGATAGATCGCGTCGTAGATCGCGATTGTTAATCCTTCCGTCCGCCTCGTTATTGAAACGCAAAACAATGAGTGTGAAATTTTTTCCCATTTTTCTCGCGCTTTACATAAACAAAACCTTGCCATCAGCGCGTCCTCTTATCGCGACGATAAAGACGTGTGGATTATCCGCGAGAGATATTGATACTGTTATACGCTGTGATTTCTCGGTAGAGAAATATTTTAATAATGAATACGGTATTTCGTCGATCCAATAGAGCGATTATTGATTTCTACCTATCAATATAATCACGTTCTTTATCTCAACAAGTGCTATCATTTGACAGTGATAAGAAAAGAATGTAACGATCGAAGCCTTTTCTCTTCGCGTGCTTCATCCGAAAACCGCCCTCTTTACGTGTAAGCTCGCCGTTTTCATCTCGCAAATTGCAAAACGCGATCCTCCTTCGTTTTTACTCTCCGCCGCGTGCGCGAGCCGTTTCTCTCCTTCCAAATAAAAGTAAAAGTAAACGACAATGATAAAGGATTTCGGGGCGAACTTTACGATAAATCATGACATGTCATTATGACAGCTTGATATTCAAAATCAAGACCTCGGATCTCGAAAAACACGCGTGTCCGTCGAACGTGACTAGAATGTAATTTGACGGGGATTTAACTCTTTCCTCCTCTGCTTTTTTAGATACGCGGACGGATTTCGAAGGAGACGAGAGTGATGCGCGTACGCTCGTTTTAAAAATAACAGTCACATTCTAACTAATTGGTAAACTAAACGAGGAAAAATTCATCCGTTCTCTTCGTGAAAGCGATCGTTCCTCGACATCAGGCCGAAACGATATCTCGCTTTACGTGTTCGCGTGCCACGATCAGAATGATAGACATTCCGAAATGCGTGACGACGAAGATTTCGTCGTACAATGCAGACAAATAAAACGGCATTTCTATATATATATATATATATGGCGAGAGTCGCTGAGACTCAAGATTCGGCAAGCCGCATTCCTGAGTATCCTTCCAGATAGAGATCGCGGAATAATTTGCGTCACAGTCGTCGCAGAAACTGTGCATTTATACTAAACGCCCAAACTCGCTTTTTGCGTTGTTTACTTCCGAAAGCGAATATGAATCGATTAACATTATACGAACCACTCCTTTCTCTCTCTTTCTCTCTTTCTTCTTCTTTAAAAGTGTTTGCACAGATAATAATGTCACGACCTAATTCGATAAAAATCGTTCTCCATATTATACGGAGAAAAAAAAAGAGAAAAAGAAAGAGGCTAATCGATAGATTGAGATACGCCCAATAAAAATGATGATTCTTCGTCGAAATATGACGCCGCGCGACCATGAGTTTCGCGTAGGTGTAACATGAGGCCGATGAATCTGGTTGAATCACGGCGCGTCCTTAGCCTTCGTGGTTCGCCTTCCAGACGCGTTCTCGTCGCACGAAAGTGTATAACGTCAAGTACGCGCAGATGACAATCGTCGCATAAATCAAGAATCGGGTAATCATTCTTGTTCGTGCGGCTCGTTCTCTGTGTATCTCGAAACGTTTAACGCTTTTTATTTCTCGTTTGTGTGTACATTAAAATAAATGCTCATGGTGAACGCGGTACTCTACGCCGACGTCTCTCGTCGCCGACTTAAAGCGAGAATAATTTTCATACAATTATTTCATTATAATCTATGTTATAAAAATCTTAAGTATCGATTCTCTCTCTCTCTCTCTCTCTCTCTCTCTCTCTTTCTGTTTGTCACACACGCGTGCGCGCACCTCGTTGCGACAAGCGGTACAGATCGTCTTTTCTGTGAATGAAACGCGAAGTTGATTTTCAGCGAGATGTTATCATTCATTGAATAATAAGGTCTCGACTATACAATTTACAGTTTGTAATTCAGTCATAACGAGATGTTGTCGTAATTATACGGTCATTTCCATTTGCAAACTTGTCGGAGGGATTCGAAGGACAGATGCATGATTAATAAAATAACACTGACCGTTCTCAATCGCGCAGTTTATAGTATAATTTATACGTCATGGTCAATGTGCATGCTCTTTTTATCGTCAATCAGTCAATCGGTTGAAAGGGAAAATATCGGCCGTTTTATTAAGATAGCGCGATGCGTATCACATGAAGTATGAATTATCATAATTGAGTGAGTTATTAATTATCCGATCGCGACTTTAATTTAAAATTCGACGCACTGCACGACAGAAGTCGATGACGCTTGGGGAATAGGATTATTATATTGAGCATTTAAACTACGAATCGTTCCTTTTTGGCACACGTTTAATAGCTAAATGTTAGTTAAGTAGTTAACGTAAAAAAGTCTAGAATTTATATTGGAATATAAAAATTTATCAATTTCTTGGAAAGGCACGACGAGATAAAAGATTAAATGGAAAAACATATAAAACTCGACGCAACAACTTGCAAAAAGGATTTAGCAGAGTGGTCTCTCGCATATAACCACATAAGTGTGTGTCTGTATACGTGTATATATGGTTCACGTACCTGTGTGAATTTAAGTAGCTCATGATTCGTTTAATCAATGTTAAATTTACACAAATCCTCGCTTCGTTAATTCTCAAATATCGTTATGGAAGCGTCGCATGCAAAGTACAATCTTACCGCCTACGGCTGGCTGATCAATGTTTATAAAGATCGGGTGTAACACACCACAGCACGATGATGTATAGATATAATATATATTTTACAAAATAATAATAAAATATATCTCAACAATAGCGACGCGGTGATATCCGTTCCAGTAGAACGCAAAAATTGAAGGCATCGAACATAAAAGTAGGGTCGATTGTTTCTATCGCAACTTTATTTCTGTACTATACAAAGTGCTGCTATGCTTAGCAACTCAATTTTATTCGTAAACTATATATATCAACCCGATTATTACATACCACGTAGTAGTAAATGCAACATCGTACAGATAAGAAAGTGGAGCAATTTACAGAACTTCTTCTTCTTTCTTTTTTTTTTTTTTTTTTTGGAAGATATAATTTGCGATAATTTGTGAGATAATTGAAAGTGGATAAATCTTAAATGAATTATCTTAAAAGACAATTGAAATCTCCTCGTGATCCTGTCCCATTACGTATTACACGCGCCACAGTATGTAGAAACATTAATCTACTTTTACTCCAGTGTCTTCAATTCTTGGCAAATAAGCCCCTCCTTCGCTCCTTTCGCTCTTTTCTTTCTTTGTCTTTTGAAACTTCGTCTCACGCGTTACATATAGACATGTACATGTGTGTACATATATTTGATGCATGTGTATAGTATATGTGTACATATGTATATCTCTTATATATTTAACAAACTTTATGATCTAGATTACACGTAAAGTTTAGGTAAGATCTTTTCTGAAAATATTCAATGGGTTTGCAGATACGCTTCTTATTAGCCGCTGTCTCATGTATTACGACGGGTACAATTGTCTGTCTGTGTGTGTGTGTGTGTGTAGTGTCTTCTCTCACTGCCAAGTATGTATTTCATATGACTGCGATGTATACGTAGGAATCAATAATTGCAAAATATAGACACTTGAGTTTAAATTAGTATTATGTCAGGATCCTCAGTATTTCCTCTCCAATTCCCGACAGTAATGAATTATTGTCACCTTTACCTTCGATTACCAGATTTCCCGTCGTTTTCTGCAACATCAAAAGTGATCGTTAATTCTTTTAAACCGAAGGCTCAACTTCGCGAAAGCGAAAGCGAAACTTTTCAAATAAAATCGACGTAATGAAAATTCATATGAGATATTGACGCCTTTTAATCTGATCGATTTTTACGATATAAAAGAAAAACGACGTATGAATTAACTTACATTAAATTTTAACAAAAGGCACACATGATGTCCCTTGAGAGAATGTCCGTATAAAGACGCAGTATCCTCGATCTGCTCCACGAGAGTGAGATTGCACTTACGGCAGATAACATTCAGTACCGTACCAAAGTCTTGAGTAGGCGTCATCTCTTTTCTAATCTTAGATACTAATTGACCGCTTTTGAGAAGTTCCGTGAGAATGTCCTTATGAGAAAGATGGCCAACCATGAACTTGCTACACGACAAGTGCACAGTGAAATCGAGCTTTTCTTGTTGCGTGCCTTCTCTACTTTCAAACATATATGTCAGTGTACCTCTTAGTCTCTGAGCGAACGTTACGTCCGAGACTAGAACGGTGAACTGAGTTTCTTTGCTAGTTTGCAGAGGCAGTTGAAACGGCAGTTTTATCCCAAACTCGTCCCCAGGCTGCAAAGAGAGAGAGAGAGAGAGCAACAGTAACGATATATCGCGATCTCGATATAAAGCTTAGGTTGGAAATTAAAATATAGTTGGGTGTGCAAACTTACATTCCGAACTAATTTGAACGATGACGTATCTGGAACGTCAAAGACCAATTCTCTTACGAGCGTTTGACCTATATTTGTGATGCGAATCGATACGATAACTTTACTCGACTCGTGAGGTATTTGTTTTAACTCGTACGCCATAGAAATCACTTTATTCTTGGCTAGCTCCTCGTAGGAGACATTCTGTTTTACAGGATTTGCGTTATACTCGTTACTTGCGATATCGTTTTTCAAGTCCGGCAATATCTCTTTAGACGGAGTGGATATTCCCGCCGTTTCTTCATAACCCAACGACTTGTTTTCTTTCTTACTTTTCGATTTCTTCGATTTTCGATGTTTCACATCGTCTTCGTTAGATTTCTTGTGCTTGTCTTGACTCTTCGACTTCTTGCGTTTGCTCTCTTTCTGTGGCTCACTAGACACCTCCGTGTATTCTCCAATTACGGGAGATTCCGTTTTCTCCGGAGACGGATTGTTTTCCAACCATAAGTCGGACGATTCTCTTTGATTGATCGCTTTGTCTCCCGTAGCCTCCTTGATCTTTCTTTTAGACTTCCTGCGTCCCTATAAATAGTATATAAAGAACGAATTATTAAAGTATTGTAAAATATTGTAAAAAAGAAACGTAGATAGTTTAAGCAAAAATTCACATTGCGACGTTTATTAATATAAGGATAAATTTACTTTTTCCTTTTTGTTTCCCTTTTCTTCAGCCTTTCGTGTTATATTATTTTCGATAACTCTATGTTCTAAGACAGGCAATCTTTCATCTTCTCTTAAAGGCATATCCAGATCAATATTCAAAGCTCTGTGTGGGTCATTTGTATCTACTAAATCATAATCGTCGCTATCACTTATTTCTGCACCCGGAGGTAGTTCTCCTACACCTGTATTTACTATTTGCAACGGCAAACTGTCGTCTTGCTCATCCTCCGATGCAGACTTTTTATCTAATAATAATAATAATGTACAAAAATATTTTTATATAAAAATAATGTGAGAAAATATATAACTTTTAGTGTACAGCATGTTTAGTAATGAAATTTGTATTGTAGTTGAACAATTACTTTTATTCTTCTTTGATTTCTTCTTCTTTTCGTGTTTTTTATGCCTCTTATGACTGCCATCTATACCGATGTCACGACACCTGTGTAAGTTAGTAATCTTCAAAGAGATTGGGATGTCTAATTCCGCAACGGGAATGTTCTCGAAGTCTTCGTACATGCTCGATGAATTGTGATATGACGTAGAAGTCTTAAATGATCCCTTTAAATAATGAGGATTATTCTCCTGTTCTAGTTTTCTAGCTTCGCGCCTTCGTTCGAGCTCCTCCATCGATGGTTCGCCTAATTCCCGTTTAGAATAGGAATCGTTCGACTTCTCCGTCTTGATAAAAATATCATTCATATCTAAATCCTCGGAATCTGAGCTCTCTGAGGGTGGATCATTGATCCATGAATCCAAATCTAATTCTTCGGGTATTGGAACCTAAAAAGTATTAAAAAATTTTGATTAGTTACACATAAAACGTGTTAGTAATTCGTCAATTTATAAAAATAAAATATAGTTTTAAATAGTCTTATATAGTTTAAATATAGTTTAAATATATAAACAATATATAACTAATTGATTGTACAATATTATTAATTGATATGCTCACTTTTCTCTGAGCCTTTGGTGCAACTGGATTAAGTTCACCATCAAAAGTCTCCATTAACTCCTGCGCAAGACCAGGATTTTCCTTTAAGCATTCGAACAGTACTAATGCAGAACTTGATCTTTCCTGAACTTCCAGATCACCACTACAGACGAAAGCTGTAATTTTATCTTTTAATCCATAAATCTGTAAAATACAATAAATTATATATTTCGTTAATTTAATGTTGATTCTCTGCAGAGTACAGAAATTTCGCTATCATTGTGTGAATCATACTCCATACCTTTTCCATAGTTTCCGTATCTCCTTCTTTTTCTGCTTTAGCGAATGTTGTCGCGGCCAGTTTTAATATATTGTGAACATAAACTGCTTGTATATGTCCTGGTAAACTAGAAGCTTGCGATCGCAACATAGATTGTAATGTTGCCAAGGGATCTTCCAATTCACTGTTGATTTAACAGATTGTTAATCAATTATTATTACGCATCTCGTGATCGCGTGCTTTTTCCGAAGTATTCCTATTACCTAGAAAATTCTCCGCAAATCCACGCCGCTGCGTATAAGACCTCGGACATTGTTGCCCTTGGCTGGCCGGTTAATAGATATGAATTCTCAAGCAGTAAGGCACATTGTTGAACTGCATATTTTCGTATGGCTTGTACGCGAATCGCTACGTCGAGTAATTGAGTTGCTACTAATGGTCCATGCTTGGTGCCTTCCATTCGTGTAAGCTCCACTAATACAGATATGTACCTGAAATATACACGAAGTATGCTGTATGCAATTTACACCAAAAAATTTGGATTTACAGGAAGAACTTGAATATTCACCACTCAAAATAGGTAATGAACTGATAGTTATTCTGTGAGCAAATTTGAATAATTTTTGAGAGTAATTCATCACGATACGTAGTGCCTTCAGCTTTATCCATATGCACCATTAACTTCTTAACAATCTCCATTAGATTCTTCTTGGATACCATCCCGTATAGTAAATCCAAGGCACGCAGTCTTATACTTTCGTCTTTGTCGTCGAGGCATTGCATAATAAGATCTTTGTGAGCTTGCACGCTTTTGGGGTGAGTTTTCAGTATCTTTGACATTGCCAGCAATCCCAAGTATTTCAAGTTTTGGTCAGAGTCTTCGATGAGTATTCTCAATTTCTGAACACATAGCTGTATCGAATCGGAGTGATTTGGCATACCAGATGATATAGAGATCAATACAGCTATTACTGTGTTGATACATTCGTACAGTAAGGACATTGCCGATGTACTAGAAACGATTAGTATTACACTGTGAATACAGTGAAAAATATTGAAGAGAATTTGGAAATATAATAATATAAAATAAAAAATTACTGTGTGTATATGTACATGTGTATGTGTATGTGCGTATGTTGTATACATTATAGAAATAAATAAAACTGATATAAAGATAGTTTATGTATGTAGAGGATGCTTTACAAGCAACGATAAAGATTACAAGCGCAATATTCATACATATTTAACGATAAGATACATTAGATACCTGTGTATCAAATTGGTAAGGGGTTCTATCAACTTTTTGCCAAGCCTAGGTTCTAGAGGTGTCAATGCTCCAAACTGGAAATATAATGTCATGTTGCATTCTAGAAATTACTTAGGAAAACATTATATATATAAATTTTAACACGCGTTTAATTTCATTAATGTATAAGATATCTCGAATCAAACAAAACTCTATAATGCAATATGAATAATTCTACAAAATGCCAGCAAGTACTGATGTATACTACCGATATGCATAAACTGCAATGGATATGTATACGTGTAATAATTTGAAGAACAATATGCAAATGGAAAAAAATCAAATAATGCAAAACCTTGAAATCAGGTCAATTAATGGTTGAGTAAGTCTTCGACCCAGTTTTGGCTCAATCAGAGTTATAGTTGAGAACTGAGCATGAGAAATAAAACCAAAATGTCTTACGATGAGAAAACGGTGTGTGCATTTAGATTTATATTTAATATCATTATAGGAATATAAAGTTGTTATTAGAATAATTGTAGACGACACTTGATCATTTCATGTTGGACAAAAGAATATGGAAAAAGGTAATAATAATACTCACCAATTTGATAATTTTGATAAGCATCCAATTATTCGTAGAAGTTGTCATTAGCTTAAAGAAGACAGGTGCTAAACTCAAGTAATTCTTTGGATTCTTCCTGGCTAATTCACAAACTACATTTACTGCTGCACTTTGAACACCACTATCTGGATCTTCAAGTTTCTCCTTTAACCTGGGAAAAGCAGGTCTCAGAGCCTCCGGAAATCTCAGAAATACTTTATACATCATCAAAACCGCCTTTTTACGTAAATACGGTTTTGTAGAAGTCAATAGAGTCATGATATCATGAACTAGATCACGTGCTAAATCTGGACTTATGAAGCAAGACAAACCACTTAGTGCTAAGCCAGCATCATACTGATTTTGGCTGTTCAAATCTTTACGAATCATATTTGTTGTTAGCATCAGTAGCTATAATAAAAAGAACATTAACAAATTAAGAAATATTCATATGACAAAGATATATTCCCATGTAGATGATGATAATTTAACAAAGCTTACCTCTGTATCTGCATGAAAACTCTGACTTGCAGCGAGATAGCCAATTCGTTTGTAAGTGAACTTTGCAGATGACATTACCTCTATTATATTAAAACCAGCCCAACTAATGTCATATCCCAACATTTGAAGCTAAATACACAAGAATAAATTAGTTGTCAGCATTTAGGATAAAGTTAATTCGATCAAACCGCATCGTATCGAATAAATTATTTAAATCGAATTAACACCGACCTCTGTGCCCTATGTAAAACTTACATATGTTAGCTTTGCCACAGCATTTGCCTTGACCGCCACATTATCTTGCCGCAATTCCTGCTTGATCTCTTCGATGCATTGCGCAATGTATTTCGCCTGGCACAAAAAATTGTAAAATTTTCTTGAGTCAAATAGTAATTTGCAAAAGGTGGCAAAATGACTGAACGACGGGAGAAGTAAGGTTAGGTCAGTATGCGGATAACAATTTCACCCGGAGATCGCGAGGGGTGGAACGGGAATCACCTCGTTCTCCTTATTGTTCCTGATACCGCGCACCAGATCCGTCAGGTTCTTGTCGAACATCCGCTCGAAGTTTCCCTTTACCTTGCGGAGTGCCATGATCGCATTTAAAAAATTAAATGCCGTATTCGTGATGCCACTTAGGAGGCTTCCTCGCGCATTGACCAAGTATTTGGACTCGTACAGGCAACACGTCGCTCCAATACCATTACCGTAGATTGAGTTTCATAAATGTCAAATTCTCGCATTCACATTTTTCTGACAGATTGGCAAATAAGAGGTCTATTCGGAAATCATACCTAAGAAATGTCAAGAGAGAGAGCGGGCAACTTATCTGACGCAGTCACTCATGGAGCCTCCGTAGTGCCATCATCGCGCTTTCGAACGGCTGCTCCACTAACAAGTCCGATGCTCATGTGCGAATTATTATTCGCGTATTTATGCACCAACTAATAAAAGGCCCGAGTTCAAAGTTCGAAGTTCACGTACGATGCACTTTTTCCATATTTGCATATCAAATGAATACTTCATTCGGTACTTATCGCGTTTATAAACGAACGCGAGAGGAAGCAACGACGAAGTGCAGAAAGTGCAACCGAGGCCAGCTGTGTCTAACTTCAAAAGTCTGCGCGTATTTAGCGCATAATTATCGTCTCTTAATTCGCCTCTTAATCGGATCTCTATCCCTCCCTCTATGCGCGTTGCTGCAGTCATCTATTATAAAAGGAGCACGAATACGACTACCGATTAATTATAACTTATACCCAATTTAACTCGCCGATCGTGTCGCGATACGATCCGATCCCTGAATGTAGTCGAGAATCGCGCATACTCGGACGGACTTATTATATATCGCGCGTATCGTACGATCTCGATATGGCTCACGATAACTTCATTTAGACAGCGAGCTGTTTCTCGTCCTCGTGCGCTCGCTGCATCGTGCATCCCGAAGCTGGCATGATAGAAAGGAGCCGAGCCAGTCACCGGCCAATTAATCGAAGCCGTCGATGTAACTGACCCTCCTCGCATTCGTCACGCATACGCTCTCACAATCGGCTCTTCTCTTTGTATTGACCCACCCACACTCCGTTCGTGGGACGAGCGTTCGTTTCAGATTGCTCTCAACTTTCGCGGTCGATCGTCGTCGTGCGGGGAGAAAGAGAGTGTGAGGGAGCGAGAGAATAAGCAGCATGTCCGAGGGACCGAGACAAAGGCCCGTGAAGCGTTAAATAATACTCGTCCGAATCGCCGGATCGATCATGCAGCAAGACGCATCGTACATTTTTCCGCGACTCCAAGTCGCCCGTGTGGGAACACCACGCTACGGAGGCGCCCGGCAGTAAGGATCGTCGAGGAGCGGGTCTTCTCCGCCACTGTGCGTATCCGCCCGCTGTTCCGCCGCGCCATTTGTCTGGGCATCACTGCTCGGGGTGATCGGCACACTACACATCGTGGCATGGTCGGACGACGCACAAAACGCTCCGATCGAGGTTGAGAACCGCATTCGAGTTTTGTAGTTAATATTTTATCAACGTGAACGTGCGCGGAAAATTACACGATGAGAGGAAGGATCTCGTAACACCGGCCCCGGTAACGAGCGTCCCGTGTCATATGGCCGCACTCGCGCCGACAAATCCGATCCTGTCCTGTTTTGTTTACGTCGCGAAGTACATCGGATTGTCTAGTCGATGTCGGCAGTCGGCTTCGCTACGCCGTGCAAAAGCTCGTCGGTGCGCTATATAACATTAACGTAGCATATTGCGATAATGTATTTCATATCTTGGTTGAACTATCGTTCAACAAAGAGCTTTTCGATTTCTGTCTCATGTATGTACACAATTGTTGTTTCAAGGCATGATTGCATGCACTTGGATAGAGGCGTCTTTCAACTTTACATTATATCCTTCTGTCTACTTTGCAGATAACTCACAGCAGGTGAATATTCTTCAGCGGAACAATGACTTCGGTTTATTTTGCTTTGCCGCTCAACATAGACAGAGTGTGCAGGATTTGCCTCACTGAAGGTACCAACCTGTCGCCAATCTTCTCCACTAATCAGGTGGAGAATGATTTCCAAGGAGAAAATTCTCTTCTCTCCCAGAAGATACAAGTCTGTGGCTCTATCGAGATACACGAACAGGATGGATTGCCTTCCCTAATATGTGACGTTTGTGCCTACAAGGCTAGAGTCGCACACGAGTTCAGGGAACAGTGTCAGAGTTCTGATGCAAAGTTGCGCATGTACTATAATAAGCCTGCTAAGTGTAATATTAATATCACAGTAAGTACTATCTTGTCTACATGTCCTGCCTCTGTTGAGATGTATTTATATTTGATATTACACTTTTCAGGATTCTTATACACAGACAGATCTGCAAACGAGGTTTGTACTGTCAACAAAGCCGAATCATCTCCAAGATGAATATTTTGTTAAGGAAGATATGCAAGTAGTAGCAAATCCACAGGAGTATGTACAACCTGCTGACCAATTTCCCAGGGATGAAACCAGTCTGAACGCCAATCAGATTCACATGCAAGATGAGAAGCTGTTCATATGCTCCATTGGATTCGAAGGGAACAAGGAGGAAGTGGTGAAGGATTCCTGCATGCCGGAGAATGTGGTTCACGAAATGTCGATAGCGCAAGAAGATGCTCAAGATACATCCAACATCATCAATATGCAAAGCAAAGACGAAATAGTGAAAGAGACGGAGCAGTATATGGAGAAGAATGGCACGGACGAACAGGAGCAATTCGTCAGTGAAAGTTTGCCCGACAATAATGTGGAGGAGGAGATGGAGGAAGAGGAAGAAAACGTACGTCCACAGAAACGTACGTCCACGAGAAAAACCAAGTCAGCGCCGGCCAAGACGTACAGCGACGACGAGATCGGCGACAATTATTACGATCCGAGCAGCGACAGTCAAGATTCGGTGGAGTCGAAGTTCAAGTGCAAGATCTGCTCGAAGCAGTACGCCACGCAGAAAGGACTGAAGAAACACTCACTTGTTCATGAGAAGAAGTACAAGTGTAATGTCTGCCTGAAGATGTTCTATAAGCAAGAGAACATGGAGAACCATCAGAAAATACACGCGTCGAAACCGCACGCGTGTCAGCTTTGTCACGCGTGTTTCTCGAAACCACAGAGCCTTGTGAAGCATCTGAAGTCACACACAGAGAAGGTGAACGACATGATTAAGCAGATCAATACGGACGAACGCAAGGATAATAAGGAGCCGAAGAAAGAGTTGAAGAGCGAGGACGACACTGACGAAGAGACCGGGCCGACGAACGAGACAGACGAATTCGAGAACGCGCCCGAGTTGTACAAGTGCGAGATCTGCAGCCAGTACTGCTCATCCCTGAAAAACTTGAGGAGGCATGCTCTCGTGCACGGCGACAAGAAGTACTCGTGTACAGTATGCAAGAAATGGTTCTTCAGACCGGACACTCTGAAGAAACACGCGGAGAAGCATGGACACGGACTGCTGGATAATCTCGTGGACGATAACAAGCTGTATAACTCAGACGACGACGAGGTGGGGCCGACAAGCAACGCGGTGAATCCCTCCTTGCCGGAGAACGAGAACGTGAAGAAAGAGGACAGTGACGAAGACGGCTCCGGGGAGTATAAGTGCCAGCATTGCGACAAGGTGATGGCCACAAAAAAAGGCCTGCGCCGGCACGTGTCGATGCATAAGCCGAAGGCCGAGCCGGTGACCTGCGAGATCTGCAGGAAGGTGTGCGCGAGCCAAGCGCGACTAGTTCTCCATCAACGCACGCACAAGCCGAAAGAGAAGGTGCCGCGCGAGTATCTCTGTCACATCTGCAGCAAGGTCTACCCCAGTAACTCGTCCCTCACGTACCACATGCGCACCCACACCGGCGTCAAGCCACACGTATGCAAAACGTGCAACAGCGGCTTCACGACTACCACCAGCTTGGCGAATCACATACGCATTCACACGGGCGACAAGCCGTTCGTTTGCCATGTCTGTAGCGCCGCGTTCGCCGTGAGCTCGGCCTTCCGCAGACACCTAACTCGGCACACCGGTGAGGCGAATTACCTTTGCAAGACGTGCGGCAAGGCGTTCAAGCGGCTCAGCACCCTCAAGGAGCATACGTACACGCACTCGGGCGAGAAACCTTACGTCTGCAAGACCTGCGGCGCAGCGTATAGTCACAGTGGCAGCCTATTCGCTCACCAGAAACGTTGTCGCGCCCAGTACGGCGACATGATCGTCGACGATCATCATCATCATCACATGCCGCACACAGTCACGCATATCCACGTGAACATGAACAACGTGAATAACGGGCAGGCCGCGGTACGGCCGGTTACTGTGATAGGTCAAATATACTAAGGCAGTCGTACGGGCACCGTATAATGGACATCCAGTATTGCATTACGTGTCACTTTGCAACGTGGCGGTTGCTGTTGTAATTGCAGTTACGTAGTGCCACTGCAACCATGTAACTGCAAATCATTCGCGCGAAGCAACGACTCCTGCATCCACGTGTGGTGCGCGAGTATGTGAGATGCAGATTATCTCGCATCAGTTGTAAATATATATCAACAGCTCTTCTTTGTCATAATAAAAGGAAACGTTCTTTGGAATACGGCTATGTTCTCGAGGACCGTCGAAGGTCTAACGCTTTGCTTTCTGAGGATACGTAGAGGAGTATTTCTTGATTGTATCATACGTACGATATTGCATATCGGAGACGCGAAAATGGAGTTTTCCAAATGAAATCGCAATAGGTCGTCGATGAAAATTTCCAGATATTTTTTTATTATTTGATGTTACAGATACGGATATATACGAGCATAACGTATAGGATGAAGCATTAACTCTATTCTTTCTGAGTAGCTTTGAACTGATAATAATTGGAAAAAATGTCTCCAATGTAAAAGTTAATTTCTTGCGAGCGATATTCATGTGGGTGACTACACTTGGAACAAAGATATGCATAACATGTCTCTTCTATGTACACTAAATTTAGTCTCGAATATTTGTTTCGACACAATCAAATCCTCCTTTACTGAATTTAATTATTTTTAAGATATTTAAATTATGTGGAATTATTGCTTCATCCTTTGTATCGATACAAATGTATGTATATATACATATACACATGCATTCATATATATATATATATTTTTTTATATATATTCATATAATCCAGATCTTGCTGTACCACATATTACATGACAGTTCTCTTACATTGCTATATTATTTCAGAGTAGTTAGCTTTCACTATTCTTCAAAATTAAAGAAACGCATTTTTCTTCCGTTTTTCTTTTTTTAGATTAAGGAACTTGTAAAGAAATTTCGGAAGGTACAATACTCGACGTAACTACTGAGTAATTGGTTTTTACGGTATTGCGCTTAAACATTTTTTCTAAAATCGATATACAAAAATAGAGTAACACTAGAAATGTAATATCAGGTATACAACTTCTGGGCTGTGATTATCACATAAATTATAACTAGATGAAGAAAAACCAGCAGATTTTATCTCCAATTAACAAAGTTAATCAGCATAAATATATAAATATTTCACCGCCAAAGTATATCATAGTTAAACGAAGAACAATCATATTCACACTATGTACATTTTGCATAATAATTTAGGTCGCACGAAAGATATGAAACGATTATAATTACTATACATTACATAGATCATGATGTTTAGAATATCACGTAAAAACATTTTGCAGTCACGTTTTTTTATCTTTGCTAACAGAGAGAATGTTAATATTATATAACAGATATATGACAGCCATGTATCCAATAATATTGTGCCACGAATGTATTCTTTTAAAAGAAGATATTCTGACATTTGTCAGAATATGATTTTAACTTAATATTCTTGTTGAAGTGGCACATTATCATTTTTACAAAGTCGTGAATGTTTAATACAATCATATTTTATATATTGACGTATGGATGAGATGGCACCGTATACATTGTTCTGTTTTAATATGGCTCGTATTATTGTCATTAATAATATATTTATGTCTAAACTGTTAAAAATACTTTTCAAACTGCTAAAATTTTGTCATTCTTGTCATTGAGAGTGATTAGAATGTTATTTATATACTTATGTTTCGTTAGTAGAAATGTATTTTTCAAGAAATATCGAAATTTAATTTCGATTTGTAGTTGAACAGAACAATCAGGATTATACAACAAAAACGAACAGTTTTATAAATAGATCGGGAATAAGTGAGGAATGTACAAATACACATGTAAACGATATCAGATTATTAATTATTATAACAAGTTATAGGCGAGACTGATCATCATTCATTTAGATATTTAATGCTATACAATTTGTAAATCATATTCGATATAAGTGGTTGGGTCAAATATGTATTTTAAAGTCCTAACTAGCATTATTGTTTTATCATGTTCTTTTTGTATTGCCAATAGTATTATTTAATCTGTAATTTTCGTCATAATATGGATAATATGGATCTCTTCAATTTGTCATAATCCTTCACAAAATTACAATATATTTATGAAGCTTTATTTTCCACAGCGCTAGTACGATTATCAATTTTATATTTGACACTGAGCATTTACTTATTGCTTTATAAAAATCTATATTGAAGCAAGTTGTGCATTATGGTCTTAATTACAAATGAAAGATGATGTTCATAAAAACACTAAAAACGAAATATATCGATTTAACAATAGAAAAAAGATATACAATCAAACGCAAATACTTTACATCAGTATACTTGATTTAATGCTAAGTTATACAATATTGAACAAAGTTTAAAAACACGAAACTCAGTATTTCTACTATTTAGAAACAGTAATTCTGTAGTGCCATCTAGATAATAGAATATTAAGAGTTTTAATCTTTCTTTCCAAAAATTTCTCGATTTGTTTTGAAATATATAAAAAATTCAATCATTGAAATATTTACCATCGCTGCTTATGACCTGCTATCTCTCCGGCAATTTTCGGTTTCGATCACGAAAGATGATTATTTGCAAAGATGACAGCTTGAAGACAATGAATTAGTTTAGTCATTTCCAGATCTTGATTCCATCTTGGAAGCGCTATCCAGTTACGTCATTTTGCATCAACAAATAATAATTCGAAGCCAAAGGAGGAGGGTTCCTAAGGCCTGTTTTCGGCACCTGTTTATATTCAAAATTGGACCAAAATGGCTGGAATCACTTCCCTATACCCTAGGAAGTAATATTTAGTCAATTCCAGCCTAAACGGAAGTATTTAGAGTGTATACTTCAAGTATACATGGTGCATCAGCGCGCCCGTATCAAGCATTTCTTTGGAAAACTAAGCGTTCCTGAGAAAAATGTTTCGGATAAAAGTTGTATGATTTCAAGGGGGACATAAGATGGTGTCATTGGTTTGACCTTGGATAGTCATTTGAAGGTCACGTGAATGTCGATTTCAATATTTTATATAGAACCCCCTATTTTTACATATCTTGTAGCTTATCTCGAGAGCTTTCCAAAACACTATCGTAGATCACGTAGAAACACTTATTACAAATACTTCTGAAAGAAATAACTAACGTATTTTCTGCCACAAGGCTAAATACGAAGTTTTGAAAAGAACTGTTTTAAGAACCTTTTTGAGCAACTACGATCCCTTAAGCTTTTAATTCAATAGACCATGTTCTGCTTATGTCCATGGCCTTATATCGGACCCGATCTCACATCTTAATCAGAGATACACAAAATGCGTGTATGCGCATACCCAGTTACGATAAAAATAAAAATAGTTCTTGTCAGAGCTGCTTCTCGAGATTTTCTTATTACGCAAAAAGATATCTTGTTATTTTTGAGTTTTTCTCCTTTATTTTTCTCCTTCTTTAATTTTTAATCTTGCATAATTATTCAGATTTGTTCTACAGTGAATTGCAATTTTTAATTAGGCGTTTCCAATATGGCAGAAAATATTAATGTTCCTGCGAACGAAACAATAACTATTCCTTTTAGTAGACCATCTATAACACATAAATGCATTATCTGCAAAGCTAAGTCGCCGCTTGTTGTTGTACCTTCCCTGGCTAAACTTCGGGTTTTTGTTAAGCGTGGATTGATAATTGATAAAAAGTGACAGGCAAGGGGACTCACGTAAACTCAACACCCTGCTCTACGTGGCTTCTTAAAGGAAGATTACGTTTACGATTTTACTGTTCACGTGTGGAGAATCAACAAGAATAAATACGATTTCAATCTCGGATCTCCTTAAGTAACGTTTCTACAAATCTATCTGTAAGAAGCCTCATAACTTGCAAAGTACTTAATGAAAAATGACTTAGTTATAAGTGTTTTGGAAAGCTCTCGAGATAAGCTACAAGATATGTAAAAATAAGGAGTCCTATATAAAATATTGAAATCGACATTCACGTAACCTTCAAATGACTATCCAAGGTCAAACCAATGACACCATCTTATGTCCCCCTTGAAACCATACAACTTTTATCCGAAACATTTTTCTCAGGAACGCTTAGTTTACCAAAGAAATGCTTGATACGGGCGCGCCGATGCACCATGTATACTTGAAGTATACACTCTAGATACTTCCGTTTAGGCTGGAATTGACTAAATATTACTTCCTAGGGTATAAGGAAGTGATTCCAGCCATTTTGGTCCAATTTTGAATATAAACAGGTGCCGAAAACAGGCCTCAGGGACCCTTCTCCTTTAAGATGATCTGAGTGATAGCAAGAGCAACATGTGGCCCAGTGTTGTCGTGCGACAATATGATCTTTTGCGTCCCTTGTTCCAGTAAATGCCTTTCTTCATTCGATTTCTTCGAATAAACGGTTGTTTTCTGTAACGGTTTGCAGTAAACGTTATTTCTGGATGAAGTAGTTTGTAATAAAGTATCCTCTTCATATCCCACAAGATATAGAGAATTTTTTCGAATGTTTGATTTTGCGATCGACGTGAACGGTTCGTACACAATCCACTTTTTATCACCAGTGATACACATATTTTCACAAAAAGTTTTTTGTAGCCTGGCAAACAGCAAAATGTGCATGTTAAATCATTATCCAATATTATGTATGCTGAGTTCATAGTTTTGTGTTACAAGATATATAACAAGTAAACAGATTTTAAGAATTAGTTATATTTTGCAATTCTGTACATAAATATTTACATAGGGATCAAGTTATTTATACTTAATAAAAAATTCTCATCAGCAGTTTTGTATTTAATATCTCACATTCAGAAACGTATTGTGTAAGTAAATTTAGATACATACGTATTCATATTAAACCATTTATATCACGTACTCTGTTGTAAAAATAAAAGATATTAGGCATTTTTACGTTTTTTGTTCTGTTTCTTTAAAATACGATAACGTCGCCAGATTGAATTTCTCGTCCTTCGAAGCACTTTGGCTAAATCAGTATACTTGCTCCTTTCATCAAGAGATGGATTATTTTCTAAGTGATCTATTATCAATTGATCCTCTTCAGGTTTATACCTAGCAATTTCAACTTGTTAATTTTAGCTGATACCATCCATTATCTTTAAAAAACCAACTACTTATTATTTATAAAATATATTTAGAAATAAGCAGTAACAGTTATTTTAAAATAATCATAAAAATATATTATATAACTCATGCATAAATGCGTTTTGTTTATATTACCTTGCTTGTACATGGCCTTCATACAAATTTCTAAATCTGTGGTAAACACTGTATAAGGTTCTATTTGGTAGATCATTAGCCAAAAATTGTACAAACTTTCGTCTTTCAGAGATATGACGTATATTTGTTATTTTGTTACCTATCCTCATTTGCAAAAATGGTTTACGATTTGTTTCATCCCAATTATGTAACTATTTCAAAACATATATCAATATTTTTTTATACTTAATACACAAGTTATAAAAAGTTTTCATCTTTAAAGGTCATTCTACAATACGTGTCGTAAGTTGTAAGCCGTAAGAATTGGCGAATCACAGTCGATTATTACAAAAATAATCAGCTATAATTGGCCAGTTCTTACGGCTTACAGCTTTCGACACGTATTATAGAATGATCTTACCAGTAAAGTATTTATGTTTGTACACTAACCATACAAAATTTTTTCCAATTACGAACAATAATTTCGTCTTCCTCAACAGAATATACACCTTTCTTGAGCGGCACTATTTGTTCAAACTGTTTTATTATCTCTCTCGTTGGCATATGAGATCCTGCACGTGTTTCAAGCATATGCTGCAGTGGCACTGTGTGTTCCAGTTGCACAGATAAATTGAATAATTTCTGCAATAAAAATAATCACACATATATCACATTATGGAAAGCTTTTATTATATTAAATTTCTCTCAAATCTATTACCGCTGCATCCACAGGAGACAGTTTCTCCTTTGATATCATTTGCTTTGCTAAGTATGTTGCATCGCTGCAGTATTCTGAATCATCGTTAAATTTAACATTTGCCTCAGAATCATCGTTATTGATATTTTTATTATCGGATATTTCCTCCGTATCGCTATCTTCAACCTTTATATTTCCCATTATAATAGATTTAAATTGTGTATATACACTGTAACCACCTAACCTCGTCAACGTTTAAATTATACTACAAAAAGTTTCAGTTCAGTTCGTTATATGGCTCCGGACTGCATACAGCAATGTCAATACGCCATTTCCCAGTAATATGATGTAAAAAGAAAAACAGGGACAACGTGTACACAGTCCCCACGATTAAAAAATTATGCGTAGTTACAAGAATCACATCCAACTGTCACGGAGGCGAACAAAAGACTTCTTCAAAAAGTTTATTCTATTAAGCCAGCTGCACACGGTGCTTGTTTTCGTGCTGGATTGCTTGCTGGATGAAAATATTGCGTTCTGATTGGTACATTTCCGAAGATGGATGGAAATGCACCAATCATAATCGATTATTCTTATAATAATCGATTGTGGTTGGTCTATTTCTTACTATTTACGCTTAGAACCTTATTCTTGCAACCATTGTAGATGGGCCTTTATGGACGCGAACATTAAGCCCCTTGCACAATGCCAGGCAACAGGCAATAAGAATAAAAATAAAGACCAATCACAATAGATTATTCTTGTAATAGTCGATTGTGATTGGTCTATTTTTATTCTTATTGCTTGTTGCCTGGCATTGTGCAAGGGGCCAAAAGTGCAAGCACCGACAAGGTAATATAAAGACTATCAGCCTTAAGTAAATTTTTATATTAGCCAAGGAGGCCCCGAGAGGCTCAGATTAAAGAGAGATGATAATACCGAATATTTTAGCTGTATCACAATGGTAATCGAGGTATAGTATTGGATAAATGTTCATGTTATCTTCAGTATAGCTAAAATATTTGGTATTACCATCGCTCTTTAATTACCTCCGGGTCCCTCGAGGCTATCTTGGCCAGTACGAAAATTTATCCAGGGCTGTCAGTCTTTGTATTACCTGGTCGATGGTGCAAGTAACGCAAACGGACCTTATGAGTTTGTTCTTTTTAGTTGCACTGAGTTGGTGCAATAAGCTGGAGGAAAAATATAGTCGTCTATCTTATTGCTCTAACTTATTGCATTAATTGCATTAATTCAGCAGTGCAGCTAAAAAGAACATATATTCTACTGAACTTGTCTATAGGTCATATACGATATTTCAATGGAATAATTTAATTGGTCGGGAATAGTGATATCTAGTGACATTCGTGAAATATAATGGCTGCGTTTCGATATTCACTGCTAACATTGAAAATCTATAGTATATGTGACACAAACTATGTATTTTCACCGGCAATGAATATCGGAACGCACCCAATGGGTGCATTCAGTACTACAACCGCTCACTGAGCGCTAAGTGAACTCTTGCATTTGATTGGTGTATATTTTTAAATCTAAAGGTATATACCAATCAGGTGCAAGAGCTCACTTAGCGCTCAGTGAGCGGTTGTAGTACTGAATACACCCATTGGCCGCGTTTAGTAGAACAAAGTGATTAGAGAGCGCTTAGTGATTTTTGTCTGTGATTGGAGCATTCTTTTAGATTCTTCATAGACCCAGAAATATTTACCAATCAGGAGCGAGATTCGGTGGAAAATCTAGTAATGTTGTCCAACTGTTGAATCTGCTGAATGCGGCCAATGGCTGCGTTCAGTAGACAACATTACTAGATTTTCCACCGAATCTCGCTTCTGATTCGTAAATATTTCTGGGTCTATGAAGAATCTAAAAGAATGCTCCAATCACAGACAAAAATCACTAAGCGCTCTCTAATCACTTTGTTCTACTGAACGCGGCCATTATCTGCTATTTCGAATTCCATGTGATTATACCTTTACGTATATATAGGAAAACTGTACGTTGCGAACCAGCTTGACGTTCAGTAATGGCGGACTCTGTTGATAATTACACTGGCGTCAGGTACTGAAGTCGAACATTCTTCCGTCATTACTATTGACAGAGAGGTGAATTCGGATCTCTAAACTGCCAGAACGAATAATTGGTGTAAGCGACAGAGATGTCGACAGATTTTTATATACGCTACTACGTCGGTCACAAGGGCAAGTTTGGCCACGAGTTCCTGGAGTTTGAATTCCGGCCGGACGGCAAGCTTCGTTATGCCAATAATTCCAACTATAAGAATGACACGATGATCCGCAAGGAAGCGTATGTACACCAATGTGTAATGGAGGAACTGAAGCGGATTATCCAGGACTCGGAGATTATGCAAGAGGACGATTCGTTATGGCCACAGCCTGATCGTGTCGGTCGGCAAGAGCTGGAGATCGTGATCGGTGACGAGCATATATCATTCACTACCTCCAAGACCGGGTCTCTCCTGGATGTTAATCAGTCGCGCGATCCGGAAGGATTGCGATGCTTCTACTATCTTGTCCAGGATCTTAAGTGCTTGGTATTCTCGCTGATAGGACTGCACTTCAAGATAAAACCCATATAATTTCAAATTTCTCACGCGTCGAAATATAATGATAAGACTTATTCTAATAAAATGTCTCCTTTAATAAAATGTAAAACTTTGTAGTCGTCTGAGTTTCCTTTAATGTGAGAAAATTTTGGTTTTTTTTTTACCTCCTGCACCTGAACTTCGTTGGTGTCGCATCTCATTTAACCTAACTTATTTTACCCGAGAAACGGGAAGCTGTCGATTTGTCGAACACTTGACATCGTCGTATCTGAGATTCATCTTGTTTCCGTGATTTATTTTCGCAAGAATGCACTCGTTCGCACGTGTTGCTTCAGCATCCCAGGTTTAAAAAGTTAGAACAATCGTTCGATTCCGCGAAGAGAAGTCAACAATAGAATACATATGTTTTGTAAAGCTGATTCGATTAATCTTTTATCTGATAAACTTGATGAAACTTATAAATATCTATGATTAATGAGTAAATATCAATATTGCGTCTTACAATAAACGAATGTTATTGTCAAATAATTCGTGAACTACAATTCACAGGTATTCTGGCAATATTATTCACAAATTTCGCATGGTGAGTGCATGCAGTCGATACCATTTGCTTTAATATAAGGTAATATTAAATTAAATATATTTTAACATTCATTTTCATTATAAATAATAGAAATTCAATTTATGTAAAAAAAATTATAAATTTTCAGTATGTACATAATATAAATACATAATATAAATATTAAAATCCTATGAATTTCTCTCTCTCTCTCTCTCTTTTTTATATAACGCATACAAAACATCAAGTTTTCATAATGTATATATGTAGTAACTGGGTGTAATTTGATAACCATTCCTAACCTTAAACAATCTAGATCTTCCCTCGTGATTTATATGTATGGTTGACAAATATTGTGAATTATTTCTGATTGTGTGCAGTATACTTTAATTTTAAACAAAGGAATTTCTGTAAATTATTTTACAGTGTAGTAATACGATAATTTTAATCACAGATTAAAAATGTCCAGCGAACAAGATGTACCAACAAACGTGCCACAAAACGAAAATTTCAGTCATCAGGAGGAAGAACGTGTTGTCATAGATGCTGTTCATGAAAGATTTCGGAGAATAGACGCCATTATTGATAATTCTCGTCGAATATATCTTCGTTGTGACGATTGTGATAGCCAGATTCCATGGGATGATGTTGCTATAAGAAATCACTTCAACAGTTTGCATTTCTCAAAATATCATTGCTCCTACTGTAGAGGCAAAGTATTTGTATATCGAAAAGTAGTTATAGTGAATGGCAATGAGACATCGGAGGAAATTATATATCATAAATGTAATCATAATCAGCAAGCAGAAACAGGTGTGTGAGAATTACAGAAGTAGCAATATTCTTTATTAATGTCCTAAATATAAAATATATGAATTTAAAATTTCTTTAATAGAAATTTTATACAATTGTCTCTCTAATAGACCTGATTAATGAGTCAGATATTACTCAGATCTTGTATAGTTATATAATTATATAGTTATATAATAGTAATATAGTTATATAATTAAACTAGCGATGTTTGTAATTCTTTTTTAATAGTATTGAATTATTTTTGACCATGCTTATTATATATCTAATTATATTTCATATGTCAGATATGAATTTTATATTTTTTAAATGTTTAATACTACGAACATACAAACTATGAATTCTTTGATTGACGACTTCAAAAGTTGTCTGTCCTTTTTAGATCTAAGTACTTATAATAGCAAATGTGTGGTTCCTACATATGAAAGATCATATGATTGGTCACCAAAGTAATTTAAAGATTAGCCATCAAAGTAATTTAAAGATTATCTTAAAGGTATTTGTGAAAAAATTGTAGATTCTTTGGGCTAATATATTTTGTATCATTTTTAATAAAATTTAGATATATTTGGGAATTATAATTCCCTTTTCTTCTTATAATACATCATAATGTAGCATTATTAATATATATAATATATATATATATATATAATGTAGCATACATTATATAAAAGTTAAAACAAATATATTGCTGTAACTAGAGGTATAAAAGATAATTTTTTGTAATGAATTTTTGTAGACCTGAAAGTAATCTCCAAATCATTATGTAAGATTTTGTTACTAATTGCTATATTTTTTATATTGTAAGGATTTTTATATAAAATAAATTGTAAAAGCTAAAAATATACATAAAGAAAAAATATATAAAAATCAGAAATGAAAGAAATGTATTTCTTTTATACACTGCTGCAGATGAAATATGTATATTATTTTATATAGGTGAAAGATAATCATTTTTTTATTGTATAGAATGAAAACTTATATTATAAACTTTGAGCTTTACAAATACACAAAAGTCAATTTCAAGTACAAAGGTACACGAATTTGTACATAGTGTTTATTTTTCTATAACTAACATTCATTGGAAAACATTTCCGATATTTTAATTATACATCATAAAACTTTGATTATTCAATAGAAACAAGTAGTCTTTAACAAAGTTCGATAGTTTATTTATTAAACTTCTTATGGTAGAAGTTCATGTTTATAAAGTTAAATAGACAATTTTTTACTTAAATGTATATAATGTATAATTTATATATAATGTATAATTTCTCTCTGTGACATATATCACATACATCTATATATGTATATAAATTTATAAATTAAATAAACTTTCAACGAAACATTTACTAGATTAAACATTAGTTATTTCATTCTTATTATATTTACCACACCTATTACATTACCCTCTCTTTCTAGTGGTAATACAGAAATTTCCAGTGATGGCTACTAACATTTTAAAGAAATACTAACATTTTAAATAAAGAAACTTGTATAACATAGAGGATATATATATATATATAATCTATGTTATACAAGTTTCACATATATACACATACGTACTTATAACGTAAATAAAATAAAATAAAATTTTGTGAAATTATACTAACATATTAAACAAAATGCGCATACATCACACGTAAATTCTTTGATACTGTCCCATAGGATAGCATACATAATGTATGTGTAGAATTTTTTCTTATTTTTTATAATTATAAATATCGATATTTTCTTCAGATCTCTTTTGTATTTTTATCACACCTGTGTATGTATTCTATATATGTTATGGCACATATATACACACGGATCTTTTTATTAAAAAACTCTAATTATATAAATTATATTATAATACATATACATGAGGTTTTTAAAAAAGATACCGTGTGTGTATGTGTATTATTTCATTTCTTATAAATGTGCGAATTGCAGTTAAATTTAACAGAATTTTTACAGAAAATTTACAGCTATGAGCATGCAGTAAAAAAGCTTGCATACATGTTCCACATAACATAAAATGTCTTCAAGTGTATAATTTTCTATCTCTACATTTAAAAGATTAGAAAAGTACATATATTCAACATATAGATATTCATATCCATAGACAATTATATAAGTTGTATCGGTTGTAAAATGTCCTGTATGCAAATATATGTATGAAGCTAATACTGACATCATAATGTATAAATATCATAGACACGTACCAAATACAATTTGCAAGTGTACATAAATTTTTTTATTTAATAGACTAGTTCATATATGATAGGTTTTCTCAATATTATGAAACTGACACTACTTTTATCACATTCATTTACCAGATGGGAATTTTCTTGTATCACACCCATGTATATTCTAAAGACATATCACGATCTCTCTTTCTCTCTTTTTCTTTCTCTCGATAGCATAGCTCGATTTATCTCTTTCCACATAAAATATATTCTTCGTGAATCTATGAAAATGTTAAAAATTATCTAACAAATGCACCATAGATCAGACTATGTTATTTGAAGCCTCTGTATGCTGGGCTAAACTAACATACTGGCCCCAGGGAGATATAGTAATTAATAAGATATTTTGTACCGAAAACTGGGATATGCATACAGGCTGTATTAGAATGTGCAAATTAATCTGTGGAACCTATTATTAACAAAATCTGTCTAGAAAAAAAGCTATGATAAATGCATCTTTTTAAGATATAAAAGCAAAATATGCCCATCTTGTGAATAAAGGCATTAGGATATGCAAAGTTTAAGACTATGAATAAACTTAATCATATTCTTTGGGTGAAAATAGGCAATGTTATGAAATCAAATAAAATTAGATTTTTCTAAATCACTAGTTGCGGGAATATTATTCGATGGACAACGTACGAAGTACGTTGTAAAACGTGTAAAGTAATCGTTAGAACGAATAATCAGTAAAGGAAAACCAACTAATATATTAATATATACTTGTGAAACTAATTATTACTTAATAAAAAATAAGAAGCCTCATGAGATATGTTTTTGATCAGTCGAAGGAAGGAACGAAATAATTGGTAGATAAATTTAAGAGGCCAGAGTTAAAATAGCATTTCGTGGATGGATGCTCGTATGGATGCCTGTGTGTGATTAACGCTAATGTAACAAATTACAGTGTGCGGATACATTGCATGTGCAATTTCTCTAGTAAATCGATTTGTACGAACTTCTTATGGCAAAACAATTGTGGCGAAAGTTGTTGAAATTGGCATTTATATACAGAACATAAGCGAGTAGTTCTGCTTTGCTTATAAAAAATATACTACTCTGTTCTGTATAGCTTATATATGTTCTGACATATATCATGGCGGATATCTCTTTTTCACACGTAAATATCTCCGCGAACTACCTCGATAGTTCATGCTGCCTGATGACGGGTGCTGGGGATGGGTCCTTGAAAATAATAAAATATCACCAGCACCTTATTTCATCGCGTGATTCTTTAAATATAACTTCAATCTTGTCGGATAATCCGTCATCACACCAGTTGCACCCAGCTCAAATGCTTTCTTGAATTCTTCATCTTTATTTAAGACCCAAAAGTATACCTATACAAGTATGCAGCGACACACGAGGCGTTAAGACGTTAAAGTTAAATATACGATAACGATAAAATCTTGAGATAAAAAGATTTACTCACATGTATGCCTCGTGCTCTTAAATGGTTAAACAAGCATGGTCTCATTAGTAGTACATTAATTGTACGTACAACTAATTTTTCCAATGGTAAAAATGTTGGACTTGGGCCACCTATACGCCTGGAATAACATTGCAGGATTGTATGCTTCAATTCCACAATAATTGTGAGAAATGTTAAGAGACATTTTAGTCATATTACCGTAAATAGATTGAAGGTAAAAAGATTTCAAGATGTGTTTCCTTCAGTGGTACAAATGGCAACAAACCAGTATACATAAGAAATATCAACATTGTCACACGTTGCATTGAAAATAGTAAGTTTACACTTGGATTCTGCACATAAACAAAAACAATATTAAAAATCTACAAAGGTCAACAGTTTGCACATTTACATACTGTCTTCTTCTAATTTTCAGGAAAGCTTACATTTGTGTGCCAACATACCATTTTATAGCACTTTTGCGTAACTTCATCACTGAAGTTTCCCCAAACTGTGTACTCCTCTCTCTTGTATTCTTTTATAAGATCAGACACTTTTGATATAAGTCGATCGTCGTTGATTTTAATATCAATGTTAATAGGAATAATAGGAAATGCCTCAAAGACTTCTCGCAGTAGTGCAAATCGCCGATCTTCTTCCCTCGCAGAACCAACATACTCCACATCTGCCCAACTACGGTTCTTAAATAATTTCGTTCAAAGATATCATTTTTTCTTAAAACAATAAGTAACAATACCTGGATCAAAATCGATCGGTAAACGTTGCTTCAAAAGTGGCAAATCTTTGTAATCCAGCTCAGAAATGTTCTTGTCCACGCCGGTACTGCGAAAGAGATTCTGATCATGGGAGACTATCACTTCGCCGTCTCTCGTGAGGTGACAATCCAATTCCAGCATTTGAGTTCCAATCGCCACTGCTCTATAATCGCAAGTGGACATTTTCGACTTCATTATTCCAGTCTCTATTTTACCTTAGTACACAATCGTTTGAAACGCACAGATTTAAACACAAATGTGAATCGAGACCTCGCAATAAGGATTCGAAAAATATTTCAACTAACCGTCTAAATGCGCACATCGTATTCTCGTAGCTCTCGCCCGCTCCTAAAATTTATTTAAATACATATGATTAATAAGAGTCATACGCACAAAGTGCACAATCATCGCATGGCTCGATGATATTACGCACGGAGTAATTGACGATGAAAGACAAAGAAAAGACTCACCACCCCGGTGGCTAATATGCTGGCAAAGAAACTTCACTTTCTTTTTCTTGTGCAGCAGAGTAGGATATTTGAACAGTATCATCGAAGTCAGCATGTAGCCACCGATCAGCGTGTACAGTAACATCCTTGCTCGTCTCACTCTTTATCCACCGTCGAACATTCCGCTACGCGCACAGGGGACTTCTGATGACTCTGAGTAATACAAAATAAACGTGACAGGAAGAAACGGCGGCGATGACGGACGGAGCAGACGACAAGTGGCTTCTTCTTTTTCTTCTTTCAACTATGGGCCCGAGATTTCAACCTCTCTGTCCACTTCAAGTTAATATAATAGTTAGATGACGCAGCCAACCTTGCGTACAAAACTCTCCAGCAGGAGGATAACCTGGGTATTGCTGGAAAAAACTAAATCGACAATTTTCTCAGCAGGGCCGACACCCGCTTTGTGCAGTTCTTTTATAAGCCAATAAGATTCCTTCGAATTTCGGCAACATTCAAAAGATACATGATCAATGGTTTGGATACAATTGTCAAACGGACACAATGGAGAGTCCGCTATGCCTTTATCAAATAAATGAGCATTGACAGCCACGTGATGCGTTCGAAGTCTTCCTATAAGGGTCAATGTACTTCTTGATAAATAATTATATTCTCTGAACCATGGATTTTCGAGTTTCATTCTGGCTCTGTTAAAATAACAGTGGCCCTTCATCAATGCGGACATCTTCAAAAATTTGAATGATTCCTCTTTAATTTCTGAACTTATCGACTTGAACAAGCTGAAATAAGGATAAATCTGCTGATGAGGATCACTAGGCGATTCTCTCAATGCCGCTTCCTTGGCCAGTGCATCAGCTCTTTCATTGCCCAAGATGTCACAACGACTTGGGATCCAGAGCAATTTCACAACCGTACCATTACAGTGGAGCTGATACAAAATATTTTTTATTAAAATGATCCATGGATGCGTATATTTTGAATCTGAGACTTTTAGAATCGATGAGATCGCGCTTCTAGCAATTATTGCTTTTTGATATTATGTTCATCGATAATTCTGAGGGCGTGTAACAGGGCCGTGAGTTCAGCCTCAAAGATAGAAATCAAGCTAGAGAGACTGATTCTCTTTTCAATCAAAGGATTAAAAGAGAACACGGCACAACCTGTTTCATCAGAGCCACGTTTACTACCGTCTGTATATAAGATTGTGTGTTCATGACATTCATGATTTTTCAGATATGATTGAAAGAGGTGTTCCGCAGAGGGTGTTATGGAAATAATGGAAACAATGCTGGTAGTAGAGGAAATATTATCTTTATTGCATTTAATCTGAAAATTGAAACCCGAACAAGAGTCCCCCTCCGGCTGAAAACTCCCAACTTTCAGGGAAAAATCCAAAGAATTAGGTAGAGAAGTACGATACATATTAGCCCCGAATTGCTCCCATAAGCTCATGAGGGTGGATAAAAAAGGATCTTCCATACCATGAAGTCTCCTCCTGCCAGTATTTGAAAAGAGCCATACGACTAGTCTAGACAAGAAATGCGATTTCACAGAGGCTTTTAGAACGTATCTGCAGGTCAATAAAGATCTACGGAACTGCAGAGGAAGTTCACCAGCAAGATCCAGCGCAACATTAATAGGTGTTGTAGACATTAAGCCCATAGCGATTCTAAGCGCAAAAAATTGCACTCTGTCCAAAATAAGGGCATCCCGAGGAGCAATATCCAGAAAGGAAGACGAACCATAATCTAAAGATGACCCGATCCAGCCTTTATAGACAGCAATCAAGTTGCGAGGGTGAGAACCCCAAGAAACACCAACAATAACCCAGACAGCACAATGTCCAAAACTGGGACATAAGACGTCTTTAAGACGTCTTTAAGACGACTTAATGATGTCTTATTTTCAGACATCTTAAAGACCACTTAAAGATGTCTTAAAGACATCTTATGTCCCAGTTTTGGACATATGTGCGGTCTGGGAGCCTTCATAACATTCAGGTTAGGCACCAATATCCGGAGTAACATCCATAGGATCGATCTCCATCCCGACAGATAAGGCTGCGTTCCGATATTCACTGCCAGTATCGAAAATATATACTTTATGTCACATATATTATAGATTTTCAATACTGGCAGTGAATATCGGAACGCAGCCTAAATCACTTGTATATGAGAGATCACGTGTACATCACGTGCCACCAGAATAATCAAGCCTGATGGACGGGCGAAAGCTTTCGATATGAAAAACCCAAAAAAGAAAAACTCAAATTAAATTTCGCAATAAACCAAAACAAAAAACCAATCGGAAAACCCAGAAAGCCGGTAGCACCTATAGGAAATATTTGATAACAGGACCGTCCAAAACCAGGAGTGACCCGTACCATAATCGCACCGAGACTCCGACGACAAGTGGCGCGCGAACGGGACGTCACCTTGAATGAAATGCACTCGAGAGCGGCGTCCCGTCGCAGTTTCTAACAGATCTCGGGAGTACGCGCGGTTTTCATGAGAATTTTACATTCCCGCTCGTTGTTTGCTTTGTCAGCGACGACGCGAAATTCGACGATCGCCATAGGATGCTGCTCTCCCGTCTGTAATATGGAAAAATAAGATGAATCGTTCAAACGGCTGACAAGCTCGCACCGCAACGTCCTCGTGCATCCACCTGTGGTGCGATTCTGTAACTCGTTATTGGAGTTAACGACACTTTCGTTATCGTTGCGCAGCTTTTGTATATCGTAGAAAAGCTGCGCAACGATAACGAAAGTGTCGTTAACTCCAATAACGAATTACAGAATCGCACCACTGGATTGCGTTCCGTTTCACCTATATGCGCGCTTTTTTATAGTATACGTGACATAAACTATAGATAAATGCGCGCATATGCATGAAACGGAACGCACTCTTTGACATTTCGATTGAAATTGCCATTTGACTCGCGAGGTTACCGGATGTCGATGATTCTCGTTTATGGAGATTGGACGTAAAACACCGTCCCGCCGGATATGTAACGGTCTGATCTTCTTTCTGCGTACGCCGACTACCCCGTAGCGCTCGCGACTCGCGACTGCCCTGAATGCACCTGTCAGACGGCTTTAAAAGTTCCTCCACGAAAATGCATTTTCGCCACGTTCCCACGTCCGATTGACGCAATGTCCGAATCGAATTCGCCTAAGACAGACACGAGCAGCTCCAGCCTTCTGCGGCGCTTTCGGTTTCAAAAGAAACAAACGAAGGCAATGAACATGTGTAAGAACTCTGCGTTGCGTTACTTTCTACTGTCACTTGTACACCTCGTTAATCGGTGCGACCGGTATGCCTCCTTTGTTGTTCGATGCCGCGCGAATGCGTTCATTACTGTTCGGAGATAATGACTCTTACGGGTCAATTCGAAGCCGTAATTTTGTAGTTTTATTTGCGTTCAGCTCATCATTAGATCAGATTCATTGTGCAAACTCGTAGTTGTAATATCGCAAAGAAGATCTTTATTTCGGCGTTACCTTTTGTTCTCATGAGCATGAGATATAGTCTGATGTATTTTATTGAGACTGTTCATATTATATATTTGTTTTCAGCTGATGATGACAGTAATTTGGTAAGTCCTGATATACAAGTGCGCCGTAAACCTGTAAATCGCATTGAAGACAGCGACAGTGACATTGGCAGTCCAGCTAAACCAACAATCTCAAGTTCAGACACTAATGCCAAAGGTAAAGAGCACAAGCTGAAGTACCTGACAACGTTGTATCCACAGAATGATGCGTTGGTGAGTAAAAGTAAAATAAAAAAAAGAAAAGAAATTAAGAAATTATTCTTCTTAGATTCCTAATTAGGAAATTTGTATTTTATCTGAGCGATTTGTTTCATTAATTCATATAATTGTCGCAAACATTTTCTTTCCTCTTCTTAGGGTTAGAAATTTGTTTCTTGAAATTTTTATAATCAGTTATATTTGATAAAACTAATAATTATATTAAGTAATAGAACAAAAAAATATAATTTCTGACATGTATAATCTTTGATATGTCTCTATTTATATATTCTGATTGAGATATATTTTTAGCGTATACAAGAAGTACTTATTAGTACTAATTGGAACATTGAAGAGGCAGAAGAGACACTTAGAAATAACAAGAAAAGAACTTCTAAAGAATCTCCAAAAGCTAAAAAGAAGAAGAGGAGAAAATTGAATGTGGAGGAAGATATAGATGTTGATTCAGATGAAGGAAATTATAAAGACAAAGTATTTGATAGGTATGTGATCTTAAGTAATAACCTTTATTCATTTGCAATTAAATAATTTCATTTATTATTATTTCACAGCGATGAGGACACAGATGTGGAGATATCGAATGAACTCACAGGTGACAAGAAGGCAGTCTTAGAGTTTATGCGAACTGCCATGCCTTCAGAATTGCTGCTCATGTCACAATGTTCCCAGAAGAGAGCCAATGCCATTGTAGAAGCAAGACCATTTGAGGATTGGAAAGATTTAGTGAATAAGTTTCAAAGTACAAGATACTTAGATACAGAATTGTTAAATGCAGCTCAGGTATGTCTAACAAAACTTGAATATGTATGTAATCGATGATAATTTATTTATCTTATATTAAACTTGCCATATTGATTGCATTTTCAATGTGTGTGCAGGTGATACTATCGACGCGTCATGTAGTGGAGACTCTAATGAAAAAATGTTTGCGTTTGTCTACTAACATGGAGAAAGCTGTGTCTGCTGGTGCTTCGACTATAACTCAGCAGCCGAAGGATCTGTCGTCAAATTTAACATTAGCTCCCTACCAAATGGTTGGCTTGAATTGGCTTGCCGTTATGCACGCGCAAAACGTGAATGGTATATTGGCCGATGAAATGGGCCTAGGAAAAACAGTGCAGGTGATAGCTTTCCTGACATATTTAAAGGAAGCTGGTCTCATCGACGAGCAGGACGGTCCTCATCTGATCGTCGTCCCCAGTTCGACTATAGGTAACTTCTTATGTTTTGCAACATACAGGTACGTTTAATCCACGAATACCTTTAACAGATTTAGATTTGTAAGAGATATTTCTTTCTATATAGAAAATTGGTGGAACGAATTAGAGAGATGGTCACCTAGCTTGAAAGTTGTACAATATTATGGCTCTCAAGATGAACGGAAAGAGATGCGAATGGGTTGGCGAAACGGTGATCTCGATGATGTTGACGTACTGTTAACCACGTACAGTTTAATTTGCAGCACTCCGGAGGAACGTAGACTATTTCGCGTTATGCCGATTAACTATGTTGTGTTTGATGAGGCACATATGCTGAAGAATATGAGTAGTGTTAGATACGAAAATCTTGTCAGAATTAATGTATGTATTTATCAAATGTGTGTATATATATATATATATGTGTATACACGCGCGCGCGCGCGCACACACACACGCACAACACACACACACACACACACACATGTAGGGCGCTTATCGTAACAATCAGCATACTTTTTAAGCAAAACATATATAGAAGAAGCTTTACAATGAATCTTTGATTATTTTTAAAGGCTAAACATCGCATTTTATTGACTGGAACCCCTCTACAAAATAATTTATTGGAATTGATGTCTCTATTAATATTTGTAATGCCTTCGTTATTTGCTGGCAAACAAGCCGACTTGAAAAGCTTATTCTCTAAGAATTCCGTAAGTTATTGAGCCACGATTGTTACCAGAAGTCACTTGGTTGATCATTGTAAGTGGAAAAATTTTCAGAAAATGCCGAGTGACAAAAAAGATAAAGACCAACCATTGTTCGAGAGGGAACAAGTTAAAAATGCGAAAGAGATTATGCGTCCGTTCGTTCTTCGCCGACTGAAAGCTGAAGTTCTAAATGATCTGCCTTATAAGAAAGATGAAATAATACGATGCGAATTGCTCAGCAAGCAGCAAAGTATGTATGACAGATTAATCGCGCAATTTTCAGCCGAGGCCAACGAAATCACAGATGTAAACGGAACCGGCATAATGATGCAGCTAAGAAAGCTTGCCAATCACCCTCTCCTCGTGCGTGATTATTACGACGAAGAAAAACTCACGGTATGTAGACGTTAAAATGCCGTTTTTCACTTTTACAATTCAGTTTCTGGTTGTACTTAAACGTGTATATTTTATTGTATCGATGCATCATTAGATCATAGCAAATAGATTGGCGAAAGAACCGGGTTATAAGCAGAAGAATCCTAAATACGTGTTCGAAGAGTTGCTCTGGGCGTCCGATTACCAAATCAATCAGATGACACGAATATACAAAAGCGTGGCCGGATTCGGTTTGCCTCAGGAACTTATTCCTCAGGCCGGTAAATTGAAACATTTGGACGAACTGCTACCACGTTTGAAAAAAGATGGTCACAGAATTCTTATATTTAGCCAGTTTACTATGGTATTGGATATACTCGAAGAATATTTGACCATTAGAGGACAAACATTTATAAGGTTTGAACGTAACGATGTATTGTGTCGTACTTTTCTTTTGATTCAGCTATGATAAGGCAAAATTCAATAAAATCAATATTAAAATTAGGCTGGATGGTAGCACACCTGTAACTGAGAGACAAAGCCTGATCAATGAGTATACGCAAAATTCAAGTATATTCATATTCCTATTGTCCACAAGAGCCGGAGGTTTGGGGATCAATTTAACAGCCGCGGATACTGTTATTATTCACGATATAGATTTTAATCCGTACAATGACAAACAAGCGGAAGATAGGTGTCATCGAGTCGGGCAAAAGAAGTATGTATTGTGTCGTAAGATTTATGAATATCTGACTTGTGACGTGACATGTATGTCTGGCTACATCGCTGTCCTATCGATCTTATCGATCGTATAATTAAAGGGAACGTATTCAAAGGCTGAGTTTTTCCTTTACAGACCGGTCACTATAATTAGACTATTGAGTAAAGGTACAATCGAAGAAAGCATGTATGAAATAGCTCAAGAAAAGTTACATCTGGAACAACAAATCACTGGGAACGAAGGTAAATTCATTCCATCTGATTTATGGAATTCATATAAATTTATTATACAAGTTATATTAAAGATAGTGCAAAAATATCTTGTACTGCAATTCTAATGAAATTAACGAGACGTATTTTTGTCCGTAGAAAATGAAGGTACAGATAAGAAATCTGTCCTAAAATTATTAAAAATGACCATAGGTCAGGATGTTCATAATAAATCTCTATCATCAGCGAAAAATGCAAGCAAAGGATCTGACGCACTGGTGCACGATGAGAAATGTAAATAATTATAATCGCTATTTGTAATTTTGCTATTTAAAATGCAACAATGATCATTTTTATATATTCCGGTCTCACGGTACGAAGGTCATATTCTGTACGCTTCGCGGATGCTAAATATTCACGTAGAAAAAAAGTGGGAATTAGAAAAGCGTATGTTATGTGGTATTCGCTTATGCGTCCAGAGTAAGGCCTCGAAAGCACTGAGTTGTCGTAAATGTAGAACCGAAATAGAAGAACAGATGTTGATGAAATGTCGTCTTTTTTTACTTTGATTCAATCTCAATTGAGTGTATACAGCACGTTATTTGGAAATTTTTTTACTTGTAAGATGCCCTGCGGAACAATCAGTTTTTGTATGTCTATTAAATCATTCCTTTATTTATCTACACAATATATATATGTGTGTGTGTGTGTATGTGTGTATATTTTCCATTTCCCGCTACACGCAGCGCGTTTCGCGTACGTATATTTACTACAGTTTTCCACAGATCTGTAAGATCCGTATAAAGCTATTCTCAAAGCAAAGTATGCAACTCATAACATCGAGACAAACGAGATACATGGAAGAAGGCAAGAATCAATAAAATCCCAAAATCGGAATTAACATAATAATTTCATTGTTCATTTATGAATATGTTCATAATTACGAAAATACAAAAGAGTTGTAAGAACAACATTCGTGTAAGTGTAATAAATATGGCACAACTCTTTGAAAATAGAGAACCATTTACGCAAGATTTACACTATTCAGTGTTACTATATTCTCAATTGCGCCATCGCATTGACGAATATGTTACTTGTATACAAGAGGCACGTAAAAATACTTTATTACACTTTTCTTTACATATTACAATTCCTCAGGATATACTTTGGCTCATTAATAAATCAGACATACCATTCTTAATGATCTTCAGACTCTCTAGATCAGCGTTTATTGTCGCGATAAGTTGTGCCATGCCTTGTTGCTCCATGCTTAGATACTAAAACAGTGAACAGGAAAAGAACAGTAACAATTATACGTTTGCCTTTTTCGATAACCGCCCGAGCATAATCGAAAGAGGTCGAGACAATTTCGCCTTACCGTTTTGATATCGTCCTGCGCTATGGGATCCATCGTGTACCTTTCTTGATTCTGAATATCAATGTGCCTTCTCATTCTGAGCTGAGAGAGCATCTCACTGATTCTACCCTTGTACTGCGTCGGGGCACTGATTTGTGAGTGCATCGCTTCGAACCTGCGCGTCAGGACTTCCTCCTCCGGTTGCAGGGATAATCCGACCTTGCGCGTAATCTCTTGTCTGACCAGAACCTGTAAATGAAATTTATGTCATACATGTACGATGACATAGGTTTCATACGTTACGCTACGATTAACGAACAATACCTGCAGAACTCTATGCTGAAGCTCCAACAACGTACGTCTGTGCTCTTTGAGTCTGGCTTGCGTGGCGGTATGCTGCCTCTGCAAGCTCTGTATCTTCTCTGCTGCCATGTCCAAGAACGCTCTATGCCTAGCGGTTTCTTCTTCCTGACATTTCAGTCTGTGTTTGACTTGTTGAAAACCAATCATAGGCACTGGGATGTACAACTCTGGATTAGGATTATCCAACTGCGCCTGCTTCCACAATCTCGCGTCGATGGCGCAAGGTGGATTGTCTAGATACTCCTTCAACTGCGACGGATCGAGCTTGACCAGCGGGAATATGTCCTCGACTCCGTTCTGCATCAACTGTTGCTTCTGCATGGTCTGCGATAGGTAGGCAACCAACTCGTTGGCAGGGATTTTTCTGTACGAACCAGTGATTCCCTTCTCCGACACGAACACCGTCACTTGGCTCTTACTTTCGCCAGTGGACTTGATATTGTCGACGGTCACCGTCAGATTAGGTTTGTTGCCCAGCAAATTATTTAAGAAGGCGATCAACTGTTGCTTCCCGTCTTGCACGTCCTTCTCTTTCTTACCGAAGCACAACACTACTAAACCGTCGTTGTTGTCGGCGTCAGGTATACGACTGTAGCCGATCGCTTTGAATCTACATAACGAATTCTCCTGAGTAAGTTCTATAGGCGGGGCGTTTACGGAATAATAAGCCTTCCCTGTACCCCATAGTGCCTGAAGGAGATTCCATCTGGCGATAGTGTTGTCTCGTTCGTCGTTGTATAGCTGACAATTAAACACAGCATTGTAGAGAGCTTCTAACAAACTGTTCGCGGGCTGCTGTTGCTGTTGCTGCTGCTGCTGTTGCTGAGGCTGTCCCAGCCCAGTGCCAAACCCACCGAATCCCGTTCCTACGCGTAAATTAAAATTACAATTATAAAAATAACTGCGAGTGATGAGAAATACTGTCGTGCAATAAGTATTATTAAAAAGAATTATTTGTTTCGTCACCTGTGCCAAACCCACCAAATCCAGTGGTGTTGCTAGTGGTGATTGGCTTGCTACCGAACGCGTTGAAACCCGTGGACGAACCGAAACCCGTCGAGGCGATACTCGTGGTGCCGAAATTACCGAACAGACTCGGAGCGGATGTGGTAGTGGTGGATGTTCCAAAGCCGCCGAAACCGCCGAAACTCAACGTTGACGTCGTCGGCGCTGTGCCGAATCCGCCGAAGCCGGTGGTGCAGGCTGGAGTGCTGCCGAAAGTCGAGGTTGTTCCGAAGCCGGTGTTCGTGGAGGAAGCGGGGGTGCTGCCGAAAGCCGGCGCTGAACCGAAAGCACTGGTCGACGCGGTGCCGAATGTAGGCGCTGACCCGAAGCCTGTGGTCGACGTGCTGCCAAATGCCGTGGCAGCTGGAGTGCCGAATCTGGCCCCAGTGCCAAAGCCGGTAGTCTGGGTTGACGGTGTGCCGAACAAGCTCGGCGCCGATGTGGTTGGTGTGCTGAAGCCGAACGAAGGCGTCCCAAAGCCCGCTACTTTTGTGGAAAGTATGAAACAGATTAGTGATTCTGGTGGAAATACGAAATTAACATTCATTCTGGTCAATTAAATGTATGAAATCAAGAGGAGAAAAAACCGTAAGACACATTTGTGCCTTCTTATTCGATGGTGCATGGCAATGTTCAATGTAACATTGAAATTATTCAAATTTCTTCGCAATTTATTAAATTTTTGATACACTAACAGATCTCTTTAATTTCAAAGTGAATTAATAAACTGTTGCAGTACTGTGCATACAAGTTTTACCACTCCTCAGGACACCTCAGATGTCTCAAAAGACTTGATTTTGTTTTTTTTTATATGATGTGAAATTAGGTGAAACATGTCAATGTAAGTCGCGTTTGCTATTGTACGCTTCATCGAGCTCGTTTTAGGGAAATGATTTTAAATGTGGCAATTTGTGTTTTAACGCGATTGTGATATACATTGAGATATTTTAGATATTGTATTATTTATGATATATCTATTGGGCAACAGAAATTTGAAGATTCAGCAGCTACATAATAAATGCAAAATGACATTTCTAAGTCGACAGAAAGAGTTGCAGGTAATGTTCAATCACGTGAAAGTAAATTATATCTTCAGGGTCCATTCTTTTGTCCTTATTAATGTTTGGAACTCTTTAATAGGCTAGCTTCTATACACACCTGACGCGAGAGTCATCAAAGGCAGATTCTTTACCCAATACCAAGGTTCTTCTCCGTCATGTGAAATCAGTACACGACTCTGCTACTCAGATTTTAAACGAATTTGGCACTACAGATACTGTAATTGGGGTATGCAGTACGATAATTTAGTTCCTTTACTTTGGTACGCTTGCAATCTGACCTTGTTGCTATTTAACTTTATAATTTTTATGCAGGATGCAACTGCGGAGATTATGATAACAACTCTCGGCAAAATTCCAAACGAAATGTATTATCTGGAGGATACAACACTCAGTGGAAAAGCTACAAAGTTGCACACAGTGCTCAACAACTACAATCTCTCAGTAGGGATTACATTGGTCCCGACTGAAACTGACAAATCTGACGGATACACAGGACGCTCCACTCTATTGCTTATCTTGCTGAGCTTGCTCTTGATCATACTGTTGTTATGTTGCATCACAGCGTGCATTATTGCAAAGTCCAGGAGCAGGCACTCTTTCTTCACGAAGAGCGATATCGAGTGCAGCCCAGGTTGCAGTGGAGTGAACGTACCGTTGTTAGGTTTAGAAAAGACTTCAGATACAACCACTAAGACCAGTTCAATAAAAAATTGAAGATGATTAGTTTTACGGTAAAATTTGGGCTCAGATATCGAGTGTGCTCGTGAAACGCTTCGAATTTCGAACTGAAAGAGAAAACGAGAACTTTTTGGCTCTTATTAAACACATATAATCTTCTCATCTGATATCACAACCTCACTTTTAACCTTAAAGTTGTCATATATGCCAGAGATATTAACATGTGTAACAGAAACGTACGACAGTGTAAATTATCCGTGACATTTCTGCATTCATTACGGCATTAGTTAATGAAATGAACAGTTTTTGAAGTCAACGAAATGAGAAAGACGGCAGGAGCAACCAGAATAAGTGGGGAATTCGCGACTTCGTCCCGCGAAACGCAACTTACCAGGTTTTACCGGTGTTGCCGTCGAAGCTGGAGTCGTGCCGAAGGCAAAAGTAGGTGCGGGTGTTGACGTGGACGCTCCAAAACCGCTGCCGAACGACATCCCGATAACTTGCTCGTTCTGTAATTATTAATCTGTCACTAATAAATATCACATGTACTCCGCGCGCACAGGTGCACTCGCGTTAACGACAGTTGGAGAGGGAATATGGCCGTTGCACGTGCTGGCTATCTCGCATATGACATAGCTGCATATGCATAACACAAGACCGCCTCGACCAATGAATATTTAAGAAAAAGTTGCCATATTGATTTATAAAACATAACATTTATAAAACATAATCATTTCTTATCCCCGTCAAAATACTAACATACTTGATAAAGTTTGTCGAGTTAGGCTGAGTAAATAAAAAATCACAAACAAATTGATATAAATTTCGTACTGAGCAATGAATAAAAAACTAGACCTCTTCCCTCTTTAAGATGAATTTCTCATATTTTTAATAAAAATACATCTTTTCTGCGAAGATAATAGATTTAGGCCCAGTTCCACAACTTGCTTTAAACGGAGTTTAAAGCTAAACCGATGGTTAAAAGCAATAGTATATGCGCATATACTATTGCTTTTAACCATCGGTTTAACTTTAGGCCCCTTGCACAATGCCAGGCAACAAGCAATAAGAATAAAAATAGACCAATCACAATCGACTATTACAAGAATAATCTATTGTGATTGGTCTATTTTTATTCTTATTGCCTGTTGCCTGGCATTGTGCAAGGGGTTTTAAATTCCGTTTAAAGCAAGTTGTGGAACTGGGCCTTAATAATCTTTCACGATTTAGACCCCTTATTTTTTCAATATAACGGGTCTAAGAATCTGCACTCTCTGATGATAATATATAAATTCTAAATTTATAATTATTATTCTATATAAATTACAGATTTATAAATCATAAATTAAAAAAAATATAAACTTTCATAAAGAATGATCGGTTTTATCTCGATTAAATTTTATGGAGGCCGGTAAAATATGGTTTAAATCTCAACTAAAACTGGCTTTTTAGCCGAGATTCGAACCATAATTTACCGGCTTCTATAAAAATTAGCCGAGATAAAACTAAACGCCTTGTTTATGAACTTTTAGAATTGAATTAGATAATGCTCATTGAATTATTAATAATAGCGCTACTTTCAAATTTTTCTCCATCAAAAGTACTTCGAAATAATTATTTTTACAACCATATCTACTATTTTCAAGCATTTTCAATAAAGCTACTTGATTTATATTCACTTGATGCTGTAAAAATTAATTAAGTTTCATATTCAAAAATATTTTCAAAAATTAGAAACTTCAAGTTACAGTGCTTCCAGAATTATCTCGTTATTATTATTTTTTAGGAAGTTGTAGTCAGTTGAATATTGAGTATTGTTGTTCTCTTTGAGAGAAGAAACAAATATATTTGACGCAAATCGTATTTCTTTAATTATTGTACCGTAATTTTTTCTTCACTCAATATTTATTGCATGTATTTTAATGCCCGTAATATACGTTTTATGCATATATCAAATATTTATCTGAAGAGACTTCGGCATTCGTATGCTGTTCAAACGATGGACATCGTATATGTCCATCACGTATAATTAATTCTTACATAAAATAATTACATATCTACGTGAAATCGCTAAGATTGCTTTCTAAGTTCCTTTATTAAAATCTCCAATCTAAAAACAACGTAGAGATAATATATATTTATATACGAACGTTCGTATTACACGATCGTCGCTCATTGTGCGATTCGCGCTTCACTAATTGTAGACAATCTCAGGGTTCAATAATGGATAGAGCCTTCATTATTTTTAACGGATTTTTTATAATTCAAAAACTTAAAAATAAATATCTCCATAATCTAACGTACATATATGTGATACTTTCGTCAACAGTTCGATAGGTCTATTATGTATATATATAATAATATATATATATATATATATATATATATATATATATATGTATATATGTATGTATAATGCTAGACTTAAGCGCCGTTTGCGCGGCAGTTGATCAAATGAGTACAGTAAAAAATACTGTGGGTGGATAGGCGCGCTGGTAAATACGATAAACGGGAGATTTACGAATTTCCGATTGCAAATCGTGGATATGATCTTCGCAATCTTCGAATGCCTGCGTTATCACGCGTGAATCTAATCGTGCGTGCGACTCACGCACGCCTCCCTTGTATTTTCTCTCCTTTCTCCTTTCCTCTCTTTGTTCTGTTTCTCCTTCGTAAGGCGCAGTCGAATCGCAATTTCCGTATCGAAACATATAAAACAATTCCACACGCTATAGATTTAACTTACACGTTAGAGCACGCGACAAATGGCTACTCTAGCCGCTTGCGGAATCGTGCCTCGACACTTTCAAGAGTCATTCTCACTTCTTCTTTTATTCTATTTTCTCTCTTTTTTGGCGTGTCCCGAAATTCGTTATTACAATCGCATATTGACCGTGCACGTAGGTTTTAACACTAGTTTTAGAAGAGAGTTTTGTCGCGACGCGAGCGACGAACCGCTCGTTCCGTATGTGTGTGTCCGTGTGTTGTGTGTGCGTGTTTGTGTGTATGTGCGTCATGTGGGTGGCGTGTATTGCTTTGGCATCATAGTCGGTGCAGTTCGTACATTTCGGCGACGTGCTGCGTGCCTGGAAAAAGAAAGTCAGACACCATGATCTTCGTGAACAAATTGCCGCCGCGGGCGTGCGATAACGGGCATAAAAACCAAGGTCCATTTCTTTATGATTTGGAAGTCGTGAATTTATCACTCTGACAGAGAGAGAGAGAGAGAGAGAGAGAGAGAGAAAGAGAGAGAGAGATAGAGAGAGAGAGAGAGAGAAAAAGAGAGAAAGAGAGAAAGAGAAAAAATCAGCAGAGAGACTATATTTATTCTCCACTTGGCGCGAACGTGGTCGTTGTGAAAATAAAAATTATCGCGCGAGTGCGAGACACGAACAGTTTTTACATACAGACTATTAAAAACAACAAACAACAATGCGACGCTTCACCTCATCAAGACTCCCAAATTATAAACGAATGGTGAGCGAGTGAATTCTCGTAAGCATTTAAATCTCGTTAGCACTCGTTTCGCGCGCGCGCGCGACACAGCACGATCGATACGCCGATGTGTGTTGTCTCTGATTGGACCGAATCACTGATCACTTGATCGATCGATTAATTGATTGTCCTTTCAAATTTGGGAGTACGCTTCATGAGGTTCACATGGTTCCAAACTCGGTACAACAATTGTCACGACGGTTTTTTTCTAACGAGATTTAACTGCTACAATTGAATCATTATGACAGTCATCAAGATAGATCGCACTAGGCCTAACACGTATGTCATATAAACTGCTTCACGTATCGTGCTCTGTAACAAACGAGTACAAGTGATACATCACGAACATCATCCTGAAGAGACGGTAAAAGAGTTCAGTTTGTGATTATAGCCGTGAAGATTCCATTGCTGGAAAAGTGCGAACGATTAACTTCGCGCGTCGATGAACTTTCCTATCGTATTTTTACGTATTGTGCGTTTCGAAAAATACGTTCATGTTTTCTCCGAAATTATCGTGGAAATTCTAGGGGAAACATTCGTAGTCTTCGCGGGACGATTAATCGATTAGTACGCCCCCCCGGTTTTACGGGGTTTCAATTCCTCGGGTAGGTACGATGAAGAGACGACAACAACAACGACAGCGCATCTCGCTTGTCGAAGAATGCACGCCGTTTAACTTGCGCATCTTTCGCGGTTCCTGATTCGCGGTTCCTCAAGCTCGTCGCGTTATCTTCGAAAAATTCGTGAAAATACACTTCCGATCGACCGGCCAGGCCAGAACAGTTTCGTTTTGTCTTTTGGAAATTCACGCGTTCTCGGTAAAAGTTAAAAGGTCAAGATATAAAATACTCAAAAGCTCTGTCCCTGAAAACGTCATTTCACGGATTACTTGGTCCATAGAACAAGATTGTACGACACTAAGGATTTCGGTTTAGATACTTTCTCACGGGTGTCGTAAAAGTGCACCCGATAAATCTCAAACTCGTTTAATCTCGGATATTTCTATATATAACAACAATTAATAGGAAATAACCTATGTATAAATATATATGTATGTATGTGTATGTATATATATATATATATATATGAATGTGTATATGTATATATGCAATGATGATAACGCTCCAACGATGGATAATAAATCCATGACAACCGTTAAATCGTAGAAAATAACGCGTCCATCGCCGTGAGGAAGGTAATAGAGCCGACGACTTTCGGGATACATCTCAGTAGACGTTCAGACGAGACGTCACAAGAAGGACACCTTCCAGAGTATGTGAAGAAACGCCTCCGGGATACCTGTTTTAGACGTGCGTGGTGGTGGCGGGGGGGGGGGGGGGGGTAAGTAGGCCAGATTTTCCGTCGGATTACGTGTCTCTCTCGTTCGTCCGCGCAAACTTTGTTTACGTAGACGTAATGCGGTATTAATCGATACTGTTTACGTATTCCACATCGAAGGAGGAGGTTGTATACCGAAGTTAGCGAAATTAGCGCGTGTATACGTGTGTACGATTTCGCGAGAGCGCATTATCGATCGCGTATGAATACTACACCGCAAACGCACGTTCTCTATAATCCGAAAAAGACCGTCTAAACAATTGGCTAAGGAGCTAAACATTTATACTGACACTGACATCGTTCACGTTAATCGCGTTATCGTATCGTAACGAATCCATCAGCTTATGTCCGTTGTATATTGATAAGTACAATGTACATGCGCAAAACGAATGTGATTCACACTGTGCGCGAGAATTGTGTGAGAAGAATGAAGAGACACGTGTCGTCGTTGGGCGACAGATAAAAACCATTGTTCGTCCTTGTCTTTGAAGATCGTGCAGTTGCACTCGTGACTGGAGTGCGTGTTCGATCGACTTCGCGTCGATCACGGTGAACGATGAACCACCACGTGACTTTTGTGGTCGTGTGACTCTGTGTGGGGGTGTACTTGAATGAAAAAAAAAAAAGAAAAAAAAGAAGAAAGACTGCCCAAGATCGTGCGTCATGTGCGTGCGAAAATGCTGCAACGTACACACTCGTCGATACTTACGGCAATTGATGCTTTCGAGAGTTTTTCGATTGGAGATTTAGAGACGAGAACGATAGTCATCGTGATCGACCGGAAAGGGTTTTGGGTCCCAAATGCGTTGCCGAGAGCGAGAGAATGAGAGAGCGAAAGCGAGAGCGAGAGAAACACATTCCATGGTTGCGGTTGTGACTTTACATTCGCCGGAGAGGGATTATAAGTACGTCTCTGAAAACTCAACGTCAGAAGCGGAAGCGCGAGAGGATTTTGTACATATAGAAATACCCCCACCGATAGCACTGTCCGACGTCCCCTCGCCGGTCGGATAATCCGCGACGATGAAGGACTGCTTGGACTGACCCTGCCTGCAACGGCTCGTACCGGCTCCCTTCAGGGCGTCGCGCTCCGCCAGCTTCTGCTTGATGGCTTGGATCTTCTCCTCCTTCTGCATCACGCGGAACGAAACAATGAAGACACACTGTACGTACATCTGCTTTCAAAATGGCTTCAACACTTTCCCCTCGATTTGAATTAAATTCGATTTGAAGAGGTTCTAGGTAAAAAAAAAGTCGTGCTCTCTCATCGGACCATTGGCTGAGTTACAAATTACATCGTGGAAAGTGTTCGGTTTTGAATGGGCAAAGAATTGCATGTTTGCATGCTCACCGCAGCGATGAGTTTTTGAAGCTCGTCGTTTTCGTTGAGTAGTTTTTGATACTTCTCCTCCTCCTCCTTGGATACCGCACCGTCCGGGTTATACCTCGACTCGGATTTGTCGCGGGGATGCCTGATCACCTCGATTACTTTCGGCACGAAGATGAGCGCCATGCTAAGGAAGCAACAGAAGATAGTGGCTAACGCCGAGAATGCGTAACTCGCGTCCTGCTGGCTGGAGATGACCATTATCACAGGTACCGTTATGAGACACAGAACTACGATATTATATATCGACATTCCCACGTATCTGGAGTCATTGATCAGTTTGATTTTGATGCTTCTCGTCTCGTAGGACAGAAAGAGCCCGAAAGCCAGGACGATACCTTTGTAGCCGTAGATCAAACCTGGCGAGAGGAAATTTCGGAAATAAGTACACACGCTTAGAGACAGTCGCGTGATTGGGAAATCGATAGTTTCGAGAGCGGAATTTGTTTCTCGCACTTCTCTTTGACGGATCGACGCACTACTCACCGATCCACAGGCCGTAGTGTTCGCTCGAGCAGTGTTCTAATTCGGGTTTAATCATCGCGTCCTCGTCTCCAAACGGAGGTAACTCCAGTGAGAAGGTCTCGATTTTTCGACGCAGCGGATCAACCACTTGCCAAGTGACCAGCAGGATGATGTCCACCGACAATAATCCGCTCAGCATTACGTACAGCTTCCACGGCTCAATCTTCTTCTGTATAGACGAAACCTTTTGTTTAGCCGTCAATGACTAAAAGGAATCGAGAATAAAGATGCGAGGTTAAAGATGCGGGATATACGAGCAGGAACAGCAAACCATGCAGGATGGTTCAGCCTTCGTGACAACTAAACTAAAAATCGGTCTCATTACTCATTAACTATAAGTGAAGAAGCCGAGGTGAGAAGCGGTACGATTGTCTTTAGAAAGAGGGCTCGACGAAAGAGGGGGAAATCGCCGGTAGCCTCTTCCGCATTTGACTTCACATGTTTGCGTCGACTTGTTCACGCGATCGCGTTGCAACACACGTGTGAAGATCACTCGCACCACTTTGTCCGATGGCTGACTGCGATATCAATTCGCAACTAGGACTTACTTACTTTGCCTTGATCGGCCTTCGCTTTCGTGGAGAGCCGGTGGACCCTCCATACTTTGCTGAACATGGCACCGAACGCCAAGGTGAATCCGGTCGACATCGTCCACGCTCTCGCTTGGCAAATTATCAGGAATTGCCAGGGCGTCACGAACCTACCATCAATCCCAATAAACAACACCGCCAGGAAACAGCCTATTATGCCCACCAGCATTATCGTATTGGCGGTGGGATGAGACGAGTATATGACTCTGGAAAGAAGTAGACACCGGTCAGGCGATGCTTATCGATTGCAGCAGGCAGCTCCGTGCCCCGTGTACAGCCAGCGCGTTCAGATCACGTATTAATGAATGCGGCACGACAAAGTGTGCATATCGTGTGTACCTCCGGTGCCTATTATAGACGTTAAATATGATCAATCCGATGGCTATCACGACACCAAGCGCTGACAAGGTTGCCATACTTATGAATAAGGGCAGTGACACCGTTCTCAAGACGGTTCTTATTATCGTTCTGTCCTGCGGCACCTTGCCGCCGATCCATCGCTCTACGTTCCGCCACGTCAGATTGTCGCTCTGCGTGTCGTAGTAGCCCAGCTTCACGTACTTGCCGTCGATCACCTGCTCGATCTGCGTCAAGGCGATCCTGTCGCCCTGCGAGCTGAACGCTACGTGACCCTGCGCGAAAAAGAGGCTTCAGTGTTTAGAGTAATCGACATGTAGCGTTGCGCCAAGGCAACAATTTCGAGTAACAGTAGTGTTGGTGATTAGCAAAATAGTAGTAGTAGTAGTTCTAAATGTGCATCGGCGCTACATACGGAAACTCCGAGGAATTGGGTCGAGTTTACCGCCGCGTATATCTCGTCGGCGATCTCTTTGTTTTCGTAAGTGAAGTTCTTCAGGTTCCTTCCCATCTTGCTCAGCCGCTCCATGGTTCTGTTGAACGCTGACGGCAAGAAACGGGAGAACGGTACTTCGCGATTACCGCGGCGTCGAGTCGAGTCGAGTCGAGCCTACGTTATAGACGGATCGAAAGAGAAACAGCGAGACTCACCCAACGCGACGGACCAGACCGCGTCGTAGGCGAGCGGTGCTTCCTGGTATCCTTCCGGATACCGATTGTTGTCGATGTCGTAGCCATCGTCCTTCAGCAATTTGTTCAGCCGCTTCCTGAAGTCCTCGGCGGTCATACCGCTGATTGTCGTGTCGTTGTTCTGATTCCACATGAGTGCTTCGGTAGTGAGGTGACCCTCCGCCGCCATGCGCATCTGCTCCTTCGTGCAGCTGATGCCTTCCTTCTCCAAATTGATCTCGAACCAGTCGTCCTCGTACCAACCTATGAAGAACCATACGTAGGTTTTGCCGTACAGCTTCTGATGATAGAGCTCGCAGAGTACCCTCCTCGCGGCCACCACATAGAACAGGCCGACGACTATCCGCGCATCCTGACGGCGTAAGTTCTTCACCGCGTCCGTCGGGTCCGAGAGGAAGCTCTGCCGTGTGACTATCTCGATTCCGGCTTCTTTACACCGCGCTTCCAGGTCTTCGACGGTCTACGACAATCGCGCGAGTCGAGTATAATATTCGAGTTTAATGTAAAATCGCTGCGAACTTGTTGTTTCGCAAGAGGAAGAATACGCTCTGAAAGATACGTGATTCTTCACAAAGTGAAACTTCACGAAGAATCGCGTTGTCTGGACGACTTACTTAACTTACTTAATAAAGATGTTCTCACCGATATGAACACTTCCTCGGCTTGTTGTAATATTGCAACCCGGGACCAGCCGAACTTTTGCAGCAATTTGATTCTCGTGGGATTGTGCACGGTGGCGGATGGATGCGTCCTGAAGAGGGTCGGGAATCGATTTCGATCGGACAACGCCGGCGACGACGCACCGTAACAGAGCTGAGGAAGAGTTTCGAGTGTTCCTTATTTCTTCGAGACTGTCAAGCGATCTCTTCACACTTGGAGCGGTATTCATAGAGTCGGATTTTATACTTGAGATCGTCTCGAGTTGTCACTTTCAGTTGTGTGTATGTACAGACCGTTTCACACCGGCGATGGAGCTGATTATCGGAAGATGAAAACTGAAGATGGTCTCAACTTCTAAATATCTTGGAGTCGAGTCTTACTCAAAACGGGTGAAAAGTGGCAGTATTTTCAATCGAAGCGACAATGGAGATATCCATTTCGCCACTCGCGAAGTCGCAGAAGTGAACATTTCACTCAAGCTTAGAATGTATCCGGACTATACGTGAGTGAACGTTTCAATCGATTAGATTAATAAATATCCGGGCGGAACAGAAAGTCATGATGACGAGAAAATGACCGAATCATGATGAAAAGATGAGTTTTTCTCATCCTTTTGTCGTCTTCGATTTTCATGTCTTCATGATTGTCTGCTCTGCCTGGGTATGTTCCTACGACGATGGAGTACGGCGATGGATTCACTCTTCAATTCCGAGTAATTCAATGATCATCTACTACTCTCTTTCGAGTGAAGTTTCACTCCGAGACATTTAGAGAGTAAGGTGTAAACTATGTATACCGTCCTTGTCCTAGTCTCTATGAGGGGCCATGTGTGCGATCGCAGCTATTACTCACCACCACTAGATTCCACATTTTCGCCGCCTCGGCGACCGTGGTGCAGACCGTGCTGCAGCCGGCTAGCAGCATTAATTTATAGGGTGGGAAGTACAGCAAGTTGTACATCACGGACGCGCCGAGACCGGGCTCGCACTGAAAGCGAAACGCGATGAATTAGAGGGCCGGTAATTCCTCCACCGACGAAGCGACGAACTCCGCCGCCGCCGCCGCCGCCGTCGTCGCACCGCGTCGAGCGCGTCCTCGTGAATTTACCTCGCTGTCGTTGGAATGAAGATGCAGCCTGTATCCGCGTAGCAAGTTCTTCTCGCGATTAACGTCCTCTAAGGCCAGGTGCGCGGCTGGCATGCAAGCCTGTTGAATAAGCGACAATGTAATCGCGGCCGATCAACTCCTCTAATTTAACGGGCAGGCTCGCACGCCGGGGACAGGGAAGTTCCTCGGTGAACCTCAGGTGCACGACAGGTGCGTGTTATGTATGTCGTCGTTCGATGCTTCGAACGTCGCGATCGAAGAACGCGATTACGCCGGTGTGCGGAGAGAGTATCGACGGCAAATTCCGAAATGGTCGACAGGGTGTGTTCACGGAGATGCTATTAGTGCTATTTAGCGCTACAGGCTGTTCGCAGAGCTAGGATGGTAGCGCTAATAATAGCTATCACGACGTCATTAATGGTAACATTTACATCATATCAATTCGCGCTATCAATATTTCTTCCGTTATTTCTTTCGAGCTGGTGTATAAAGATAGCGTTTGTAAGCTCCATGAACACCTCGGAACATGGCGATATGAACTAAACAAACTGCTGGTATTAATTACTTTTATTTTATATATATTATGAATATGTAAGTGTGTAATGCAGTACTTCCACCGACATTAAATCGTACAGAAATCGACCTGAAACACTAAGAAATTCGCAATCGCGTTATTGGCTCTATGAGCGGCTTTGGTAGCATTTGATTTGATAGCGTTGGTAGAGCGTTAATAGCATCTCCCTGGATGCACCCTGACAACCTAAAACCTAGGGAACTCGGAAATTCAAAAAATTATGAAACTTTGTGTGTGAAAGAAAAGTAGTTCGTCCGTAATGTAAAACTATTTTTTGTTCGTGCGGAATTCCACTCTGAGGGAGTGGAAACCACCCTTCGAAAAAATAAAACCATTTTTATTTTTAGCGTATATCTTTTAAAATACGAGACATATGCAAAAATGGTTTATACGAAAGTTGTAGTATATTTAATACTCTTTGCGATACATTGAAAAGAGTATTATGTATTGCATAAGATATGAACGAGAGCAGAGATTAATTTGCTTATGTGAAAATAGTAACATGTGTGTGCTTAATTTTCTTCAATTCTTTACGTTCGAATAGCTTTCGGAACAAAATTCAAGAGGTGTGCGAAACTCTGTCGGTTTTTCTCGGTACACTTAACCATTTTTAAATCACGTATATTAAAATAAATTTTGAAAGCTGAGAAATAATAACGCGGCAATAATTGCAATTTCAACATATTATTTTTAGTTTGGAGATTAATTGCAAGATCTAACACCATGACAGTGACAAAAATATCTTTAATAAAATTTGTATATAATCTCAAGTTATATACATCCAACTCAATCAATGCATTTAGTTATTGTTATATAACTTGAAAGTAACAAGTTATATGACATATATATATATATATATATATATATAAGATTTATATTACACTTTAGTAATTTTATTGTCTTTTTAAACATAACTGCTCAGTCAACATATTCACTTACTGCTATATAACTTGAATATATAAAAAAGTTATGTAACATGTGTATTATAAGTTATATTACAGTTATATTACAGTTATATTACAGTTATATAATTTTATTACATCTTTATAACATTTATGAGATATAAAGTCGTATATTTAAGATATACATTACATTATTTGCACTTTTAAAAAAGGGCGAAATTTTTGTATAACAATGTAAAAATTACTTTCACACTATATAACACATGATGAAGAAGAACATAGATGTTATATATCGGCTACATTATAGTGTCGAGTGGAAATGATTCTATCTATATCTCTTCCAGGACGATACGAAAATCTAATCGTCAGCGTAACCTTTAGTCGTTGACGTACAACGTTTGGTATTGATTAATTTTCGCAATCCTGGATGATGTATGATGACAGGCCTGCTAATGATTTGTGCTACTTTCGGAGACGGTAATTCCTTTTACTTTATCTCTCTCTCTCACTCTCTCTCTCTCTCTCTCTCTCTCTCTCTCTCTCTCTCTCTCTCTCTCTCTCTCTCTCGCACCTAGTTTCTTCACAATTAAAAAGAATGTTATGTTATTTAGCATTCATACGCTGTTTCATACCTATCCTTAAACGTTAATTTACTGTTCCATCGCTGTTTCAAAAGTTGTAGCAGGACGTACGAATTATCTAGTGCTGTGTAATTATTGGTATTCATATAGCATATTACATGTAAAACAGATAAGTAAACAATATTGAAATAATATTCTTCTTTAAGAGTACCATTCGAATCCTACCAGGATTATTATCTCACGTGCAAGGTAAGTTTTTGTCAGCATATAGAGAATGATATGTCCTTCTTTTGGCACATATGTGCTCTTTATTTTTGTTCTAAGAACAATTTCAAAATTTTTGAAAATAATGAGGAGGGGAAAAACTTTTCAATTTAGTAAAATCTAAATACACAGTTGCAAAGAGTATGAAATACACTATAACTTTCATATAAACCATTTTTGCATACGTCTCGTATTTTAAAAGATATACGCTAAAAATAAAAAATGGTTCTTTTTCGAAGGGTAGTTTCACTCCCTCCGAGTGGAATTCCGCACGAACAAAAAATAGTTTTGCATTACGGACGAACTACTTTTCTTTCACACAAAGTTTCATAATTTTTTGAACTTCCGAGTTCCCTATGTTTCCCTGTGAGTAATCGGAAACGTATTTTCCCAAAAGCATCGCGACTTGTCAACCGGAAATTACGTTTACGAATTTAACGGTGAAGGAATGAGAAAAAATCGCCGTGAAGCTGGTACCCGTGTTTTCCCGGCCGCGTCGCGGATTCCGAGTTGTTTCTGCACGCGTCGTCGAGTCTACGGCGAATTCCGCTTTATCTCGCGAAAGTTCGCGGGACATCTCGGAACGCGTTGACTCCGAACGCAGGCGAAGAAAAACGTCCCTCCACCGGCGAACTCGCTCGTCGTCGCGAGAACTTCTGAAATCTGATCCACTTCCAAGTTTCCACGGCTCCGAAAGTTCACCGGAAATTTTACTCGTGCTATCGATGTGACAAACGTCCGCGTTCTTCGAACAATTCGAGAGAAGTGGCAGGAAACGTAGAACGGAGGAAAGGGGAGAGAAAAAGACAGAGTTACAATGCGGGACAGGATGTCGCGCATAACGAGAATATGGGCATTCCACTTTTGAATGGGCAAGTACTTTTGAAAAGAAAGAATGGATCTCGTAACGAGCGAGAATTATGCCTCACTGGGCCCCTCGCCATTCAAATGGATTTCGACAAATAAGCCGATGCTTCGCTCTCATCCTTCTTCGCTTTTGACGACGTTGTTGTTTCATTTCCCCGACGACGTTCTGTTTCATTTCAAAAAGGAACGAGATTCGTCAGGTGCAATCAGTCGACTGGTGTCGAGCGGTGCAACAAACGTCCGTGGGAAGGGCCGTCGCGAAAAAAAAGTCCCGAGTTCTCGAGCCGCGGCGCCTAAAGAGACGCAAAAACGCAACTTGCAGCGCCGAATCGCTGACTCGCGATCTCGCGTCGCGTTTCGATTTTCGCAACACGGCTTTGGCCTGATCTACAATACGTGTCGTAAGTTATAAACCGTAAGAATTGCGCGGCGAATCATACTCGATTGTTACAAAAATAATCGGCCAAAATAATTGGTTAGTTCTTACGGCTTACAGCTTGCAACACGTATCGTAGACCAGGCCTTTGTCGTACTCGAGGTATCCACCTGTTCTTACCTGACCGCCTTGCCAGCCGCCTTCGCCGGCGATCGGAAAGATGCCGCCGATATGCAGGATATTCTCCTCCTCGTCTTCGGGCGGTAGTGACGCCTCGGTCCAGGGCGCTGCCATTAAAATCACAATCATTAAGCCCAACATCGCGCATTGCCATAAGCCGCTCGCCATTCCGCAGCGTCTTGCTCTCTCGCGCGCGCTATAACCGTACGTTCCTCCCCTACGACATACCAGATGTAGTGCACGTAGTGGCAAAATCGGTGCTGTGCATTGCCGTCGAGAAAGTGTTCACTGCCATCGTTGCCCGATCGACCTCGTCACCTGACTGTGATCGAACACCCTCTCTTTCCTTTCTTTTTCTTTCTATTTTCTCTCACTCACTCTCTCTCTCTCTCTCTCTCTCTCTCTCTCTCTCTCTCTCTCTCGCCCTCTTTTTCTTCCTCTGTCTCTCGATCCCGCGCGACACTTTGTGCGCGTTTGATCGCTCGTGAATCTGTTCGCACACTAGCGTGACTCTATCATTCCTCTCTTTTACTTCTTCCTCTTGTCTACTCGACTTCGACACTTCGTCTCGTCGACCGATCGACCGACCGACCGAAAATCAGCCCCAATATGATTCTCTCGCTTGCGAGATTCACCGATCCACCGATTGCCTGCGATGGCTCCTTTGCGACGTTCCTTCGCGAATTCCTGCAATTCGTCGTGCTTTTCCGTGGAGTCGTGGTTACCGGAGAGACGCAAGTCTCTCTCTCTCTCTCTCTCTCTCTCTCTCTTTCTTTTTCCTCGTGCTCGCCACCGGTTTCTCTCTTCTGTTTCGCTCTGTGGCTTTCGCGTCCTACAAAGGTGGCTGTTCGCCACTCTACTCCGCGCGATATTACATCGAGACCCCGTTCGTCTTGTTCGATCTGCTTCGATCCCGTTCGTGTGTTACGTGTGTGTATGTGTGTGTGCACGTGCGTGGATATGTATGAGCTTAGGAGATGATGACGACGACGACGACGACGACGGCTCAGACGTCACACACAGCTCGCTCGGTTGCGCGGGCGGTTTTACTCGCGCGAGGGTACGTCGCCGTCTCGCGGACCTCGGCGCCGGGAATTCGCGTGGAAGTGAAGTCAGCAGCGAGCGCGCTTCGCGGGCGTATTCATATTGATTCTAAACCCTGGAGGACCTCGGCGAACGAGTAGTGGGGGATGGTTAGGGTGGCTCCGTGAAAACGAGCGCAGCTCTCGCTCAGAAAAATCAATATGGCAGCGATTCGACCGCGCGCTACCCGCGCGAGAAACGATTGTCAACCTGCTCATGAAATCGAGCGATTGATGATCGATGATAATGGAAATTTCATGATTGGGACGCGCTCGAACGATCGCGACGAACAGAGACAGACGCACACAGACGCAGAGATAGAGCGGCGGGAGAGGGAGAAACCAGATGATCGGTCGAGCTCGCTTGGTCGGTAGGCTCGCTGTGTCGGCTGATTTCCTCAAGATGGCTCACGTGGTCAGATCGTCAAGTGATGTTCGCCTCGTGTGTTTAGCGTAAATAACTGTTTTTTTTTATTAGAAATACTGTACCTCGCCGTGACAGAATGGCCACGCAACGTGCGTTACCGCAAAATAAAGAGGCTCTATTGAAGACGTACACAACACGATTGAAGGATGACGTTAAGTCGATGCTCGAGAATTTCGAAGGTAAATCCTAACCTCTTTCTCGCGTTTACTCCTAGTCTAGAGTTGATCGTACAATAATCGCGAGTGGTTCTTGTTATTTTCAGAGATAATAAAACTCGCGAAAGGTGAAAATGATTCGCATCTGTCACGAATGACACAGTGTGAGCAAGATACGTACGAAATGCATGTGAGAGCGGCTAACATGGTGCGTGCTGGCGAGTCGTTGATGAAACTAGTCTCAGATATCAAGCAGTATTTAATTCTAAATGACTTCCCGTCAGTAAACGACGCGATAGGTGCGAATAGCACTTTATTTAGGAGTAAGCAAGCCGAATGCGACTCCAAGTTGGCTTCTTTGAGAGACGACATGGCTGCGGATCTATATGACTTGGAAGAGGAATATTACACCTCGATATATAAATAACAGTATATGCGTGTGTGCATATACATATATAAGATCGGAATGTCCCAATATATGCAAAGCATAAACTGGACCATGGCTCAGCAAAATGTGATTTACCTGTTTGTCGATCTGTACATTTGTATTTATTCGAGTAAATAGAATTAATTTTGATAATACGCTTCTCTCTCTCTCTCTCTCTCTCTCTGTCTGTCTGTTTGATCTCGCGAAGAATCATAGACAAGAGTCCTGTACGAGCAAAGAGTAAGGAGTAATTATTTCTTTTTATTATTTTGATAATTACGTGACACACAAACGATACATCACACGATATTTCTACATGGTAGGTAGGTATATTAAAGAAGGTAGTAATATAGATCCAAGCTTCAGTTGTTAATAGTCACCTCACGATCGCTTCCACTTATTATTTGTTTACTCCAAAAACATGGTACTTGATCACTGTACAACGATAATTTACAGAACTGTCGTGGAACTCCACCGTATCGGAATTGGGAGATTACGAATGACAGACGCGCGAATGTTTGGTGAATTAAGAAAAACGAAAGACGTACGTACATCTTTCCTAAGTTTAGAAGCATCGCACGGATGTAATCTCCCAGGCTCCTCGCATCGTTCGCGTAATTGTAGCAACAGGATATCGATGAACAAATAGGTATCGATGAACCACACTTGCATATTGTCGCGTCTGACGAAAAAGCAGAGATTATGTTGTATACTAGGAGAAAAGGAGATTATTATAACAAAAATATCACAGTGTAAGACATAACGCTGTGACACACGAACGAGTCTTTTAATCGATGTGGTACACCACAAAATACTCGATGAACTGGTACAGCATCTAGATAATATTGAAATTCTAACAAAAAAAAAAAAAAAAAACGCGACAGGAGCAGTTTGTATTAAATGCATCCCTACAATAAATTACTCTTTCATCGCACTTCTTTTCTCGCTCGAATCAGTTCACTGTCCAAGTGATAAAATTGTAATGATATATTTAACTACACTATAATCGCACATCATTAAATACGCACACGATTCGAAACAATGTTTTCTCTTTTCTCGGATACCCGTGGTAACGCAACTGAGATGCTACGTAGACGATAGATTTAGGGGGGAAGAAAAAAAAACAAAAAAAAAACAAAAAACAAAACCAAGGAGAGAAAACAGAAGAAACGGAAAGAAACGTGAAAATAAAAATACGAGGAAAAACCTATCTTAAAGCAACGTAATTTCATTTATGTCGAAGTCTCGCGACTTCATTAATCTATCATCTTGAAACAGCGCTTTAAGATCCACAATAATAATTTAGTATGTACAAAATTCAATTCGCTTAAAATTAAAGATTAACATTAAACCGACGTTTTCTCTTTATCAACGTGCCTCCCGTGCACTCCGGAAAACTATTAATCTTTTTTTTCGTACGTATGAACCTCGGAAACTATAAATGCTAACTCAACACGAGAAGACACACGTCGTACGTGGTACGCGTCGTACAATGGTTCGATTTTCGCATTCACAAGGCATACTCTCGCAATACGATTTGACATACATTGATGATACAAATGATGAAGTTCTGAAATTTACAATTCTTACACAGTTTTGCCGAACTGGAGAGAACCGCTTATTGTACATATACATTAAATATTACTAAGTAGACTTACGTTCTACTTTGGCAAAAAACGTTTACAAATCTAAACTCGAATGCATTTCCTGAACCTTTTTCGTTCTTTCTCTTTTCTTTTTTCTTTCTCGCCGCCGAGATTGGATCTCCGCGACGTTCAATCGCGATTCCTTTACAAAACTCGCGCAAAACCCTGGCCTTTTACTGGCAGCTTGAATCATTCACAGCTTAACATTAAAGTAATCTCAAAAAGGTTACAAAACTCTCTTAATTCTCTCATTAACTCCTCTCTTCTATCCTATAATAAAGTATGCCGAAGAGATGTGTGATATGCTCCTTTACTCTTTTATCCTCCGCGTAACAGAATATCAGTCACTGGGGGCTCTCCCTTTTTTTTCTCTCTCTTTCGAGTTCTATTGGAAAAGCAAGAGACGAAGCACTAACGTGTCTTGGCAGTTTCGACGATTTTCATTGTCTAGAAAAGTCCGTTCGTTCGATATATCGCAATGACAAAGTAAATGCATATATACTTGGAATGATACTGTTAGTTCTTACTTAATAATCATCTAAATAAACGCTTCGTTTTCGGTATCGACGCGCTCGTAAACGGAGGTCACCATATTTTTTGTACAATCCTCTTCCTTTTCTACGATTAGAAAAAAAGATCGCCTTGCTTAAATGGCATTGTTCGTGACGAGTGAAACGTGCCTACCAGCTGTGGCCTACCCTGCGTATTGTCCGATTACGAACGCGACGTCTGACTCGCTCTTTCTGTGTAAAAAAACTTGCTTTATGCGCGGTTCTGAGCATTCGTCATGTGTTTTTTTCTTTTTTCCTTTTATTATTAAACTCCGGTATAATATTAGTATCTCGCGTTTGTAATCCTTTTTTTGAGTTTTTATCGCTGCTAGAAAAAAATACTCCTTATTAGCCTTATACGTGTGTGTGTGTGTGTGTGTGTGTGTGGATATCTTGTGGATTTTCTCGTTCTATTGCCGCGGTAGGATGTTGTTGAGCCGTTGTTGGTACTGCTGACAGGCTTCACACGTCTTATCAATAAAGAAGGTCCCCGGTTGTCTCCGAGCCCCACGCGCCCGCGTCTTGAGCAGGCCTCAGGTAGTCCACTTCGTTGGTGTTTTCAGTTTGCCCCGTAGGTGCTGACGTGGGAGCCACTATCGGCACGGCCCTGGTGACGCCTAACTCGAAACCTTCCGACGTCAGATCCACCTTGCTAGGTGTGTAACTAGCTAGTCCGCCTCCACCTGTGGATAACGGGCGCTTAAGTAACGACACGCTACATACATTTGCCTCATCGAGGTAAGTCTCACTGACAAAATTGTTGAGATGCATGTCATGTTATAGGTTCCAGCGTATGATCTTACCGAGTAGGGACGGTATGCTGCTCGTTGTCGAGCTGGTCGTCGAGGACGTTTTATTGTTGCTCGCGGTGGATTGCTGCTCGACAGAGCCGGAAGTTTCGCCGTCCGCGCCGCTGCTCTCACCTTCGAGGATCGACGCTTCACTGGGATATTCGAAGGTGCGAGTGGCCGTGTCGTCGAATTGTATCCGATGCTGAAAGCATAAAGCAGCGGGAGAGTTCTCGTCAGTCGGTCGACTCGTTAGATTAATAATGGCTCAAGTCGACGAGCCAACCGTTCGTGATCGTGATAAAAACGCGACGCTCGCAACGGGGAGAATTGATTTATGCGAATACACGCGTCGTATATACGTATACGTATACGTACATACGGTAATCTACGCTACCTCTCGCGGGTGTGCCGAAAGTACATTCGCATAAGTAAACACGTATTACGGGGCCCCGCGGCTAATTTACGTTCGCCTCTGCGCATTTAGCGGAACGCGGCGGCGGCTAGCCGCGGAAAAATTTTGCAAGGTGCTCCTCCGTGTAACGAGAGAGCGTTGCAAACGCGCGCGCGGTACAAACGAGATACGAGAGAACAAACAACGGCACAACCGCTGTGTAATGTAGCCTCGAATAACAGTAACCGGTCACACTCGCTGCTTTTTCGACTGCGTGAACGAGCGGGAACGTCGTCGTCGTCGTCGTCGTCGTCGTCGTCGTCGTCGTCGTCGTCGTCGTCGTCGTCGTCGTCGTCGTCGTCTCCTTCTTCTTCTTCCTCCTCATCGTCGCGCGTCTTCGCTCATCGTGCGAATTGTCAAAAGAGAAAGCGCTTTTTTCTACCTACTACGTGACTGATTAAATGCCGCATTCACGTCGAAATGCAACGAAAGTCGCGGAAAACGACCCTTTATACTACTTGAGGCACATTTAAAAGCAAAAGCACCGAGACTGGTACTTATAACTGCGGATAACATTTTTATCCTTTTGGCCTTTAAATACAAATATCTAAACTTTCAACATACGAAATGCGTGCGCGAATTCCGTGTTGAAAGTTTAAATACTCGCGAAAACTGGCGTTGGTGCTTTTACCTCATGGTCGCGATAATCCTGCGCAAAACTCGATTCTCTCTCACGAGTGCAACATTTGCGGAAGAGACACACAGACTCGGATTACCAGCGATTAAGAAACATTTATACACATTTTAACCGGGTTCTCCGTGCAGTTTTTGCTTTTCGCATTCTTTTTCGTTCATCGGCTGGAATTACGCGGGATATCGCGAACGCGCTTGTATGCGCTTGGAATGCTCCACGCGGAACGGGAGATGTTTCGCATTTGACTCTGAGCGAAAAAGACGCACCGCTTCGCGAGTCGCGAGGTACTCGCGACCGGCTGTATCAGAACGGCGGCGGCGGTAACAGTACCGGCGATTATTTCGACTAGGGGTTGACTGCTCGCTCGCTCGGTATAATTATATGTATGCACCGTTCTCTTTCCTCCCGAGGCATCCCTCGTGAGAGAGAGAGAGAGAGAGAGAGAGAGAGACCAGCCGCGGACAAAAAGAGCGGATCACCTGCGCTCGATCGCCGATCGGCCGATCGATGATTTGCCGGTACCGCGCGTTCCTCGCGGAGGAATGCGTGAAATCCTGAGCGGCGATCCTCGACGCCTGCTCGCGCAAATGTGTCGACGACGACGAGCGAGTAATCGTCGCCATTGTGTCTCTCATCGCTTCTCCGTCGCCAGACGACCCCGAGACAAAGAGATCTCCGAAATGAATGAACGAACGTGCGGCATATGAGGGAGAGGGAGGGAGAGAGAGAGAGAGAGAGAGAGAGAGAGACGCGAAAAGTTCCTTTGAAGCGGCAACAAACACACCGCACTTTCTCTAAAGCGGCGGCGTGGCGGCCCACTTTTCTGGAGAGCTTCTCGTACTCGTTGTCGCAAATTGCAATTAGCATTTTCTCACCGAGGAGCGGCCGAACGCGACAATCACGGAGGGTTCCGGCCAGCTGGTTAAGTGGCATTAACAGCGACATAGGAGGATCGACGCCGGACTTTCATCGCGACTGTCATCCTCCCGGAGGTCCAACGGGCGAGTTCAAGCGGGCGATACTTGGCGCGAGTCGCTATCGAGTCGCGCGCATCGTTTCACGGGGATTAGCGACTTAATAATAACACAATTTATCGTCCCGATCGCCGTCACCGATAACGAGGAAAAAAAAATGCAATACACACAACAGCGACACGGCGCGCTTAGGGAATGACGAGAAGCGCTGAACTTCCGATATTTGTTATCACCTCATCTGATCGATAAGGTATCATAATTAATCGGCCGGATCGAGCCTCACGGCGCGGCACTCGAGGTGAGTCTAAACTACGCAGCTGCGAGTCGCGTCGATTCGGTTGGAAAACAAGAAAAATTGCACGAAACAGGACGAGCGGTTCTCTCGTCTTGCCCGGCGACGTGTCTGCTGCATTTAAGCTCTCCCCTGGATCGCCGCAAAAAGCGTTATACTTTTTGCAACGGCGTTATAAGAGAAGTCGCCCGCGGGGCGACTTCTCATCGCGAGGTAGAGCCGTTTTCTCTCTAATCCGCGCGATCGAGGATGCATCGCTCGTAGCGAGATGAGCCGGGAAAATCGAGGCGGAGACGCCGTCGCCGGCGGCTGAGACTTTCCTCGACACCATCGCCGGAGCGGAGCGCGCGCCGTGGAAGTGGCTATTGTCGGTAAACGCGATATCGCCGATTGGCTGTGCCAGCGCGAGCGAATATGCGCACTTATCAAGATGGAAAGTCCTGCGCCGTGCGACGTGCGAGACGTGATAAGACCGGGGAATGCGGTAAGTGTACGGGCGCGACGCGCGTAATCGACGAACCGTGCTCTCCAGGAGATGCATGCGAAAGCGAAGCCGCCGCGCCGAGGAGCCGCGCGCGCGTCCATTGGTCGACCTTGTATTGATTTTTTACCAGAAGGATACGGCGGACTGTGTGTTGGCAGTCGATGAAGCATGCACTGTCGTCTCGCCTTGTCGTCGCCGGCCGTACTTCAACCCTTTCGCCGACGTGGAATCGCAACCCTCTGTCGAGAGAGAGAGAGAGAGAGAGAGAGAGAGAGAGAGAGCTACGCGCCCGGCGGGAAGGGTTTGCGTGTATTATTGATTCTCGCATATGCTGACGATGCTAAGATAAATCTTTTAATTATCTCTGTAATTAATCTTCTAATCAGTAAATCGTAATTAATAAATCTTTTGATTAAAGAAGAATCATGTGATGCAGAGTTATTTAGAATTGGACAAAAGAGTAGAGATACGTACGTATATCGCGCTTTTCTCAAGGAACGGATGGCGGCGAGCAAGCGCGTGAAGTTTTCGGGAATCCCCGCGGGTATAGGCAGGACGAAGGAGAGGGCGTAGAATCCCGGCGTAAATACCACGCGGCGGAATATCAGCGTGACCTTTGCGTTGCAGAAGGATACTACAATTCTCGCGCAACGGCCGCGGAGATATCGCGCTTCCTGATATGCCGAAGGCCGCCACCTCGATGCCGCGCCGCCATGCCGCTGGCGCGCGCTGCTGCTGCGGTGGATAACGCAAAAGCAAGCAGGAAATTTACGGTCTCGCTGCGTATCCTGCCAGCTAGGGCCTGCGAGTCGTCCGGTTCGTATCTCGGTTTTCCGCGACAGTGCTAAATGGTAGGCGCGCGCCAGCCAAAGTCTGGCAAAAACTGGACGTGGACGTAGGTCCGTTAGGTACTGATCAAACGGGCAGGCAGGCACGTCCCCGCCTGCAGACGCAACACGAACGCGAGATTGAGCTCCAATGAGCCGATGGCAGGCAATTTTCAGCAATGCCAAATGAACGAAGCACCACCTGCCGGGATAATTCGCCCGCTCTCTTTCTCCGGCCGTTTCTCAGCGGTGCTTGTTTCTCTTCATTTTTGCGCGGCGCGAATTCGAGCCGGCGAACGGCTCGACGCGGGATCGCGTCGTCTGTGCTGGTGGAGTCATCGCCACCGGTTTCGAACTCTTCTCGGCTTGACCGATGAGCGATGCGCGATTAGAACGTTCACCGTTTTGACAAGGTGAATTACTCGAGGTCCCGTTATCGTCCGCTGGCGCGTCGTCCGACGAAGGATCACGCCGCGCGTCCTACGCGTGTCTGCTTAATTTACACGCGTGCGGAACGCGACCTAGCCGATGGCGACGCGCGTTCAAGAAACTCCGGACTCCGTTATATCGCATCGCACGAATTCTACGTCACGTCGCGAGCGTATCAATGCGTATCAGCGAGTGACGACGGTAAATGAGACCGCAGTCGCGCTCGACTTAGCGACGGAAAAGCGAAGCGTTGCTCGCGTCATTCTCGCGCGAAACGCAAATCGTAAAGAGTGGATACGTAACGCGGCGATACAGAACGGTCTCGACACGTCCGCACGGTGTGCCGATAACGATTGTTTAAGACGCGCGCGAGCGCGACTGCTTCTCGAGGACTCGCGCGAAACTCCAGCGGCTCGGCCGCGGCGGCGGCGGTTGTTGATTTCCAAACAGTTTGCACGACCGATTACGGCTGATTTGTAAATATACGCCGACTCCGCTCGGCTTGAATTTCGATGACTCGGTGGGAAACGGCGCGATATTACGATCGCGTGGCCGATTACCGGAGCTGAAAGGTGGTCAGCGGATTTACGCGAGGTCTGCGACATGATTGTGCAATTTTTGTTATCATCGGCGAACACGCCATCGATCATTCACGTATATTATACAGCTACTTTGCAAAATTAAGGGGGGAATTACATGCATACGGAGCATACAGGCTTCGTTTTCAAGGTTATTTTTACGAATTTTTTCAACAAAGAAACGGTAGGAATCGGAGGACTTGAAATTTTCACAGTGTATTCATTAATGTTCAAAGTATAAAATAATTTTGTTACTATCTATATGGGAAGTACACTTATATGGAAAAAGCTTTAAACGCGTTTATCTGGAAACACTATTTCCTTAAACTTAACGACACGATTATGCAAAAACTACTAAACCGAATAACCTGAAATTTTTACACAATATACAGTAGACATTTAGTTTTCGCTACTACCTTGAATACAGTTATATTTTTTTATTCACTTTTTTTAAACATGATTGACAAAACAGGTTGAAAAAAGTTTAATTTCCGGTACTTTTTTTTTATACAGTCATTATTTTTTCAAACTTG